TTGGACAAGGATGCAATTTCAGTGATAAAGATCAGGCACCTAACACTTGACACTTAACAATCAAGAGTGTGTGTGCACTGTCATTAAACTTCCTGATCCATTTCCAGTTAGTTTAACTGTATCTTTTATCAAGTGACCGATGAAATAAGAACCATGGCACTCTGACTGCAGGCTCACAAACTGCAGCATTTCTGTCTACAGAAAAGGGGAGTCCAGTGATGGGTTCAATACAGTTGATGAAGTGCACACTTTGGGGGAGTCACAGCTGCACAGCTGGGCAACAACAGGGTAATTGTGAGGGCTGATGTGAACACAAAGAGAAAAAATAGAGACAAATTGTAAATCCAAAAGGTCAATAAAGTTTGGCGAAATAAAACCATCTCTCTTCTTTTGCAATAATGCCTACTTTTAAAACTTTAATGTCTAATTTGTGGCCTTAAGTGTTGACAATAAAGTAGCTGTCTATTCTTCCTGACTTACTTATTCCTTTGGGAACTCCACAAGTATCCATCCCATCCATCACTGCTCACTTTTCTATTTCAGGCAGCAGGCAGAATTACTCTTGGACCACATTAAAGTAGCTTTTTTAATTTATCATAAGGGCTTTAGTGGTTTTGGAGCCACTGAGCATCCCTCTTGCATGTCTGTTTTCTTGGACACACTTGTTTTGTGGCTCTGGTGGTTTCAAATCCTTGTCCTTGCCTTACAAGAAACACACACACGCACTCACACAGTCTACTCATTTACCTTTTATTCCTCTGGGCCTCCTTCTTATCCATTATGACAGGTACACAGTTCGTTAGCTCGGTCCAGTCTGCATGCAGTCCGCAGCTCCAGCCGGTTGAGAACCGGGAGAAGAGCCAGGACTCCTCTTTCCCTGGCCGGTGGCATGTGCATTTCTTCTGTCCTGGCTTGCAGTCGCACGGCTGCTCCAAGCGAATATTCCTCACCAAGTGTCTCCCGAAAGTGGTTCCTCCGGTTTTCTGGATGTGCAGGAAGACTATCACGTCGTCTCCTTTGATATTGAACTCCACGTGTCTGTCGAGGTCTCTCTCGGTGAAGTTGAATTTTGACGGTACTTTAGGTGGGCTGTCATCCTCCAGGTCTTGATCTCTGTAGAAATCATCGCTGTCCACGTACGGGGTGGAAAGTAGGCTCACCCCTCTCAATTTCTCCCCAGCCTTAAAGTGGCACGAGTTGCTGCCAGCCGGGCATATGTACTGGTAACCTATCATAACAAAAAGCACGGCTAAAATAGGAACCAAGATGAGCTTACTGGATCTATCATCCATCATATCTGGACAGTGTCTTCATTCCATTACTGTGAATAATAAGCAGCACCCATGGGTTCTTCTGGGATCAATACTCCTCCATCGCCTCGGACAGATGCATTACATTCAAATGCCACATGTTGATCAGATAAAACACAATCTGGACTAAAGATGAAGTCCACCAAAAACGCTGCACGCGGGCTGCACTGCGCTGGAAATCTCGACTAAAGTCAAGAGTCATGGCATTAACATTTCAGACAGTCCAACTTCTGGAGATCCGCGCAGACGGCCCCGCGTCAAGTTGGAAATGAGGAGGGTGATGAGTTTTTTCCTTCTTCTTTTTCTTCGGAGTTGATGCCCGTCTAAATCGCAGTGTGCTTCAGACTTATCTCAGCAGAAATGCCTCTCGGCTCGGTCTGTTAGGCTGCATCCTCCCGGCGGCATCCTCGTTGGCGGTCTGACTGAGTGTGCTGAAGCAGAGCTTTTCATAGAGAGGAGAGGAGAGGATGAGGATGAGGATGCTGCTGCTGCCTCTGCTACTGCTGCTGCTGCATCCGAGCCGACTAATGTGCGTTGTGCTCTCATCATCATCGTGGTGGCGGTTGAGCTAGGAGAGCTCCTTCATCCCATCCCGTCTGCCCCATAATCTTGTTTAACACAGTGCAAAGCCAGAAGCCCACCCGGACTCTGAGCTGGAGACAACATGGAGATTTAAGCCCATGTAAATACCAAATCGGCTGTAACTTTTTTTTTAAAGCCTATCCAAGTGTGACCTTTTATGATTAAAGAGATACAGCACATCCCTCCACTTACAGACTGCAAGGAGATATAGCCCCTTTTGAATAGACTACTTATATATGCTGAAAAGGCAGTAGTGTTTGGGGAGCCAATTAGGAGTGAAACAGCTGCTTTCTTTGCAACAATAATACCTATAATTGGAAGCATTTTAAATGTTGATGCACTGGGCATGGACATACACAGAGCAAAGTTGTGTCACATTACAGACCTACACAATTAGCACTTCTATGTGTAAAGTAAGAAAACATTTTAGTTTTTAAAGCTACTTTGTATGCTTTATTCATTTAGCTGTGCCTGCGCTGGATAACCATGTTTTCCCCTCTCAATGCAGCTTCTTTACCCATCAATCACTCAGTAGCATTAATTTTAAAGCTCCTGTGGGTAATTTTTGGTTGGCTACTAAGCAAACTCAACTTAAAGGGCGTAAAACTAATTTAGGGTCAAAAAAACTGTAACACTGAGTTAGACGCCCCCTCGAGAGATGAATGTTGCCGACCACTTGCTTCTCTAGTTATACCAACTTTAGTAACAACCGCACTATAAGCAACACACAGCGGTCTGAGAAGCAATAAACAAACCTCAACCAAAATGCCACACTATAGCCACAAATAATGCTCAGAACAGTACCTAACTTCATCAACAGTACATATAGGGTCCCAGCCATAGTACTGGCTACCAAACATCTTTTTAGCTTTGCCTAATTTCTTTAGCAAAGAGACTAAACACAACTCACCTACTCTCCTCCGGCAGCCGCTTGTTTGTAGCGAGACCTCAGGCCAGTCCATTACGGGCTGCTGTGGGGTGACGCAGCTCAAGGAAGAACATTTATGATCATTACTTTATGGTTTCCTTAAAGTAATAATCACCATATTAATCATTTTGTGTCTGGTTAACAATTGTTCTCCCTTACTCTTGTGTGTTTTTATTCATAAATAAAGAGCCAATACATTATCATTACCCATGGCATACATGTAGAAATGTAACATCTCATCTGCTTATCTCTGTAATCTGTTTGAACCAGCACAACACACCAGCTGGGAATAATATGCATTGTTGACAGACACATTTATCAAAAGTTGCCATTTTAGTCTTCCTTTTCGGCTACCAATTCTTTTCCCTTTTAATGAATCCTAACCCTAGCCTACCATTTGTCCCACTGCTGATGTGAATCACATGAATTCAGCACAGACTGTGTTTGATCTGTGATTATTCTAACAGCTGTGCGCCTTAGCCTGGCTATGTGTAATTAATTACACTACACAAAGGAGGCAAACTGGCATATAGATTTACCCATATAGCTTCATGCTAAAACATCAAGGAACTTAACAAAGTTCACTATAAGTCATTAAAAATATAACCGAAACATCTATATCTTCTTCTCTTTCCCATAAAATGGATATCAGATAAAGAACGCTTATGAATGTCTTTTTGAGCTGATTTGTTAAATACAGTGATGAAAAATGAGCCAGCTACTCTCATTGCCATGATTTGGAGCTCTCCCCCCTCCAGTTTGGCAGCTGGGCTTAAGTGGGCAGCGTAAAGAACAAGCACATTGCTAAACTGATCGTACTACTCCTTTATGTGGCAAAAAATGTAATAAAAAAATGCTTCTCAAAGTCTGGATCTCTAAAGACGGCCCTGCAGTGGAAGACAGGTAAAAATAAGTTTTGAGGGTACTGCTCCTTGAAAAACTGACTGATGGCCTTCAGATAGCACTGTGGGATTTCTTAAAATATAACAAACCGTGGATCCCTGTGGTTTGCTTTATGGACTTAAAATTTAGAAACACGCCGGAAGCCTGGCTGTTCCATCCATCCATTTTCTACCACTTATTCCCTTTGGGGGTCACAGGGGGGGCTGGAGCCTATCCCAGCATCTCCGGGCGAATATGTCCAGGGGACACCCTGGACAAGTCGCCAGTTCATAGAGACAAACAACCATCCACACTCACATTCACAACTACGGGCAATTTTTGAAAGTGGCCAATTAACCTAACTTCAGTTCTGCATGTTTTTGGGATGTGGGAGGAAACCAGAGAACCTGGAGTAAACCTGCGCAGACACAGGGAGAACATGCAAACTCCACACAGAAACACCCTGACCAGATTCGAACGCAGGACCTTCTTGCTGTGAGGCGAAAGTGCTAACCACGACACCACTGTGCCACCCAAAGCCTGGCTGTTGCCAACCTGAAACACTGGGTTACAATGGCTTTATATACTTGCTAAATGCGTTTTCTTTGTTTTGTCAGTTAATTCAGAAAACATAGTTAATATTTATATTTTATTTTGAACCATTTATGACAGAACCTCTATAAAAAAGAGTGAAAATACAAAACTGTGAGCACAGCACTACAACAAATCTTTGAAAAGTTTTGGGGGAAAGTGTTAGGATATGTCTTATTTAGCCTTTGGGTTGAGGTGACAAAGTCTGCAAACAACAGAAACCTGATTTTTTTAAAGACTTTTCTGTCAAACATCACACAGGGTTCAGGAAATCTGACACTAAATTGCTGGAAAATTACTCATAGCTTTTAGTTTCATTGGTTATATAAAAGGCCAGTTGTATGTGCAGCCTTAAAATCATCTTAAACAAAATATCTTACTTCAAACTTAACAGTTTACACATGTTTTTTCATATCACTCACTTCACACAGGCAGCAGACATCCTCCTGTGTTGGTGGGAAAATGTTTGAGCTTCAGCGTCTGCCTCTTTAGCTGTCTTGCGCTGTGCCAGCATAAATAACCACCTTACTATCTTTAAAAAAAAGTTTACAGCGTTTTTAAAATGAAATTTAGCCGTATGAAAGGGTGTGGAATCATACTCGAAAATAACAGTTTACAATGTCGTATTTTCAATTCTGCATCGTCTCAAACACTAATAACTGTCAGCGCGAGGCACCTCAATATGCGGCAACCACGGCAACACGCTAGCTGTAGAGGCTGCTAGCTTCCCAAAATACCAACCCTGAAGCCCTTTGCTTTGTATGGAAGCGCTCAGCATCAGTAACGGGGTGAGGGTTATATTATTGGTAACAACAGGTTTTATTATAAACACCGTCGCATTTTTGCTTTAAATTGTCTTCATGGATAGTGTCCGCTAAGTCACTGTATTCTACCGCTTCATTCAAGGTTGCTGTAACTTTTAAAGCTAAGTTAAGTTTTGATGTTTTCTGTTTGACCCCTCTGAAAGACCGCTATTTGATAAAATAATGTCGACATAATAATGTTTATTCAGCGTTTGTTATCTTCTACATAGCGTACGTTTCTCTTAAGGCTTTTATGTCATATACACCGGTGTTGTGGTTTTATGCAACAATGTAGGAGTATCTACGTGGCACTGACTTGAACCACTCAAGAATTAAAGGCACTGTCACCTACTGACGGTGTTGTTTGCTTTCTGCCACCGTAGCTTCATGTTACATCTCGCTGGGGAAAATGAGGAACCTTATGGTACTGTCACTCCTGCTGCTGAACATAAACTATGCCGTATCAGCACCCAAAGGTGTCACAGCCAGTCTAAAAGCAAAGTGGACAATGACGCCTTTCCTCCTGGAGACGAGGTAAAACACTACTTCTGCACATGCACAAGTCCTGCTCTCACCAGAGAAACTAACTAAAAAGTTAGGAGTCTTACCATACATCCTCATGACTTACAGTGTAATTTTAAGTCAGTAGTTTTCATTTTTTATTGAGTTTGCTTAATTAATTATGAATGGTTTTGTTAGTAAGTTAAAAAATTTAAAAGCACCCTGCATATTAACAGTACTATCATACTGAATCCTTTTTATGGCCTCCAGTAAAGTAAACTAATGAATATACTCAAGTCTATAAAGTATGCAGTTGGCCTGCAAAATAGCTGCTATGTACAAGCTGTTTAAAAAAGTAAAGTTCAAAATGATTCTTTGCAACTTTTACAGAAAAGGACGCTGTTTACTTTAACCTTGGCAGAAATGTAGACTCTTTTCAAGAAAATAATAACAATAATAATAACTTTATTTGTATATCACTTTTAAAAAACAGAAGTTTACAAAGTGCTTTTACATATAGTCATAGAGCCCATGGAAAAAGACAGATAAAAACAAAAGCTCAGTAAAAAAGGAATTGAAGGCCATTTTCATGTCATAAGAAACCCAGACAATACAAGAATCATGCAACATAAAATGAGACCATGAGGACCAAAATAAAAGCATAAAGTAGTTGAGGAAAATGCAATTAAAAGGGAGGACCAAAGCAGAAACGGGATAATAAATATAAAAAGTCATATTAACAATGATAATAAAATAATAACAGGTAATCCAGATAATAATAGTGATGATAAAATAGAGTAACAGAAATGAGCAGGAAAACACAATAAAAAGCCTTAAAGGTTAATTAAGAAAAGAGTACAAGCATAACAAAATCTAAAAAGACAGTAAAAGAGAAAAGAGATGACAGATAAAAAATAAAGATAAAAGACAGCATCACATGAAAGCAAGTCTGTAAAAGTATTTGACTGAAAAGAAGTGACTGTCTCTGCAGGCCTTATCTCCTCTGGCAGGTCGTTCCAAAGTCAAGGAGCTCTGGTGGAGAAAGCTCTATCACCTTTAGTTTTGAGTCTCAACTTTGGAACGACCAGGAGGCCTTCGCCAGAGGATCTGAGGCTGCGGGTTGGCTCATATGGTATTGAAAGCTCTGAAATGTATCTTGGAGCAAGTCCTTTGAGTGCTTTAAAAGTAATCAATAAAATCTTAAAATCGATTCTAAAACTGACAGAAGGCCCAGTGAAGGGAGGCTAAAATTGGATTGATGTGATGCTGTATACTAAAACCAGTTAAAAAAAATTAGTATCTAAAATTAGTAAATCATTGTCATAAAACTGTAAAAACTAAGGACATATATGACAGAAAAAAAAGTTGTTTTGTTTCCAACCATTTTTTTGTACAAATGTTTTAAAAAATGATCGTTTTGTCATGTTGCTATTAATTCAAGTTTGATAAGCAGTGTTTATATCATTCAAATATAAATTTCTGTTAATTTTACTAACCTTCAGTGTGCATTCCAGTGCCAATAAAATGCTGTGCAGTAGCTTGCAGTGAGCCAAAAGAAGTCAGGTAGAAATATTACCAGAGGACGTAAAAAAAAAAAAAAGCATGGTGTGTAGCTGTAACTGTCAGGCAATTAGGACATAGTTTCTAAGGCACATTACATAGTCACTGAGTAATTGTAACTGTCTTTAACTTGTCCTTCTTCTTTCATCTTGCAGCGAGTTTATAGGAGAAGACGGGAATGAGAAATTTTGGCAATTTGTCGACACTGTAAAAGAGCTCACTGTATACAAGCAAGGAGGTATGTTTAAAGCCAAACCCTTGTTGTGTCTGCACTGATGTAATGCCTGTATCTAAATAGATTTTGACTTCTTTGCACTTTGACAGGTAAGCTCATTATCTCTACTGTTGTTGTGTTTTCAGAGTCTGTGCGGTCCTACTACAATCTGATCATTAAGAAGGCAGGCCAGTTCCTCACAGATCTTCAAATTAACCTCCTCAAATTTGCTTTGGGCCTGCGGTCATATTCACCAGCTGTTCATGCATCCCAGCAGGTACATAAAAATATACTATGTTTATAAAATCAGAAGCATGAGAATAGTGCAGGCACACTTGTGGTCAGAGATGGTTGTTTTGTCTGTGTATCCTCGTATTGACCTAGGGCACTTTTGCAGGCCTCCCTTTTTGTAGTTTTCTCAATGTCTTGGTACAGCGTTGAAAGAGTTGTTTCTCCCTAACCGCTGTGAAATTCTCCATGTCGATAACTAATTTTCTTACAACAGTACTTGTGTATCTCTGTGGTTTCTCTCTGAATTTAAATGTGTAAATGTAATTATCTTTAATTGATTCAGTGACAGAGTTTGTCAGCATGCTGTCTGCGCGTGTCTTATTATGAAATGCTGACGAAACCCTAGAGAATTGACTGATATTATCAAAATAGGAGTATTCTCTCGAATTAATTTGACTGCATTTTAAACAAACTCCTTTGGCTGCCAGTGCAGTAAGATTTGGACAGCCTCCAGAAGCCTTACAATAAGATCATCAAGGTTAATCTCAAGGAAATCCAGTTTAAGTGTAGCATTAGTACGAGGGAATCATTGATGAACCTAAGTGTATTAAATGACTTTAAAGATGAGATTTTGTAGATAACAGTGCTCCATTCAGACTAAATGGTATTTACATTGTTTATATATCATAAATATGTCTAAACTAGGGGTGCATCAAGTAAGGCTGCTAGATCGTCATCACACTTGTTTGATTGATCTTCTTGAGATCACAATTGTTCAACATAACTATGTGAGGATTTGGCAACAAATATTCGTAAGACATACTTTAAAAGAATATTGTTCCCCACTGTTTAGCTTGGCCATTGTTAGATCTAACTCTCTCATTATGTTCACTCTTTGCCTCTGCTTTACTAACATACACCTGCTCCTCCTGCTTGCTATATGCCGGTCTGTATTTCTGGAGCATGACTTGTTGAAGACACAATAATCCCCACTAAGAGCTGCAACGTCCTTACTCGTCCCAGATCTTGTTGCGCTCTGATCTGAGCTCGTTTTTCTTCTGCTGGCCCTTTTGGAGACATGTTTATGTAAAATGGCACAAATTGGGCCACCGCCTCCACTAAATGTGCTAGCTGTACTATTTGGAAGAATGAATATGTATTATAGTCCATCTGCCCCAAGGTGTGCCTGCCCAGCTGGACAAGGTTTAGTGTGTAAGATTGTCGGTCCAGCCCTTGACATGACCTTTGCTCCTCCTCACTGCCAATACAAGCTGAAATAAGACCTGTTTTTGGCTCCATTCACCACATAGAACACGAGGAACGCAAAATATCAGGCATTACAGTTGTCATTTAATGGTAACTGTTTTGTTTTCACAATCTGGTGAAGCTAAAGTCATAATTGACACTGAAATTGGATTAATCCTCCAATCTTAGCACCAAGGTATCAGTTTAACACGGGTAAGGTTGATATTTAGCCTGTTGAGAGACATAAGCCAAGTTTGTATACTGTATCACTGATTCATGGAAGACAGTTTTATTAGACAAATGGATTTGTTTTCATTTGTTGGCAATGTGGACAACTTTTCTCAGAGATCAGGTAGCTACATCTTCTCAGACATGTCCCAATAACATTTCAAGAGGAGACACTACCAGCAACAACATCAACTCTCACAGCTCATTGAAACACAGACATGACAAATTATGAGGAGGTAATGCTAGAACCACTGATATCAGAATTAGCTGTTGGCCAAAATGTAATTTTAAACATCAGTATCCTCACTAGCTATGCATCCCTAGTTTTGAAACACAATCTCATGAATAAAAACAGTTATACTACTTCAACAAACAGAATACTTTAGTTGATTGCACACTGTAAGTGAGGTGAATACATGACAGGCATATTATGAGAGTCCTGTAAAACATCTTTGCCTACACTGATGTTTAAATGTCATGTTAAGTGAATTTTACCCTTTGGCTGTAGATTTAACTCCCCCGTAATTATGAGTTACTCAGTCTGCTCTTGAGTGCACTCTGTTGCCCTAAAAAAACACAACTCTTTAGCCCTAGATTGTGGTGGTTTCAGCAATAATGAGGAGCAATTTCATTTTGGTGACAGTGATGCACTGGATGATAAATTTCTCTCATTTTCAAATGTGTTAAACATTTGAGTGAGTAATGGCCTTTTGTGTGGGAAATGAAGTGTTGGGCTGCACTGTGTAAATTCTTTGGTGATTACTTGGGAATATTGAGAATACATCAATCACTTAACTGATTAACTGGCCTGTGTTCAAGAGTGAGGGGTAGATTTGGACTCGGGAACAAAAGAGTTGCCATTTTGTATTTGTCCTGTCGCCAGAAACACATGAATTCCAATGTGAGTAACATAAGTGGGGACAAGTCCAGAGATCTTGGAAACGGAGGAGGCATTTCTCCGCCTACGGTAGAGACAGCTAAATGTGTGCAGTGATTAAGTGTGAAACAAATTTCCTCATTGGGACAATAACAGCATATCAAATTGTGTTGTACGTTGAAGCCAGTGTGATGTAATTCGTTTCTCTCCCATCTGCTCCAAACAGATAGCCAGCGATGAACCTCCACCTGAGGCTTGTCCTGCCTTTGTCTCCGTCCATGGTCAGCATAGCTGCAGCACCAAGGACATCAAGAAGCTCGTGAAGGCAGCAGCAGGCAGGTAACACAGAATCTCCTCCTCTGTAGATTAACTCTATCTGTAGATCCAGAAAAAAAAATGTTTGAACAGTGTCCTTGTAAAGATGTATTTTCTTCTGTTATCAGTTTATGAATCTGTTTGATTTATATGCTTTTTTTGATACAAATTACATTTCCAAATGTTTGCAGGCCTAAACCATATTTGTACAAGAACGATCACACATACCCAGGGGCCAACAAAACAGAAGTTCCTGTTGTGATCCTCTATGCTGAGATTGGAACCAAAAAGTTCACCTCCTTTCATAAGGTGCTGTCCGAGAAAGCTGGAGAAGGCGCACTTGTGTACGTGCTTCGACATTATGTAGCAGTAAGTAGAAATGCTGTTGCAGTCCTTTTGAAGTGATGCTCTGCTGGTCAAAGGTTAAAAAATATTGTTTAATGTACCTCTCTAGGTATGAGTCATCTTGTAAGCTATCTTGTGCTTTTATGTGCCATTCTTTACACACAGTAACTCGGTTCTGCTCTACAGGATACAGTTTGTGAGAACCTATATAATCTAAACCTGCAGTATATCTATCAATCTGACAACTATCATCCCTGCAGTGAAGCCTTTGGTTATTCCTCTATGCCATAGAAATACCCTGATTCATCTTTGATTACATGATGCCACAATTGCAGTGATGTAACAGTTCTTCTTTATTCCTTAGAGCATACAGCTTACAAAAGCAGGCGCCGTCAGAATGACCACTTTGCTTTACTGACAAATGTTCACAATTACAGCAACAGATTCCTCAAAACTAAAGAATGAGCTGAGATTCAGGTGCTTTTGAAAGAGTGAAAAGCTTCTTTTTCCCCAAGACGCGGTTATGTTGTTAGTTGAAGAAAAGCAGAGTGTGGGTGTGAGAGACTCCTGATTGTGCCTGTAGAAGACCGAGGCAGTGCTTTGAATCTGAGCGACATTGGTGTCAAGGTTGAATGTCAGTGAGTCTACTGCTGTTTGTCAGCTAGTCCATGTGCTTTGTGTTCCCAGAGGTAAAGCATGTTACAAATAATAACTTTCACTGACTACATGTTGTAGAAAAATCCTTCCGTATAAACAGGCCTCTGTATGAAGACATACATTACATGGCTGAAAGGATGTGGACATCTAACACAGTTCTCACATGTTGTATTTTAGGCAGTATAATAGGTTGATAGTGTCTGCTTTTTCCTTTTATTATTTTCCTCTGCCAAACTGTGCTGCAGATAGTCCAATGGTTGGTTTCACATGGTGATGTCAGGCCTGTGTACTGCTGCTCAGCCACTGAAACCCGTGTCATCAAGCTCCCTGAAACTTCCTCAGGCAGTCTGGAACTTGGAAGTGAAAAGTGCAACTTGCGAGAAAGGGTGATTTCAGGGAGCCCATGCATTCAGCCTCTCGTTTTCTGCAGCTACATTTACACTTTCTCTAAGCTGGTTCTTTTCAATGCACATGGGAGCAATCAGACCACAAACCTTATGAACTTAGAGGAAAAATTACATCGTATGAAACTCTAAACTCCTCTCTATTTCTCCAATGTTGTCAGTTAGGACTGACAAAAAATAAAGGCGTTCTTGATTTATTTGGTCGCTAATTATAGCCAGTAGGGGTGAGAATCACTGGTGGCCCTACAATACGATATCATCACGATACTTGGGCCATGATACGATATCACTGCGATTTTTAACATTTTGCAATACATTGAGTATTGGGTTACAATATATCATGATTTATACAATTTTTTCAACTGTTTAGCCAATTTAACATTTGTCTTTCCTTATGTTTGTCTTATTTACGCTGTATTCTATTCTCATGGAGCACGTTATATACTGTATATTTGTTGTACTAACTTTCTCCGGCTCTATGATGTCACCTTTGGACAAACAGTTGATTTTATTTTTCCATTATCAGAGATTTCACTTCATATTAGCAATCAATACTTGGTAAGTGAGACGATACGATATATCACCAGACAAAATATCGTGATACTATGCTGTATAGATCTTTTTCTCCCACCCCTAATAGTCATTATTGTGTGAATGGGACTATCTAATACTAATGGGCACTGTACATAGCATCTGCTGCCATCAGTGTCTGAATATAATATGAATGAGACTTGCAGAGTAATAGTGCCATCAGTCGTCAGAATACTAAAAGCACTACGTGAGTACAGTTCATTTCACTCATTTCAGCTAAAAAAGAAGCGGATACCTTATCATGCCTAAATTGATTATTTTATACGGCTTCTAACTGGAGGTTTCTGCTTGAGCAGAATACAGTGATGTGAGACAGAGAGTCCACATGATTCTGGGGATTTTGTGTATAGGTATGTTAAAACAAACTCTGCAATGCTGTTCATTTAAGCCATTACTTTGTCTTCATCTGTTTGTAGAAACCAAAGGCTCAAAAGATGCTTTTATCGGGGTATGGTGTAGAGTTGGCCATTAAAAGCACAGAATATAAAGCCGTGGACGACACTGAAGTAAAAGGTCAGTTGTTTGCAGTCAGACATTAAGTGCTGCGCCTCCCTGTGTCCAAGACAATGAATCATACATATCTCAACTTTGTAGATCCAAAAATGATGACGAATGCTGAGGAGGACATTAACGATGAAGTCCAAGGATTCATTTTTGGAACTTTGAAGTAAGTAGCTTAGCTGCATCATGATAATGAGCACACAGGCTTTTTAATGTCTTGTGTTTTTGTGTTGTTGCTGTCGAGCACCCTGTGCTGAGTGTGACTTGATAAAAAGAAACTTCTTGTCACATTAAAGCTTTAACTTTCTTATTCTTTCGTTTGTGCGAAGGAAATCTCACCCTGAACTCAAGGAACAGCTACTTGAGCTTCGCAAACATCTGCTGGACAGCACCAATGACATGGTCCCACTTAAAGTGTGGGAAATGCAAGGTGACCATCATTTCTTTCACTTCATCGATTGTTAACAGTAGATACAGTCAGACTCTTTAAATGGTGATATGCAGATTTTTATTTGCTTTGCTTTATATTTAAACATTTGTGGAAGCAGATTCTCTTGTTGTATACTGCTGCTTTAGAATCATTTCAAATCAACCAGTGGGTAATAGCACATTTTTTCATCTGTTCTGATTATATCTCATTAATTTAAATTGCCTAAACTTGATGTGTATTCTTTAATGTGAAAATGTTACTAAGTTTGTTGTTTGATTTTCTCAGATCTAAGTTTCCAGGCAGCTGCCAGAATCATGTCTGTGCCAAAGTTTGATGCCTTGAAGTTAATGCGAGATCTCAGTCAGAACTTTCCAAGCAAAGCCAGGTAAGAAAAATGTATCTCATTTTCTTTTTCTGGCTGACTGGCTTGCGCATTTGGTCCCTTTCCAAAACCCATATTGTCTGGAGCCATACTGTGTGCAGCAATGTGTGAATGAGGCAGAGCGAATGCGGTTATCTTAATACATGTGGAAATCTAAATATCAGAATGTGTCTTTGTAAACCCATTTGTATGAGCATTACCCACAATAAGTACATCCTCAATACGGAGGTCTTATCAGCTTTTTGATATGTGCTCGGCTCAGGCAGTTTGTAATAACATCAAAAAGTGCTGAGTAAGAGCCTGATGTTTACAGGGAATTGACTGAAAAAGCACCGTCTTGAGGGCCCACAGGTTTTCGGAGATTAAAACTGGCATTTTACTGCCAGCTGGGGACGCGGTAAAAGCTGATGGTGACTGTACATGTTTTACTGTTCCCACAGATCACTGACAAGAGTGGCCGTAAAACAGGAAATGAGAAAAGAAATTGAGGAGAACCAAAAGGTGCGGTATCATAAGCAGCCTTTCCACATGATAGTGCAGCAAGTTTCCTCCGATAAAAACCCAAACCACAATGACTTTTACTCCTGAGAACAAGTTTCCACTTTGTATCAGGAATAAATCCCATAACAAGACAAGATATATTTGATTCTTACTTCTCTCGTTATATCTGTGCAGACTTAATACCTGTTTTTTCTTACTGCTGTAGCCCTTGTACATATCCTTTTAAAGATGAAATCACTCATTTAGAGGTTTTGATAATTGACTGACACTTAAAAGCTTGCTCTTCCAGCGTCTTAGTGAGACCATTGGTGTTCACCCTGGAGACGGGGAGCTCTTCATCAACGGACTGCACATTGATCTGGACACTCACAACCCTTTTAGGTAGGAACCCAGCAGGAGGGAGCAGTGGTCTGTCTGAGCTCTCTACAGGAAGCCACATACCTACTTCTATGTTCAGAAAAAAAAACCTGTTGCAAGAGTTTGTTGCACTGCAAAACTATTTCCACACAGTCTGTATGAAATAATAACCTGTGGTTTTTTGTTACAGTATTTTAGACATTCTCAGAGGAGAGGCTAGGGTCTTGGAGGGGCTCCATAACCTGGGCATTAAAGGGGAACACCAGGGCAAGCTGCTGAGGCTCCCTGTGAGCACTGTGGATGACAGCTATGCCTTAGATATTCGACATCCCGCCATAATGGTGAGCTCCGTCAACAAACACCAATCTCTAACACTGCAGGTGTTCTTGCTCTTTGTGTGCTCACACCAGGGTGTAAATTGGTGAATCAGTCATCCAGCTACAGTCTCGAGGTTGCCAGACTAACTTCAGTTATTAATTGGGAGGATAGCCAAGGAGAGCAATCAAATTAAAAACTCTCAAATTTCATTTCAGAGCCTGCAGTCATTTTAATTGTTTAGCTTTTCCGAAAAAGCCACATTCAGCCGCAAGGTCTGTCATTTCAGTGCGTATCCTCCCTCATGGAAACATTTGTGCATTGCAGAACACACACATACACATTGATTTGTAAAGACAAATACATGTAAAGGTCAAACACTGGCACTGTGAGGAGGCTTGTATGATTCCTTCCTCCGCTGTTGGTGCCAGGTTGGCCAGCAATGTTGGGTCCATTTACTAATGTGGTACTAGTCATTTATCATTAATAGCCAGAACTAATGGTTGTCCATGTGTTACATGTGATGCATACTGAATGATGAGCATACCTGGTTCAGCTTATGTCTTCTCAGTACTACATAGTGTTTAATAAGAGCTTTATTGTTACAATTTCATGTGTAATGTAAGCTCTGTACAGTACCAGTTGAATGAAAGAAACTTGTTTTACCTATATGATAATTATGTTTCATGGTACAGTGTTTGGGGGCTTTTTTCAAACAACAGGGTATGCTTGTCACTTTAAAAGACACACTGTTGTACTGTTTTTGCAGTCATACCCAAAAATCTAGTGATGCCAGGCAGCAACATTTATGAGCAGAGATTTTGAGCTTGAATGTATGGGTGAGGTTGCTGTTTTAGTTTGCAGATACAGCGGTGATAGAGTGAGGTATTTTTAGACCCCTGTAAAGCATTTGCTATCAAGAGTAAACCATGCTCTGCTTCTTTGTGGCTTAAGTCTATCATCCTCTCTGTTGGTTTTCATTCAACAAAACCCTCAGATATAGCTACCTGTTACATACATAAATCAAAAACTTCAAACGAAAAACAACAATTTTGTTAAATGAAAAATATGAAATGAAATGCAAAAACATCTCACAGCCAAAAATAAATATTATGAAACAAATATACCATTGAGATTGTTTATTTGATCAAATATACATATAGAACAATTTTAAACAAGGAATTACCTATTTTTTTTGGAGATCGAAAAGGAGTAGGTTTAAGCTATTTAGCTTATATGTACCTACATAGCTACCTGTCAAAACCTCTTCAGAAATAAAGAGAGAAAATACAGAAAATGTCACTGGTCAGACTATATTCACATTTCTAAATTGGTCCTATTTTTGTTCTTTACTCTTCCAGTGGGTAAATGACATCGAAAATGACCCAGCATACCGCAGCTGGCCGGGGGGTGTCCAAGAACTCCTCAGGGCCACCTTTCCTGGAGTCATCCGGCAGATCAGGCGCAATTTCTTTAACCTGGTGAGTAGCTTAAAGGACAGAGATGCTGAGAGAAAATGTCATTGAATTGGTGTTAAGTTGTAGATCAATTGCTCATTTGCTTTTCTTATCTGGACACTGTGAAAACTCTCTGGATGTATTGGATTCATCTCTGCAAGACTCTAATTAGTTAATTAGTTCGTTCAGACACATTTAGAGGAGAATACTAAGTACTCGTTAGATTTACTAAATGTCTCTCATTATCAGACTGGCTTGGGCTGGATTATTGTTGGATTTTCTAAACAGGATGATGTCTGATTACTGCAGCAAAACAAGTATTTGTAGATGTGTTATGATTCAGATTTGATGATGATCCCTTTTTTCGTGGTTAGGTTCTGTTCCTGGATCCGACCCAAGAAGAAAGTGTTGAGCTGGTGAAACTAGCAGAGCTTTTCTACAAGCATAAGATCCCCCTGAGGTTGGTGCTGTTATTTCTCACACCTCCAACACTGTTTATACAGTAGACGCTTGGCATTTAGAATCTTTACCAGGTAGTGATTCTCATTTCACCAGCAAATTGAATACTTGTTTTTGCTCCCTTCCTATAGAATTGGATTTGTGTTTGTTGTCAACACCAAAGATGAGATTGATGGCTTCTCCGACGCAGGAGTTGGATTTTACCGGCTTTTGAATTACATTGCAGACGAGTACGATTTATCCCAGGCTCTGATGTCCATGTTCTCTGTAAGTATGTCATATGCTTATATAAATGTGTTTTTTTAAGTACACATTTCTCGGGGTAATCACGGCACACCCCCCTTTGTAAGCTTCTGTCTGTTTTTGCCTCAGAAGTCAGTTGTTTTATTGTACCTTGTTTTATCCCATGGTTTTAGACATTATTGGACAAGAGGACTCAGTGGGATTTTGCCTCAGCTATCACTTGTTTCAAACAGTGTTGGAATTTATTGACAGTAGCAGGCTTCTGAAGACAGTGATAGCCAAATCTGATCTGACTTACCTCTCTCCCACAGTTGTACAACAAAGTAGACACTGGGGAGCTGCTGTCTGTAGAAACAATCTCAGCTTACCTGAAGAACAAATTCCCTAAAGCTAGCGCTGAAAGGATTCTAGGAGTAAAATCCGAGTATGATGATACAAGAAAAGTAAGTCAGTACAAATTTTCCTTATCACTTTTGCTGTTACTTACAAAACTGCATGAACAGCCTCATTCATTGTTCTGTGTGCTCCAGGAAGGTGCCCTTTTCTACAAAAAGAGCGGCTTGGGTCCTCTACCTCTGGCTTTATTTAATGGAGTTCCTCTGAGCTCAGATGAGATGGACCCGGATGAACTGGAAACAATCATTCTTCAGCGCATAATGGACACCACAACAAGCTTCCAGAGAGCTGTCTTTATGGTATGAAGTGTCTGCATGGAAAGGAGTCGATTTTTCATCCATTCATCTTTATTCCTCTCTGGCCCTCAATGTTTTTTGTTTGCAGGCACATTCTCACTCCTGTAAAGTATTTAGATTAACTCAAGACTCAATGATTCCTTATGGATCAAGGTTCTTAGCAACATCCCTTTTGTCTGTGTTTATCTTTTGCATACAGGGTCAGGTGACTGAGAACTCAGATGTAGTAGACTACCTGATGGAGCAGGCCAATGTGGTCCCCAGGATGAACCCTCTGATTCTGAGCACTAACCGACACTACCTCGACTTCACTGCCACCCCAGGTAACCTCAGTTACCGATCTTGAGCCTCTCATCATTTATTTACCATCTATACTTTCCTTCACTTCTTCCCTCTTGCCCTGCAGTTGTGGATGATTGGGAGGACACCACTATGTTTTCATTCATGGACTCCAGGGACAAAACTGCTGTGATGGCCAAGAGAATGAAATACTTCACAAACAGCGGTAAGAAGTCTTTGATTAGCTTTTACCCCTAACAGAGTTTCACATGAATAACACAATTTCATTTTCAGGAGCTTAGTGAAATTCAACACAACTCCATGAAGTAAGTTTCTGTGTATTGTCGTCCTAAGCAGGAATGTGTAAGAGAAGCGATATCTAAATGAAAATGATTTCTGCACAGCTTTACAGATCTGTGAAAGTGTGAAACTCTCGTTTGTTAAGGAAGGCTGCCTCTAGAACCTTAATTGCTAGTTCTGCTGCCTGGCTCTGAGCCAACAGTCTGAATGGTCGTCAGAGCTGCATTTCACTGCGCAGGCCAGGAGTGTAGCTGTCTCAGTGAGGCTGAGGAGGCTGATTGCCATCCTCCCTCTGTGGACTGGCTGACCGGATGACTGCCTGCTTTTCTGACTGCCTGCTTTTCCGACTGACTTACTGACTGACTGGAGGGAGTATAACGATGACAGGTTGCACAAGTCTGCACTAATATAGTGAGTGCTCTGCCAGATGTCTCTCTTCCTTCTCCCACACAAAATGAATATGCACCGCAACAACTGTACTGCATCTCCTCAATCTCGTGTGGTTGTCTGTGTGCGATCGGGAGCTAACCCTTTAGCAGCTTCTGCTAAATGCCACATAAGCACGAAGGTTGACGTTGACATTAAAAAATGCTTAAAATACATTTGCCCTTCAGTGGTTCTCACATTATAATACACTTTACTGCACCAGTGCCAGGAAACTACAGCAACAGCAGTACGAACTGGTCAGGAGGAGGAATGTCCCCATCAGCTTTTTCGGGCCCTGATGAGTATCTGCAGATACCAAGCCCTTATCCGATACTTGTAATTGCCTATTTAACGGAGCTGCACATTGTTATTTTTTGCTTACATAAGTAACCAAAGTAAACAAGTCCAAGAGAAGATGGCTTACTGTGTGCATGCAGTACTGCACGCTTGAACTCAAACGTTGAGGAACCAATCTAAGGTGCAGTGAGGCACGGCAATGACATCGACAAGTGTCAGACCACCAAATGTTTCAGAAGTAACAGCTGTCACACGATGCCTTAAATCCTCTTGTCTGTTGTTGTGAACTTTGCTGCACAGTACTGGCAAGGCAGTGTCTGAAATGTAAATTTGGGCAGCAGACACAGTGGATCTAGCAGCCTTGGCTGGCATAACTTCTGAATATGGGATGTAGGGCTGGGCGATAAACTGAAAATTTACAGATATCGAAATTTATGACAATAACCAACATCATTTTGCCCATATCGGTATATAAAAGTTGGTTTTGGATGTGTGTAGGTAGATTATGGGCTCATGTCCCTTTAAGATGCTGTCCTACGTCACAGACCTGACTCCACCCCATCTAGTCCATAACAAAGAGGGAAAGGGCGGCAGTAGCTCAGGAGGTAGAGCAGTCGTCCAATAAGGTTGGCGGTTCGATTCCCCCCTAATCCAAGTCTGTCCGTTGTGTTCTTGGGCAAGACACTTAACCCACCTTGCTCCCAGTGTGTGTCCTCGACTGGTGTATGATTGTGAGTGTTGTGTGGTGGTGGTCGGAGAGGCCGTAGGCGCAGAATGGCAGCCACGTTTCCACCACCACCAAAGTGTGACTGTGTGAGCGAATGAATGATGTATCCAATGTAAAGCGCTTTGAGGGTCTCTGATAAAGCGCTATATGAAATCTGATGCATTATTATTATTATTATAAAGACAGGTGAGGAGATGGAGGACTGTTCATAAGTTGTAGCGGCTGAAGTAGACAAAGTTAAAGTGGGAGGAGGTGAGCAGCTTGTGGAGTAGTTAACGCCATTTATCATTATCGAGGTGAACCGCTCAATATATCGTGATATTGATTTGAGGCTGTATCGCCCAGCCCTAACAGGATGCTTGTTGCATCCCCCTGTTTATGATATTTATGCTAATCTACAGTTTGTTGCTTCAACCCAGTAGCTTTTTCTTCTGTTGTACCATTTCCTGTTACATGTTAAGCATTTAAGATCAAATCGGTGGTATTGAACGCAGCTTGACTGCTGCCATCTCAGGAAACAATTGTATTGCATCTATTCCAAGTTGCTATTGGACTGTTTTTGTTTCCTAGTGAGAAATGTTTGACACTGCTTGCCAGCCAGCTTGTCTCCTGCTTCAAATTGTGCTCAGTTAACAGGAGCTGACATGAGTAATTGGGGTGAGATGACTTGCTCAACTTCTTGATTCCACATCAGTGAAAAAAAGCCCAGATGTACTCAGAACTCTATTTGAACATGGCTGCTAAACTTAAATGCAATGGGAAATGCACACTATGCATTAAGTTTGGTAACTGGTTATTACCTTTTTCCTTTAGGTGAGGATGGAGTAAGTGCTGTGACCATCTGGATAGTTGGTGATTTTGAGAAAGTGTCTGGAAGGAAACTTCTGCTGAATGCTCTGAAACATGTGGTGAGTGTCATCAACTCATTTTCCTGTTCACCTTCTACCACCTTTTAAACATTCAAATCTAAAAGTTCTATCTCCTTATTGAGATGTCTCTGGTGTCTCTCGCTGAGCATCATTTGCCAAACCATCAATCCTGATCTCACTGCAATGAAAATGTTTGAGAAAGCAAACAGCAGTCAAAGATTTTTTATGTAGTCTTGGTGAGATTGCAAAAGCCTTGAATCCTAAAAAAGGATGGATATTGACTCAAATGTAGTGGCTGTAAATCTGCACCTCCCTTACAAACAGGAGAGATATGGTTTGTAGGGATAATATTTAACTGAAAAGGCCTTTTTGACTTGAAACTAAGGACTAAATATACTTTCAAAATGCACTCAGAAAAATCTTGTGGATAGAGATTAATTAGGTGAAGCCAGCAGGTTTGTGTTTGTCATGAAAAAATCCTGATAGTAATCTAATATGAGAAGAAGAAACGTATACCCCCGTCTTTAAAGCAGTCCATACTTTGTCTTCCCAGTTTTCTCCTTCAGTGATAGCTGCGATCTCTGGAAATATGAGAATGTGTACCGTTTTGTGAATCACTGCTGTGTTTTTGTGTGTGCCTGCGAGCAGAAGGCTAGCCCTGGAGTGCGCGTGGGGGTGATAGATAACCCCAGCGGAAAGCCCACTGAAGATAACACCGTGCTGTACAGGGCTATCTGGGCTGCTCTCCTCACCCAGAAGAACAAGGCTGCAGCAGAGTTTGTGCAAAAACTGCTGAAAGAGGAGAGCAGCCTGCTACTCCAACAAGGGACCAAGATGAAGGATTTACTGATGCAGGTAAATGAGTTCCTAGTATTCGATCAGATAGTTCCTGGCTCTGAGCAAAGAGTCGGCATATTTTTTTTTCTTATTTGGGAACCTAAGTAACACTACCCACATTAACAATCACATTGCAATCAGATCCACAAACCACCTTTTCTGCAGCGCTAATGCTCTGTAACATAAGTCTAATGCAACGTAGATAGTCACACGTTTATATTGTATTGGATTTAAATCAGCCATGTTCGTCCTGATGCCTGACAGGAACTGTTAACACGATCATCATTACAAGTGGAACATGCGGAATTTAGATTGTCGCACCACCAGCCACCACAATTTGCTGAACTGCGTCAGCGCCTGAAGCAGTAGACACAGAACTGTTCAGTGGGTGCTGATTAGAAAATGTTGAATTACTTTCTGCTGTGTTAAACACATGAATGCCTCTGAGCTGAGGTTGTAAAATCTCATCTTTTGTTGCTTCTGACATGAAAGGGAGACAACAGGAAAGACACAATCAGCAAAATAAGTTGTAAACAAGGACATATTGGAACAAAACAAACTAATGTCTGAGTGACACAGACCATTAAGATGGATGTAGTTTTATCTGGTTGAACCATCCTCTGTAGTTCTGTAGTTTTGTATTATAATATTATAAATAAAAAATCATAATTACTTTCTTGGTAAAGTAATTAGAGCTAAAATACACCAATGAAAATGTCTGTTTCAAGCCAGACTGGTATAGGAAGAACACCTGAGGTACTTTATCACATTGATGCAAAGTCCCATAAATCCAATAGTGCCATAAAGCAGTCCTCACTGATTTGCAACACCGCCTGCCATAGACTTATACAACCAGATATATTAAAGAGATAGCCACCTGAATGTAAACAGTATTGCTAAAAGCTGTTTGATGTATTCCAGTGGTATATAGCCTTACATAATCCAGTCTTAAACAATATGTAGAGCAACAGTGCGAGTGTTTACTGTAAGTGTGTGGTAAAAGATTGGTACCCTGTGTAATGTCGGTAAAAAGGTATCTGTGTAAAATCGAGGAAATATGACTGAAAACTGTAGGAAGTGAGGAAAGTATGAAGCAGAACTGATTTGTAGGAGTGCACACAAGGAAAACAAAGGTTGGATGTAACCGCTCTCAGAGATCTGTCTGCTGCTGCTTTCCTGATTTAAGTGCACAGTTGAAGAAAATTGTGATTGATGAGGCCATCTTCTCCTTCCTCTCCTCAACACCGGCTAACAGAATACATTTAGAGCACGCATGATGCTCCACAGCCTGTGGATGCCAAGGCAGGCAGCCTCCTCACTGTCAGTTCCACTTGATCTCTCACAGGGGGCCAGCACAAGGCGGGCTCCACCCGCTGAATCTTGAACTATAAGATGCCGGTGAATACCTGGTCTCCATGACCTGATGAATGGCCGAGCTCCGGCTCCTGCTCACTGCTCATGGTTGTGTGAGCCTCCTATGTTCAGCTGAGCCTGACCATCACTCTGCTGCAGTAAGCAGTGTGTTCATTCTCCATGTTATAGTGTATAGTGCAGCATCCACCCACACAGCATTACACCGAAAGAAAGAAAAAAAAAAACCCAGGCGCTCATCAACAAATCAGCTGACAAGAGAGCTTATATCTCCCCATCAGGAATAAGTCAGAGAGCAAGGGTTACATTTGGGACCAACCATAACAAACTGCCCTTCAATTATAGCAGCCTTTAACAATGGGAAGAGAATGGGCTGGGAATAGAAGCAGAAAGATAGGTAGGGGTGGCTGTGTGAGCTGAGACACAGAGTCAAGGGATATGAGTTTATTATTGGCTGCCAGACAGACTTGCTGACTGGATTGTGCTGACATTATTGGTATTTCACCTGTTCTCCTGAGGAGAGATGTTGGAGAAACTAATAACCTGACTCCACAAACCCTCCACACTCCCACACCTAATTTGTTATAGACAAAAAATGGCAGAGGCTTAATTAAGAGTTTGTTAAATTAATTACAAATTGATTAATCTCATTTTCACGCATGCACATTTTTTACAGCCTGGTCCTCTGGCTGAAATATATTTTATGTTTGAAAGCTGCAGTGATTTTGCTGATGCGAGGCATCAATGCTATCGTGAATAATTTTCCGTTTGCCTCGCATTCATCATTTCTTCCGCCGATGCATCATTTTGGTTTGGTTTTGGACAAGCTGTAAAGGGAAAAAGGTCCTTGAGCTGGCCTATTGGATCTTAAACAGAGAAGTGTGTGATGTACTGCAAGCCAACAATGCAATCAATTTATCTAACAGCCAAACTTTTGTTATTCTGCTCCAGGGCATGGACGAAGATGCCTTTGAGAAAAAGTTTAACACAATGGAAGTGGACTTCATCCGCAGTCAGCAGCTGTACTGCCGAGAAGTCCTGAAGTTGAGACCTGGACAGCGGGCAGTGATAAGCAACGGCAGGGTGAGTGAACTTCAACTCCAGCTCAGTTCAACAAGCATTTTATCACTTTTCTCAGAATACATTTCTGCAGCATAAGTCAAACACCACATTATAAGTTATAGAAAAAAGATGAAGGATTGATTAATCTTGCTGTTAATACTTCACTGCTGTAGAGTAAGATCCTTCAGGCAGCTGCACTTTCATGACTTTTCCAAGTGCTGCTTCCTTTGTACTGTCAAATCAGCATGTCTGTTCCTTCAAAGGTTACAGGGGTCACAATCTGCCTGTGTGTTTGTTTATGTGTACCGTGCTGATGTCACAGCGTCAGTGATGCTGACAGGCACACATGAAGAGGCCAACCCTGTGAGATGGCAGCAACAATTAGTATCACTTCACACTCCTCTGCTGCACTGCCAACAAACAAAGAAAGGAAACACAGGCCCGACGCTGACTACTCTGACTCTCAGTGGCAAAAAAGTGTTACTTTAACTTTTCATTTAACACCCTCTAATGCTGTAGTAAATGAAGCGTGGGATGGAAACGAGCAAAGTTGTCTTCTGACTGTATTATTTTCTTCTTGTTAGATCCTTGGTCCATTTGAAGAGCAGGAAGAATTCAGTGTGGATGATTTCCACTTGCTGGAGAAGATTACATTTAACGGTGCTGCAGAGAAAGTCAAAGCCAGTGTTAAACAGATGGGGCTGAAGCCAAAGCTGTAAGTTTGCACTTTTCTGCCTTGCTGTGTGAAGAGGAGTCTTCTCCCTCTTTCTTTAGTTGTCTGTGTCGACGATTTAAACATCCCTCTGTTTTTTTATAGAATATTTTTCCTTCTTGAGTTTGTCACAAAGTTTGTGAAGTATGAAAGAGGATTAGGGCCACATGAAGAGAAAAGATATAATTACAGGAAGGAGATTAAAGTCAAAATTTAGCAATTAAGAAATTGAAATTATGTAAATAAAGCCAAAATTTCAAGATAAAAGATGAAATTTCGACATTAATGTTGACATGAATAAAGTCGAAATTTCGTAAAACAAATCAAAATTTCGATATTGAAGTTGAAATTACGCGATGAAAGTTGTTGCAAATGAAGACGAAATTTCATGAATTAAATCGAAATCTGGAGATCACAAAATGTTGAAATGTCATGAATAATGTCAAAATTTCCAGATTAAAACAATTGAAATTTTGAGATTGAAGTTGAAATTTCGACATTAAAGTCAACATGAATAAAGTCAAAATTTCGTGAATTAAATTGAAATTTCGAGATTAAAGTCGAAATTACAAGATTCAAGTTGTTGCAAATAAGGACGAAATTTCATGAATAAAGTCATAATGTTGAGATTAATAATAATAAATCAACAGTGTTGTCCCTCGACAACATGTTTTTTGTAGAACATTTTGTAAAGCTGTACCGTAGAATTGGATTTAGTAACAGGGAAATCGTTGCTCTTTTAGCACACAAACAGAGTTTGGTCATAAATATTTGGACTCTGAAAAGACTGTAACGAAGATAACGACTTTACAGAAGAAAAAAACAGACAAACTTGGAGGAGGTTGCTGCCTTCGTGCAAAATGCAATTTTTTTTATCTTGATTTTTTTTTTTCAATTTTGACTTAAATCTCGATATTTCAACTTTAATCACAAAATTGAAATTAAAAAAATCTCCCTCCTGTAATTATTTTCCTCTCTTCTTGTGCCCCTTATCCTGTTTTGTAGTTAAGATAACATACCTCTCATTTCCTCTTGGGAGAAAAAAAAAAACAATCCATATGTGTGCGATGTGAAGTGATCTATGATTTAGAAAATGTCAGTGAGAAGGTTCATTCATCATTAATGATTTATGAGGCTGCCTTGTTAACAGGTTGACATCATATTATTTGAGCTCTGTTTGACATGTCTCTGAACACGTCGCGTTAATAAATGATGGACTGACCCTGCTATGCCTCGTTTCCTTTAGCGCCAGTGACTTAGTCATGAAAGTCGATGCCCTCCTCACAGCAGCCCCCAAAGGAGAGGTCAGGAGAGATGTCAGCTTTATCAAAGACAGCCACAGGTGGGCAACAGTTTTCCTCTCTGTTTACTGGCCTTTTGACTCTACAGTCTCTCAGGGAAGTGTTTTTAATTCTCCTTTTTTTTTATAACGGATCCAAAAAATTGCCACGCCATCATTTCAAGCCGACCGGAAAGGCGAATCTTTTTGATATACGGTTTTGCTGAATAAGCTTTGTATAACCTTGTGTTGCTGAATCTGCTTTGTGTGCGACGTCCTCCTTCACAGTGTGCTCCATCTCTCTCCGCGGGAGAATGAGGTGTTCTATGATGTTGTGGCCGTCGTTGACCCGCTCACAAGGGAGGCACAGAAGATGTCCTCTCTGCTGATTGTAAGCTGTTTTCCCCCACTTCCTATTCTTCTCATCTCTGTCCATTGATTCCTCGCACAGCAGAGACACTTTAAATTCACTCGCACTGAAAAGAGGGCTACAAAGCTTTTGATGAGTCACGGTTATATATATTCTCGAGTGTGCAAAGCTTGTGTTAAGATTGATATTCTACCTTCTACACTTCAAAAGTATTTATTGAGCCATTAAAGTTGATCAGGAAGTGGAAAAAGTTCTTACTTTTTGTTATGGATTCTTAGAGAGCAATAACAAGTTTGCTGCTTAGTGTTTAAACAGATGAGGTCCTTTAGGGACTGTTTCCTCAATGAATGTACACAGTTCTATTGAATTAGCCATTAGCTGTTTGCTGTGTCTTTCTGGAAACTTCCTTTGGTGGAGGTTCGGTCTCAGGTGAATGACTCAGACAGTCAGTGAGACAGCCACCTTTTCAGTGGTGGACTGCAGCTCCACCAAGAAATATTATATGAGGCAGTTTGATACACTCAAAACAACTTACCAAGGTTGTTTTTTTTAATCATTTTTACATTTCATATCTTAAGGGAAATAGTGGTAAGAGGTTTCATTATTTAAGAGCCATCTAAAATTCAGGAAAATAAAAGTAATAGAAAGTGGAACAGGAAGATACACTCGATCCTTTTCGTTCATAAAAAGACTCTTGTTTGTCCGTTACCTCTCTGGTGGCCTCGAGGTCTACTTTGCTCCAGATTTCTAATTGGGTCTTGTCTTCTATGACCCCTGCAGGTGCTCAGTCAAGTGGTCAATGTGAGACTGCAGGTGTTTATGAATTGCAGGGCCAAGTTGTCCGAGATGCCCCTCAAGAGGTAAGCTGCAGTTCCAGCAGTAATTAAATTTCCCTGTTTGGCTTGTTTGTGTATCCTCCGACCACTTCGCCTCGCCTCCTTTCCTTTGTAAGATTATACTGCGCAGATTCAATCTGCTTAATAACACCACCTTATTGCTTTGGGCCTCCCCTCCCATCTCCGGGCAAATTGCTTACAGCTTGCACTACTGCTGTGGTTCACGGCATGCTGTAAAAACAACAAAATGAAAAAGAAAACACAAAAAAACAAAACAAATGAAAGGTTGAAATAGTTCATTATCATTTGCGCTGCTTAGTGTTTGTTAGTCATCATGTAATTTCTTTTTTAATTTGTTCTGTAATGGGTTGAGTTGTTTGTAGTTTGGCTCTTCTGGATGCTGTCTTTTCCAGTGCCTCATGGCAGAACTCTTTCTGGGAGCTCAGCTTCAATTTGGAGGGAGAGTTTGCAGTTTGACTTTTATTGACCAGCCTGAATTGTCATGATGGAAATAACTCTGAGCACTTCAAAGCACCCCCTCCTCAACTCAACACACGTCCTCTTCCCTTGAGCGACAGTTGCTTATAATCGACACAAATAGATGCGTGATATTTTCACATTACAGATAAGTAGATGTCCGCCTTCAAAGCTGCTACAAGCTGGTCCACTCATCCAGAATGCAGCGATGCACAAACATTTAATCTCACTAGCTTCTGTGGCAGAGATAGTTTGTGTTTCTGGTTGCTTTGCTAAACACCATGTTTTAAATGTGACTGTTGAAATTAACCTACAAGGGCAGAGGACAGACTATTAAAGGTCTGATTAAGATTATAAAGGCTGGGTCACTGGATTAGGGCTGATAAATCCTAGTCGACTGGTCGACTTATTGTTCGATGTGTGCTGAGTCGACCAAAATTCTTATTGGTCGACTCAATTTTTTTCCACGTCAGTTTACAGTCTATAGTTAATGTCATCAGTAGGAACGTACCAAGTGCTAATGGGGGTGTTTTCAGAGCACCCCCATTTCACAAGTAACAGCCTTTCTCAGAACACCCCCTTGTTTTCACCATTTTGGATTCGCCCAACCCACTGGTGACAGGAAGATTTAACAGTGTCCACATTCATCAACGTTCGGTGGTTTGTTAAATATTTATTTATATTTTGAGCATTTCAACTTTCATTATGTTTAATTGCCTTCTTGTGCTGATATCAGTATATTTTCACGCCAAGCCGCGTGGGTTTTAGATGACCAAGAATTTCTTCAGTTGATTACAGCCCTACACTAGACTATCAGAATGTTTCACTTTGAGGAATAAATGAGCTTTTTAAAAACAAAATATGTACATAGCCAGTTGTAACCATAAATCAAATCCACTTGTTTGATAGCAACAGATTTGGTAACCCTAGAGCCAAGCCCCCCTGGATACACTTCTGTCAGTGGACACACACACAATCTTTTCAGTGTCACTGGATTTATTCAATTCAATTGATACTTCTCAGAGCAGCAGGAGGGACCACAGGGCTGCTCGTCCTCTATCTCTCACTTTTCTTCTTGTGGACACTCAGTCATCTCACAAACAAACGTATCAAGTGAGGACCCCCTTGTGTACTGATATTCTCCTCCTTAACTACAACCTCTCCTTCTTACATTCCCGGGCTTTGATAACAGCTCCCATCTCACACTGGAGCAAACAGCCTCTCTGTAGCTGCACTGCTCTGGTTCACTCTAACACTGCTGTTGTGGCATGGATTAACTTTAAAGACTTTTAATGCAAATAAGAAATGCAACGATACACCTTTGAATAAAAAGAAAGCATCAGCACAAGAATCAGCGTTGGTTATCAGCACTCATATGACTCCTCTGTGCTGATGAAAAGGAATCAGTGAGCCCAGAATACATGTACTGGCAGAGAAAAGGAAGATTTCTGGTGCACAGACTATCACATATGTTTCTGTTATTGGCGGAGCAGGAACACTGTCAGTAACAGTATTAGGTTCCTCACTTTGAGGAGATCCTATATACTGAGCTGTCACAACAGCGCATATCTCCCCTGTCCTAGAAAATAAGACTGTTGCACAACATGTCATGATTTCAGTGCATGCTGTGGAGGACTTTGCCTTTGTTGGTCTAAATTGTCAACTCAGTATACTGGCAAAAGTCCTGGATATTCACCCATTTAGTGCTTCTGCTCTCCACTCTGTCAGATTTGATGTTAACGGGCAATTAACGAGGGAGCAGTTTAATTTGGTTCGTCTCTTCTTGTCTTTTCACAGCTTTTACCGCTTTGTCTTGGAGTCCGATGTGAATTTCTTGGCAAACGACACAGTTTCTCCAGGACCAGTTGCCCGCTTCACGGAGCTCCCAGAATCCCCCCTTCTCACCTTGAATATGATCACACCAGAGAGCTGGATGGTGCAGGCTGTCCGCAGCCCCCATGACTTGGATAACATCCACTTGCAGGAGGTAACCTGCTCCTTAGTCATTCCCCTCCAGCACTCTTTGCACTCTGGCCCCTTTAAGCGCAGCCGAGGTGCTCTCTATTAATCACTCCCTTGTTGCTGAGTTTTTGCACATCCTCTTTGTAATGTGCTTGTTCTCTCCAGGTGAGCGGGGTCGTGACAGCTGAGTATGAGCTGGAGTACCTCTTGCTGGAGGGTCACTGTTTTGACCTGTCAACTGGGCAGCCTCCCCGTGGACTGCAGTTTACCCTGGGCATGAGTCGGGACCCGCTCATGTATGACACAATCGTCATGGCGAACCTGGTCAGCAGCTTTTTATGCTTAATACTAGAGTTAGCAAAGTTTATGAACAATGGATACAAACCTGTTATTGTTACTTTTTTAAATCAGGTTTGACTGCATATAAAGATGGACAATGTGTTTCCTCCTTCTCTTACTGTACAAAAGTGACACCAAAATACTCAGATAAAATGGTAGCACCAATCAGTTTAAAGCTGATACTGAAAGTTAAGTGACTCTCATGAAAGTATTTGATTTCCTCAAGTCTCCTCTCGCTGTTTTCCTCCACACTGCTAACCTGATTAACACAGCGCCACAAGTCTCATTTGTCAACAGAGCTCTTAATCATAACTATTTAAGGCTAAAACTCTCTGAAGAATAAATGTCAGACATTAATCAGCATGATGAGAAGAAATCATGTTGATAGATAATGTGTTTGAGAGAAATTTCTTTGATGTTAATCATAGTTTTAAAACTTGAGTCATGTCCCATCTACCAACATGGAGGAAGCTTGGTTTCTGTAGCAGCTTGTCAGTAGAGGATTTGCAAGTCTTTCCACCTCACTCTTCTTGGAGTTTTCACTTTGTCTGTGTCAAACAGTTTTGTCCCAGGGTTGCAGTGACCACTCAAACTTATTGTGCTTCAACCGTAACAGGGATACTTCCAGCTGAAAGCCAACCCTGGTGCCTGGACACTGAGATTACGTAAAGGAAGATCCGAAGACATCTATCAGATTCTCACGTGAGTATTCCAGACTGCCGTACTCGTCTTTTTCCTCTCAGTCCTTACTGTTATCAACATATTTTGAAAACAAACCTCAAAGCGGGGATACTAATTAGGTAGCTTCGTCAGCATCAAGCCTGTTTTCACCTACCTCTCCATTTCATGCTGGTGGCTATGAAACCTATCACTATGGTAACATGGAGAGCTGCTGACACTGTAGCAGCTCAAGGTTTTGATGAGTGCAGGGAGTTCTGCTCACTATAGAGGGGAAAGAGAGACAAGTGGGAGGAGAGCAGTGCTATTAAAGAGAAGACAGAGTGGAGGGATGATTCAGCTGGTCACCTGCCACGCCATCCACCTCAGACAGCAAAATATCTGCAGCAGAACGTGTTTCAGTTTGGAAGGCGTAGGTGTCAAAAGGCTTCATAAACGAGACACAGTGCGTTGGCGTTGTCTAATTTCCCAGGACAAATGGAAACCATGTTATGCTTTAGTTGGGGTGATTCATTTTTTTCCAACAAAATGTGATATTTCATTCCTTTTATTCTTTGAATTCTGCTTTTACTTTAATTAAAATGCTCTGTAGTACTTTAGTCCTTAAGACAAATCAAATCTTTTCTTTTCGCCCGTGAATCAACAAAAGGATTGATAATCTCTCACTGTCAATTTGATTTAATAGCTCAAATTCCTGCCGCTTATAATGGTTTGCATAGGCAGCTGTAGTGCATCATACTTGTTCTAACCACAATCACCGATATTGTCCTCTCAGGCTTTCCTCACATAAGATTTAGGACACATACAGCCCTCGGTTTCTCTGGAATCATATCAGACAACCAAGATTTATTCTCCAATCCTCCAGGTGAGGCAAAGGGGTGATGTCATTTTTCACCCTGGCAGTGTCATTATTCTTGTGGTTAGCGGCACTCTGCTCTGGTTAGGTGGCCGATCAGAGGCTAGTGGGGGGAGTGTCTGTGCTCTCCGTTCCCACAGCCTGCATTTTTCCTCTTGCACTCTGTGCTGCCACTGTGCCTCGCCCTGACAACGATGAATGAGATGGCCGGTTCTCCTCTCTCCTCAGAGCAAGGATACGGATTGATCTCTGGTGCTTTCTAACACAAGCCCTAAAGGCTGAGTTGCATCAGTGACAGCAGAGTGGGGGAAAACACAAGCAGAATTTGAGCATGGTGGGGTGGGGGAATTGCACTTTGGGTCCACTTAGGAGGGGGCATTTATCATAGTGATAAGGTTAGTTTTTTTGCCTTTAGTAAGCACTGGGGTCGTAATGGCTTGCTGTGCATCTTGGCCTATTGCTCATCTGTTCCTGAAGTTTGCTCCCTGGTGTTTCACCATCGGACCCTGCGGAACCTGCCTGCCAAAAGACATTCTGCACCGGGCAAATCAGTCCTAAAACAATTACAGTGAAAGGCCAGTGTTGCACAATCAATAGTGGACAGAATTCCTCATTTGAATTTACCAGTTTGTACAGCGCGGCTGGGAAGTACTGATGGGGAAAATAATGGAAAGGTGATTCTTAATGGTGATTGAGTGCAATGAATATGGTGTGACCCTGGCAGCTGGCCCAGTCTCTCTTTTCTCAGTGGTTGATCCATTGGCTGCTGTCTGTTTCATGAGTAGAGGCTGTACAGTGGATCGTTTTTGCACTGTTGTCATGTCCTAAACATGTGACCTAATTTCAGACGCTGTTTCTAACTCAAGCGCAGGATTAAAACTAGATAATAATCATGATTTGAGCTTTTTAGGAAGAGGTCACATAAGCTTTTTGCTGTTTAAAACAATGATTCATGCTAAGTCTGTGGTGACTTGCCTTAGGGTAACTATTCAGCTGCATCATAGAGCCCCTGCAAAAATCAGCTTTGCTTGTGTCTCAGTGTTAAATGGTCTAGTCCTTATTCGTCAGTTTCTCAGCTAATAGCTGTCTGTTTGTTTACATTATATCTCTCTGCCCCCGCCAGCTCACCTGCCAATCAAACACATACATTGACCTGCCTACTCACAGACTTGGAGGCATCTCTCATTTATCTCTGCAGATATTTTTTTTTTCTGTGTTTATTAGTGGCAGATCTCACCAGTTAATATGCAAATGAAGTTCACATTTTCTTCAACTGCAACTGAAGTTTAACACATTACAGTTTTAGTTCGATTACAAATATGGGATTACATAAAGCTGGAAGACTAATAAAATATAAAGCTGTTTAATGTCTGATAATGAAGTAAATTACATTTATGTTGTTTAAAGGAATGACAGCACTGACAGCTCTTCATATCCTAATAATTTGCTTACAGACTAAATCCGATTCTTTTCAAATGATTTGTTTGATCTCTTAAAACAAAACCCCATTGAACTTATTTCATACTACAAATATCACAAATATTAAGATGTTTATCAAATTATTTAAACCTTATTTTCAATGGGAAATAACACAAAGACAGATAATGTTATACTCACAATAATTAACAGATGTTTAATGTCAGCAACAAGAATCACAGTGTATCTCTTTTTCAGGCATGATGGAACAGATTCCCCTGCAGATGCTGGAGACGTCATCGCCGTACTGAACAGTTTTCAAAGCAAGATCATCAAAGTCAGAGTGAGTGTGTTCCTGATACATTCCTCAATTATATTTAGCACATTTTCCCAAAATACCCTCATGTAAAGACACTGGCAGTGAGTGTAACACCGTCTGAAATAGAGTCGCTGAATCAAGATCATTGTATTGTTGTTTTCTTTCTCTCCACAGGTACAGAAAAAGGCAGATAAGATCAATGAAGATCTTCTAAGTGAAACAGGAGAAAGCAAAGGCATATGGGACTCAATAGCAAGGTGGGGAATCTATTCTCAAATCAAATCCAGCTAAATGTAGTTTATTCTGGTAGGTTTTTAATCTTCCCCCAGGTGACTGACAGTTATAGCCGAGAGCAAATTGATAGTTCAGTCGTCTCACCCACCTTCTGTTTGTCAATTATCCACTGTGGTTTTTAGGAGATCTAATCCCCCCCTTCGATCCAGACTGCAATATTATGCTGTAAGATCTAGTCTTGCAAAAAATATGTGCTTCTGTAGGTATGTGTGTGTTTGTGTGTGTTTGTATACGTGTGTGTGCATTTGTGTGTTTCTCCCCAACACTTCCTAACTGTGTGATCTTGTCTTCTCACTTAATGCTTGCTGTGTGAAGTGTTTGGAGCACTATAGAGAAAAGGTAGGCAGTATCACTGCGACCCATTTAACACCTGAAACTCCACTGTCACACTCATTAGCATGTAGTGTCTATTGGTGGTTTCCAGTGTGCTGCTCGACTCTGCTGCGTTTGATGATGAACCACGATGACCTAATTTGACTAAACATTTATGAAACAGGATGTCGCCATTGAACCATTTTTGAATACTCGCACATTATCATTTCACGTTTTTGTTTGCATTAATTCTTGTATAATTTTTTGAGAATACCAGTGATAATTCTAAGTTTGGAAAGAATGCACTTATGCATGTATTATTCATGCATAAGTGCATGTAGCTATGTTCATAAACACATTGTGCATACTATCATACATGATCTCAAATTTCAACATTTTCTCTGAAGTTAAGAAACTGTCTTCTAGAGTTTCATGTAGGACATGTTGAAAAGAAAGTAAAGATAGGGCAGTGGAGTTGCTTCCACTTGCTACACAAACTGGTTCATGGAAAGTGTTTTTTTACCTGTGTTGCTGAAAGAGCAAGGAAAAGAGGAAAGAAAGTAGAGCATTACAAAAGATGCTATTTTAGGTCGAATGTTTTCCTCAACTGTTGCTCTTTAAGAGATGTGCTGCCTCAACATACTGATACAGTTTAGTTTGGTTGAAGTATCTCTGTGTTCAAGTGTTTACATGGAGAACAGAAGACTCCCCTTTGCAGCGCACTCTTGGTCATAGAAGTCTTTGTGCTCATTCGTACTGAAAGAAGCAGATCCAGGTTTGGAGGTTTGTCCTTCAGGCCCACAAAAACCTGAAGGGATCGCAGCCTACCTTGGTATTTTCTTGTTGACGGTCATTTTGAGACGTTAGTATTTGAACTCGTTGGTACATGTTTCCTCCAATGTCACAGAAACTTCCTGCACAGCTGAAAGTGGTTAGAAAGATGAATAAGTAGATTAATAGATTAAAATAATCTGGCAGCCATTTTTTAGCGGTAAGTCTGTTTTGAGATGTGATTACTTCTCAAGTGCCTGTGATGTGTTATGAATCCAAAATGTACTTAAACTGGACGGCAAACAGATGCACAGGTCTCATGACATGGTGGAAGGAAGATACTTACCACGTTTATCAATTAGGTCTAACCAAACATCTTGTCATTTCATTCAGTCCACCTTAAATAAATGGTTCTAGAGAGTTGAACTCAAACACCCCTATCTGGTCTGTTCTCTTCATTCAGTCAAAGATTCAGTCAAAGCTGTTCTTTGCCTGAGTATGGAAAATAAAATCATGCAAGTAGTAGTTTGCTCAGAGATATAAGAAAATATCTTTCACAGAAATTTGAGCAAAAGTCATGAATATGTTTTGTAATGACTCAGACAGTTTTTTCTAGAAGTTTCTCACACCATGTAGATCTGGACTAGAGAAAGTCCTGTTGGTTTGAAAGTCAAGTAGTCTTTTAAAACATTGCTCTATTTGTAAGCACAGGCTGCTTTTAGGATTTGGTTGTAAAGGGCTGGACTGAAGCTTGTTTATTGATCTCACACCTCTGAAGAATTAGTGGGCTTGAATTCATGCATCAGTAAGCGTCAGAGCGTCTTAGTGACAGAGTTGTTACAAACTCTGGCATCTCCTAAAGGGAGCTTTATCCCAACAGAGCAAAAGTGAAAATGGATTTGAATCCTATTCTGTCTGTTTACAGGCTTTTCTTCGACGCTTTGTGATTCATGTCTTGTGAGCAGTCTCTTACTTTCCTTTTCATCTGTGGCTGGAGAGGAAGACTTTTTCTCATGTGCTCTCAGTCTGGGAAATATTGAGGGTTTTATGCTGGTTATGGAAGCCATAAAGAGAAATCTGCTGTGATAGAGAGCTTCATGCAATCTGCACTTTTGGCCATCACTGGGCAATGATGCTGCTGGGACAGCAGCCAGCTTTTTTGGTATTAAGGTGTTGCCAGCAGTTCATGGTGAGGTACTTCTAGCCAAGACTTCCTTTTTTGTGCAGCATTGTTTACAGTCCAATTAGAAACTGGAGCAACTGTTTGTTTGGATCAAAAACAAACACAAATGGCTCCTCTGGATATGTCAGCAAGATAAAAGCCGGCATTTCTCGGTCCAAGTCATCCTACACAGTAACACCGGTTCATCAGTTTCTGGTGAGGCTCAGTTTCACTGTAAATAATAAGTTACCTCGAAGCTTCAATCTGACTTAACACAAAAATCCCAAGAGAGACCAAAGTTCTGTTGATTCACTCGGATTTAATGCTGAAATAACAACATCTGGGTTCAGATTTTTGTCCTCAAGTTAAAAATAAGACAACTTTTGAAATGCTTGTTAGTTAAATTGAAGTCAGGTTGATTATTCCTGATTTAACTCGTGAAGTTTGGATACCTAAACCAGACTGGCTTTAGCCACACATCAAGTATATATGCAACAGCTGTTCAAAGATAAAGTGATAATAGTCAGATAACCACCAACTGGGAGCACAGATGTTACAGATGAGTGCGCTCTGCCTGCTTTTGCTCTCCATACATTTTTTCCGACTCATACCAGCTGATTTAAGACTACTCAGACACAACAGGTTTATTGCCAAAGTTTGGTCTTCTATGTACAGATCCAACATTTGATAGATCTGCTAGTGTGTGGGTAACCTAAGAGATAATTTGGCTTTTAAATAACAGATGATGTAAAAGGCTCATTTCCCAAAGTAATTATAGGACCTCGGAGACTGTCCAGGGAGGCTCCAACCATGCGTGATTTTTCAAACTGAATCCAGATGAAGGGCAGGAGTGGGTAGAAATGATGATGCATGATAATAAAATAAAAGGATGATAAACAGATGTAAGTAAAAATGTGATAAGTTGAACAATTAACCCTAGAAAAAGAAGTTGTGATCAGAGGAGTGCTTTACTAAACACGTGCACTGAACATCCACCAATCATCACTTTTTCTTCTAGTTTGCAAACATGGCAGACCTCCTGCTGTTGACATCTCTGTTCAGGTTTTTGCTCTATGGGAAGAGCTGGAGTAAAAACAGAAGTAGACTTTTGTCCGCTGTCCACTACTCGGGATTTATCCTCAGCTTTGTTGATCATTCCAGAGGTCCAGATTATCTTGAGCGAGTCTGCCAAACAGGCTCTCACCTGACCTTCTAAAGCTGCTTATCTTTAGGGGGGGAGGGCCTATTGAGGTGCTGGAGGCCCTCTATAATGGTAGGCTTAGTCATGGCATACAGTTGGCATCCCCAGACCCTACAGATGTACGGTGACTCCCCAGAGGCAAACTGCTGAGCTAGAGAGAGCGGTGATGTGATTTGAGAGCACTTAATGTTTTAGAGAGGACTGGCTACTGGTGGAAAGGAAAGCTATGCAGCCTTTGTGAGATTGGTAAGCAGGTCACATCCATACAACAGTCAGTCTCTTGACCATGTGTAGTTGGTTTTAAAAGACATGCAGAGAGGGACGGTAACTCCCCTTCCTTCTCTCCCACTTCTCTCTCTCACTCACTGGTGTCTTGGTGGAGCCTGGAGGCAGAGGGCTGTGATTGAGTGTGGGAGAGACACTCCTTCCCTCATCAGCAGTCTATTACAGACAAGGACACACAGTTTGGCTGCAGACACATCCACCCTCCAGCAGAAGTCCCGATTTCTGTCCGCTAAATGTGACTTGCATCATGAGCCATTGCTCCCTGGTAGCTGTTTGAGTTTGTTGCAGCTGAGTTGAAAAGTGCGGAAAGTGGCATCTGGACCAGTATTTCACACAGAAGCCTAAAAACACACAATCTCATTTGGTGTGCTGGGTACCATAGTGTTGTGTATGGTGTTTGATGCTGGCACCCATGGGTTTGCATAATTTGGATCAATTTGCAAAATTGTGAGCATAAATGTTATTTATTAAGCTATTATATGCTTTAACTGCGAGATTAGACGTGCTGTAAACCTAATCCCTAATGGAAGCCTCACACACAGAGATAATTTTCTGTTTGGTTTTGATCATAGCTTTTGATTACACCTCTAGGTATTTGCTCAGCTTGGCGGCTGCAACCACGACTAAATTTCCCCTGCAAACTTCAAATAACTTTCGCCTACAAATCCTCTAACTGATCTTCAGACTTGTACACTGGAAAAAAACTGCACGGACAGCTAGAGCTAAAAAAGATTCTTACTAGTTTTGTTTTGTTTTGGCTTGTTGAACAGAAATCTACAAATATGAGAAACTAGAAGCAACAAATTAGACATTTAGACCTGATAAATAAACATCAGTATAAAATTTGGGGTGATCCATTTAGATAACTGATTCTTGGAACACTAGCGGTGAGAAATGCACTGAACATACACATTATTTATTAAGTTAGATAATATAAAACAAATTAGAACTTTTATTTGCTCTAATAGGACTACATCAGGGTGATCCACTCCCCCAGCTGCCTTTTTGTCTCTCCATTTAAAAAGCACCACGGAACCAGGACAACAGCTGCGTGTGTCAAAGAATCTGGCACAGTAGCACCTGAAGCCTTGTATTTTTAATAGCAACATAATGTCTTAAAGTGAATTCATAATTCTGCATAAATGCTGCTATTAAACTATGCAACGACATAAAGGCTTTAACTGACAGTAACAATGGCAACTTGGGGCCAGGACAGCCCTTAACTTCATCTTTTTTTTTAGGTTTTTATTCACATTTATATTCAGAAACAAAAGATATTAATAAATAAACTGACAAATAAAAAGAAGACCTTGTGGGGACATCTGAACTTGAGAATCATGTCGAAGAAAGTGGTGAGAACATTCAGTTTCTCTCTTCTTAGTAAAGGATTTTGTAACTGTTTCTACCCACCTGCTGAAGTTTAAAGCCTGGGGTTTGTACCGGCATTTCTATTTTACAAACAGTGAGCAGTAATTCACACAGATAGCAGCCATTTATATCAAAAACTACTTCCTCTATCAATAAACCAAAAGCCTTAACACCCTTTGGGATTGCATTGCACAGTATTTTCTCTCAGTTTAACATCTATTCACTCAGGAAAGGGAAAGATCCAAAATCACAGAAATGATTGGGCATCATGTGTATACTTTCTTGATTGATGAAATTTGGTAGTTGTATTTTCATTTAAAATAATTCAGTGGTTCTTTTACCATAACTCATCACAATGTTTTTGATGTGTCGGTTATGTGAGGTATCGACTAAAGGGGTATTCCGGTGTAAAATTAAGTAAGTGTCAAACACACCGTAACACCAAGTTAGACACCCCCCAGAGAGATGAATGTTGCTGACTGCTTGCTTCTCTAGTTATATCAACTTTAGTAATGACCGCACGATAGCAATACACAGTGGTCTATGGATCCACGCACAGACCTCAGCCACTCGATAGCCACAAATAATACTCAGAACAGCACCTAACTTCATCAACAGTACATATAGGGTCCCAGCCATAGTAGTAGCCACCAAGCATCTTTATAGCTTTGCAGAATTCCTTTAGCAAAGAGACAAAAGACAACTTACCCACTCACTTCCAGAAGCTGCTTGTTTGTGGGGGAGCCCTGACAAGTCGATCACTGATTGCAGCGGAGTTTCGCAGCTAAAGGAAGAACACTTATGATGATTACGTCATGGAAATGCAATCAGGCCTGTTATTATTATTATGATGATTAATACTTCAAGGAAATGATCCGCTGAACTCGGTGATCGACGCGTCAGGACTCCCCCACAAACAAGCGGCTGCTAGAAGAGAGTGGGTGAGTTGTGTTTGGTCTCTGCTAAAGAAATCAGGCAAAGCTAAAGAGATGTTTGATGGCTAGTACTATGGCTGGGACCCTATATGTACTGTTGATGAAGTTAGGTGCTGTCCTGAGCATTATTTGTGGCTACAGAGTGGCGTTTTGGTTGAGGTTTGCGCGTGATGACGTAGATGGCTGTGTATTGCTATCTGCGGTCATTACTAAAGTTGGTATAACTAGACAGGCAAGCAGTCAGCAACATTCATCTCTCGAGGGGGTTTCTAACGTGGTGTTAAGGTGTGTTTGACTCTAACTTTATTTTACACCAGAATATTCATTTAAATCCTACAAAAGGAATCACAAACATGTTGACTATAAAACTGTAGGTTTTGAATTTGAATTTGAAAAAAATTGGCTCCTTATTTCAAATGGAGAAGGAAGGATTGTTACCAAACATAGTTTTCTCTGTGATGATGCATCTTTGCAGTTTCACCATTTAGCTCCCAGCCCCATGCATCTGTCCATGACAGTGAAATGTGTGTGTATGACTGCTCGATGGCTTTATTTCATCTCCACTGCTGCCATTTAGAATTGAACGGTGCATCTCTGGTCGGCTGTTAAAGAATGAATCAGTTTTGATTCTTTGTATCATTGACTGTCTCGTAGCTACATGTGGATATAAAAATGAGAGGCTGCTTTAATGTTGCAGCTGTATCTGTTCCAGTTCAATGATTCAAGTTCCCTAGAGGAGTTCACATCAAATTAAAGCTTTCCAGAGGATTGCCATTCGCTTTGTATGATCTCATTTTAGGGAAACACATTACTGCATGGTGTGTTTGAAAATGTCTGATGTCTTTTTTACTCACTGTAACTAAATGTGAATTCACACAGACAACACTCATGCATTTCTGTGTGGTTTACAGCATCACAGGCGGAGGCTCTAAGAAGGATGAAGGAGAGAAGAAGAAGGAGGATGTATTAAACATATTTTCTGTGGCTTCAGGTCATCTGTACGAGCGCTTTCTGAGGTGGGTCACTTTCAGTTCACAAAAGCACTCAGTCACCAGCTTACTTTTAAGGCCGTACACGTTGCAGCTCTTTTAGCCCTGATCCTCAAACTGATCCTTCACACTTGCTGTCTTTGTCAGAATAATGATGCTGTCTGTCCTTCGGCATACCAAAACTCCTGTCAAATTCTGGTTCCTCAAGAATTACCTCTCCCCGTCGTTCAAGGTACTTCTCCTCACCTTATGACTCAATATGAGAGTTTTGTTTTTCCTGTGTAATCAGAATAAACCGCCCCCACTCTCCCCGGCAGATTCATTCATTTTAAGAAAATTACAGATCTGGGGTTCTCCTTTTCTGTTTAATTTTTTTTGTTGTTGATTTTCTGCAGATCTTGAATTATTCTGTCTAGCTGCAAAAATGAAATGCAATTATGAAAAACAAACATGCCAAAGAAATAGTCTGTCTTCAAGCAAACACAAACTTATCTTCGATGATAAGGCTGGTCACCAAAAAGATGTAACCAATTCAAATTTGCTTAATCTCTGTCGTGTGCGTTTTGTGTCGGGTAGGAGACCATCTCTCACATGGCAGAGGCTTATGGCTTTCAGTACGAGTTGGTTCAGTACAAGTGGCCTCGCTGGCTGCACCAGCAGACTGAGAAGCAGCGCATCATCTGGGGTTATAAGATCCTCTTTCTAGATGTTCTGTTCCCTCTGGCTGTGGACAAGATCATCTTTGTGGATGCCGACCAGGTGAGCGCAGAATTAAAGTGACATAGGTGAGACCTGTGTGTGTGTGTGTGTAAGTGAGAGACTCGTCTGTATCAGTCAACGCTGGTGTCAAAATTGGATCAGATCCTGAAGTGTTACCAATGTTCTTGCTCTTTCTCGCAGATCGTCCGGGCTGATCTAAAGGAGTTGAGGGATTTAGACCTGGAGGGTGCTCCTTATGGCTACACGCCGTTTTGTGACAGCCGCAAAGAGATGGAGGGCTACCGCTTCTGGAAAACAGGCTACTGGGCCTCACATCTAGGACACAGGAAATACCACATCAGGTTTACTTCTTTTAAAAAACTTTGAAGTAGATCCTTGCTGTTGGAACTTTTTTTGAATACCAGAAGCTTTTGTCACTTTTAGACAAAACCACTTCTGTTAGAGATGCAGCAGAATAAATTCAGTCGTTTAAAAGTACCACTAGTCAGATTATTCTGAAATAGAGTACATCTGTAACAACCTTTAAAATTCATCTGAACTCGAGATTGGGTCTGTGTTCAGTGAATCATCTGGGGGAATTATTCATTATTCTGCAAAAGTGAGTATCATATCTGAGAACTGTGAGGAACTAAAAATAAAAATAAGGAAGAGGAACAGAGTTTCAGTTAAAGTGCTGTAGTTGTTTTGTTCATGGAGCTATCTGGATCTCAAGAACTACAAAACCAGGACTCGGTTAAACCTTTTAAGAAGTCATAAAGTCTCACTTCACTCTGGCAGCACAAATCAACTAATGCACCAGATGTTTGTTTTGTTGAACATGCTGGAAGTAAAATTAGATTCTGTTGTGCAAGCTCGACTTCAAATGTGTTAAACTCCGCCACATCCCTTCACACTTTGATTTTTTTTTTAAAAAGAGAGGACAAAAACATTGTTAAAAAAAAAAAAAAGTAGCTCCTCTACCCAAAGGCACCTTGTTCGTCCAGTTTCCATGGTGACTGGACCCCACCATCTATAGTAGCAGTTCCTGTGGATATATTTGAGCATCTGATTCCTGTGTACAGCGATGGTGTTTATTAAATAAAGCACTGGGTTCAGCTCCATGCCGGGCACCTGACACTGAGTTCCCCCTCCGTCGGTGTGATGGCTAACTGGGTGGCTAAACATGGAGAGCAGAAACTTTCCACTTTACCTTCAGCTGATGAGGACAGGGCAGAGGAAAAGTCAGAAAACCACCGAGATTTGAATGGGTGCCAGTGTGCTGCTCAGCTCTGGCAGGACAAAAGCACTGAGGGTGAATGATCCGCATCAGTGAAGCCAGGAAAACATTATGTGGTGAATCTCCTCTGGCTGACACAGACCTCATAAGCAATAAGTGAAACTACATTGTGTACACCATTTGGTTTATTAATATTGCATTACATGTGAGGTGCAATTATCCGACTGTGCCTAGGGTATTTATCTTTATGAAGTCATTATTTTAGTGATATGAAGTTATTCTTTAGGGATCTTCAGCTCAGGGTACGGTTTACTCACAGAGCGCTCTCTCTCTCTACCTGTACTCTCCCCAGCGCTCTGTTCGTGGTGGATTTGAAGAAGTTCAGGAAGATTGCAGCAGGGGACAGATTACGAGGCCAGTATCAAGCCCTGAGCCAAGACCCCAACAGTCTGTCCAACCTGGATCAGGTAAGAGGGATGAGGATGCTCTGTGAACTCCACCTCCACTTTGAGTCACAGTTTGTTTGTTTTTTTTTAATCATCTCAATGTTTTTGTTGTGTTCTCCAAGGACCTGCCGAACAACATGATCCACCAGGTGGTCATTAAGTCCCTCCCTCAGGAGTGGCTGTGGTGTGAGACATGGTGTGATGACACGTCTAAAGTCACAGCCAAGACGATAGACCTGGTGAGTCCCAGAGGAATCTGAAAAGGTTCAATCTCTCTGATGGAGACATATGAAAACTGTTTATGATCCAGTTAGTGTAAGTCTGATAAACAGGGTTTCTACACTAGTATGGAAAGTATGGAAATAAATTTGATCAATTTCTAGGTCTTAAAAAGAATTGAAAATGAAATAAAGTATGGAAAAATATTTATGTTTCCAGACTATTACCACAGTTCTGAAATACCATTTTCTTGAATAGAAGAGTAGGTATTTCCAAAAATAATTTTAAAAAGTAGGGTATGGAAAAGTATGGAAATTCCAACTGTGTAGGAACCCTGGATAAAGATATGAAGCCATTAAGAAACTTCTGATTCGCTTGCAGTCGTCAGGTCTGAAGTTGGTCAGGATAGCAAAGGAAAAGGTGTGTTCAAATCAAAAATGTTACTATATGCCTGCAGAAAAAAACAGAAATTTCATGATTGATTTCATCGAACAGTGTTACGCTTGTTGATTTGTGTCTGGGAAGTCCTAGTTTGGTCACATCTGTCCTTGAATGGAGATAAAATTCTGCTTTCCTTTTGTCCCTCTGTTGGTTTCCTGCTCACACCAAAGCCTGCTGATGTGTGATTGGTCAATACTGAACTGACCACGAACATAAACTACAACTGTTCTTATTTTAAAGTCCAATCTGGTGTTTACAGGTTGAACTTTTTTATGTTGAATGTAATGTTGAAAAAAGGGGAGGGGGAAACTAGCCACGTGTGGGAGTTGCAAGATTCTCTCTGTCATATTTAATTGTCTTTTTATTCGAGTAGTAAAATCCATAAATCCCTTTTGTGATCTGTTGTCCATGTGGATGGTAACTGCTCCATATTTTCAGCTTCTTTGTTCTTCCAGTGCACCGTAGTAACAGCAGCACAGAAAAAGAAAAGGATATTCTGCGACACTAATGTCCATAAGCCACTTGGCATTTAGGAGACAACTGAGGAGCTATCCTGTAGTCTCCTAAACTAATTTAGAGAATTACTGGCCAGGCTCCAGCTGAATGGAATAGGAAGCATTGTCTCATTGTGGTTTAGGACACCCACTTGGTAATTCAGACACAAGACTACGGCTAATGTCCTTTTAACAGAATTGGAAATCAAATTAGGTTCAAATGGCTGCCACAGACAGTGCTGGGAATGGCACTAGGACTTGTTGGGCGAAAGTGACGCTGGTGGCGTGACTGATGTGTTCTGTCTGCTTTTTTTTTCTGCCGCAGTGCAACAATCCCAAGACCAAGGAGCCCAAGCTAAAAGCAGCGGCGAGGATTGTGCCTGAATGGGTTGAATACGACAATGAGATAAAACAGCTGCTTAGACAAGTCCAGGAAGAGAAAGACACAGACACGCACAAACGGGCTGGCTCTCCCTCACAAGCTAAAAAAGGTTTGTGTCTTGAAGATTTAAACATTGTTTCCAGCAAATTTCTCTTGGCCTAAGTTTTGTCTCTCTCTCTCTCTCTGACCACCGAGCTTACATTTCTTTCCTCCTCTTCCTCTGCACAGTAGACAACCGGCGAGATGAACTTTAACGTCTGCCAGCACCATGCTGAACAGAGACAAGGCAGCTTCTTTTGCATGCAGGCCACCTGCAAAGCTTGAAGACAGACAATTCCATCTAAACATAGCCACAGACAAGAGTGTTGTTGTACGTCTCCCCAGCCACAGAAGGATGAGATATTTTCAGAGATGCCATATCTGCTTCTGCAGTCAATACGTCTTACAAATTAACACGTGATCTAAGTGTTGCCTGCAAACTGTGAACCACTGCGGCGCTCTCAGCACTACAGTCTGCTCCTGGTTGACCGGAGAATGAAGTAAACACGGAGAGAGTAAAAGGAGGGGACACTCTGTTAGGTGTGCTCGAGGATAAGTAGCTGCCATATTTTGCACTGATTGTGTATCCAAATAGAAATATAGAGAAGGCACATCTCTGAAACTATGCATTGACTGAAAACATCCAAGCCAAAGTTGTCACTGACTCTTATGATTTTAAATTTTAATTCTAGCTACAAAGTTGTCACATTAAAATGTATTGACTCAGAGGGATTTGCATTATTTACTTAATCCAAAGGGGAGGCAGTCAGACTTTTAAAGGAAGGCTCTTTAATTTCTTCAACATCAATTCTGTATCTAACAATTTTCTTCATGTGATAGTAACGCACAAATTTAAAGGATGACATGTCCTCTTCTGTTAGTGGAATGAAACCTGTTGATTATATCTAACAGCTTTGAACCATACCGGTATCTCGACCACAGCCTCTTCGGAACACGCGCGTCTTTGCAGCAGGAAGCAAATACCTCTGAGTCTCCATCTGCTGCTCCAAAACCAGCTGGTCAGCATTCAGAGCTAGATGACTGGGATTCTTAGAACGTATTGGGAGGAATTATCATGTACAGACGTATTTTTAGAGTTAAAATCAAGTCATATATAGTTGTTTTTGAAATGCTGGACAAGGTGGAAAAACTGTTGTAGTAAAACCTTTCAGTGACCCAAACAGCTTACAGATGTTATTTTTTAGTCTTAATCAGAGCTGTTTATTAAGAGTAATGTTGAAGCTGAGTGTCTCACCTCTTTGTCTTTCAGTATTTGGTGTTTTCATTGACATCCTGCATGTTTTTCTCACTAAGTTCAACAAGATTCAAAGTAGGTATGCCTGTTATTTTCATACTTCTCTGGCCTTGTTATTAGTGTTTGTCAACCTGATAACTCGCATGATCCTGCTCAGAAAAAGGGATTCTTAACGAGCTGGCCAACTAAAGTAGCATACACACTCTGCCTCTCCAAAAACAAGAATTTGAAATCCTCAGTTCATCCTACATTTAAAAGTAGATAATTCAAAGTGTTTTTAACGCTCTCTACCCTGTTTGTCACAAACACATATGCTGCTGCTGCTATATGAATCACCAGCACTATTCAGATTTTCTGCTTTGGACTTGTAGCTTCAGCTGGAGTTTTATGATGACATATCAAAAGATCTTTTTAAAGGCTTCAGGGACATGAAATGAGACTGCGGAAAGGATATGAGAAATTTGACTGATAAATTTGTTATTTTTGTAAAGCTTTATCATAATGAAATGCTCCACAGTATGACAGAGTATTAGAGCCACATTAGGAAAAAAAATTAAGACCTCAAGATTAAAGTCATTAACTTAAGAGAATTTACTCATTACTAATGAGAATAAAGTCATTACTTATGAGAATAAAGTCCTTGTATTCTAACCTGCTGTTGAGGATGACAGTTGTTAAAATGAGAGCCATGGAGCATTTTGTGAAAATCTACTCCAATGTAGGTTTCTCAAACAAGGAGATACTAAATCTTTTGGCACATCAGCACCACATTATCCTAAGTATCATAATGATTTTATTACAACTGTATTCTCATAAGTAATTTATTGTGACTTTATTTACGTTAGTCATTACTTTATGACTTAATTCCCGTTAGTAATTCTTAAATCCTTTTTTTTTTCTCAATGTGGCCCTAATACTCTGTCGTACCACAGGTATGGCAATCAAAGGAAAAAGGGTCTGTGTCATTTGCACACTTGGGGTCATGATTTAAGAAGCTGTATTTAAATGTAACTTATTATGCTTTGTTTACATCTTATGCACACTCAGCCTCTCTGTTTTTCATGTAAAGATTATTTTTCAGTATTTGAACTCCATGATGGACCAGTGTTTTTGTCTCAGGAATACGAGGGTGTTGCTGCTCAACTGAAGCCAACTGTAGTTTTTCTTTGTCTTAAAAAAGGTCCTAAACGTGGGTGCTGGAGGTCCGCTCTCAGGTCACCCACTGTTCACTGTGATGTGTCAGATAGACATGTTTATATTACTGTCTGGTTAAAAGAATAAATGTTTGCTACAAAACTATAACAACTGAAGCTGTAGTCTCTTGTCTCCTGATGAGTGATTCATCCACCAGAGGGATTTTCTTTGGCTGGAGTTTGTTCCTCATCGAAGAAAACATTTAAAGGGTGGGTTTTCAGATGGATGTTAAATGTAATATTGAAGAAAAACATTTTTTAAGTGCCATTTAGAGAACTAGCTCAACTCCAAATGTCGCAAAGCACTCTCCACACACACAGCAACACTCCTGCTCCTCACTCCATGTTCATTCACATAAATAGGCTTTTATTTACAGTTCAGAACAACTCCATTCATTATAAAAATAGTACTGTGCCTATGTACAAATTGAATCTTACGAATGAATGTGAATTGCAGTTTTCAATTGAAGGACAGAATTGAAGTGTAAGGTTAACCACTTACACTGCACAGATAAAGGGTGCATCCCACATGGCAGAAATTTGTTAGCATAGCAACAGATCCTCCACAAACAGAATTCAGAGTTGTAGCATTCAGAAACAAGAATGCATCTTTAATTAAGGTCACAACGTGCTCCATGTTTTTGTGAGACTGATTGGTATGCCCCACATTCCTGAGCGGGCCATCTCCCTTTTAAATAGGGAGGGAAATAAAAAGTCTCCAGCTGAGCTGGATCTGGGCTTCCTCAGTTGAAGTTGAATTTAAAGTTAAAGGGTCCGGAGCCAAAGGGGTTGAAGCCCTGGAAGCCTTGAAAGCCCCCATGGAAGTGTTGATGATGATGGTGGCCCTGCTGGCTCTCTGGATCCATAGGATCCTCTCCGTGATCAAACTTTGTTCTCATCTCTGAAAGAAAAGACCAGAGACTAAGTCAGGACCAAACAGAGTGTTTTTTATGAATTATTACATCCTTTGAAATAAAAAATGAAAAAAAATCAGGATAAAAAATGTGAAAATATTTTTAAAATCATTTTTTAATTCAGCTGAGGGCAAAATAAACATTTGAACACAAACTCAAAACTTAAAATTTGATTCAGAGTAAAATCAATCAACTGAGGCCGATCAGTCCAAGGACACAGTGATGGGGGGTCAAGTTTAACATTCTAAGAGCTTGTCAGGGTGATGCGAGTAACACAAAAATCATTAGTCTTAAGTCTCCTAACCTCTAACATAACAGTATTTATGATGGTACTTGAATATGCTGAGGGCTTAACATTTGGCCCATTCAGCCTGATGTAAGTACAGGTGCTGCACGAAGTAAATAAAATTACACAAAACAAACACACTGGTTTCATTTTGCTACAATCAAAGTGAATTTTCAATCATGGTTAATTTGTTTAGCAGCTAGTTAACTATGTGAGAATAACCTTGTTACTGATGTGCAAATTCTTCAAGTATTTCACTGAATCGAAATGTTGCTCCGTAAAAAAATCCATCCTCAAGCTTCTTGGATGATTCTCAAGTTATGATCTGTTTACTGCGGCCCCTCAGAGGTCTGACATTTCGAGACTCGCTGTAACAACTTCACCTCTGACTCTGCAGCCCAAACTCTTCTTACCAGGGTCAGTGAGGACCTCTTTGGCCTGAGCGATGTCGATGAATTTTTTCTCCGCCTTCTTCTTCTCCTCTGGGTCCTGGAAGTTGTCGGGGTGCCACTGCTGGGCCAGTTTCCTGTAGGCTTTGATTATCTCTTTTTTCTGGGCCGTTCTGGGACAATGGAAAGAGGACTTTGAGTACATTTACTGAAGATTCACAACTGATATTTGCCCAAGGGTCTATGTTTCCACAAGGACTGTGTAACTTGAGTGAACTTTCATTGCATTTAAATATATTTTGTCCTCATTTTAAACATGAGGATAACTACCAGGGTTTCAAATGCTTTGTGAGGAACAGCAGCTGCTCAACACTATCTCAAAACACGCACACAAACTGCTTTTTCCGATACTGTTTTCTAACTGTAATCTTCTTTATTTCTCCCAGAAGTACCAACAAATTTCTCTGGCCAGAATAATAACACAGCAGTATGAAAAATATCCCACCTCTTGACTCCCAGGATTTTGTAATAATCCCTCTTCTGAGACTGTTTGAGAAGTCGCTGAGCTCTCTCCAGGCCTTCTTTTATCTGACGGTCATTCTCGCTGTGTTTCCCTGCAGTCTCGTAGTCCTTAATGGCTGGAAAACAAAAAAGCAGGACCCGGTCGGTATTACTTTCCTGTCTGCAGCAGTGAAATGAAAGTGAAGTACAGAGCTTAAAGACATCCCTATGATGGAAATATCTCCGGCTTCAGGGTCCATGAACTGGCATGAATCAGCTCACTGTGTTGATATTATTTCTTAATGCGTACCTTCATTTTCTTAGTTTGCCCATTTTGAACCAACACCAGGACTTCTGGTTACTTCAGTCTGAATATTAGGATATGTTTAATTTATACATTTATTTATTTATTTTTCTCTATACCAGCCGATGTCGATATATATATCATGATATAGAGAAAGAAAATTTAACAGTGCTTGTTGGTATCATGTTTGCATCTGTGAGGTCTTTGTGTCCGACGTTTTGTCGTGAGGCGTTGCGCCAGAGAAAGCGGAATGGTTGGCTGTTTCGGCTGCAGTGGTGCCAACCTTTTGAACTGTGCGTGCTCTGCTGCATGGCACTGCTTCAGGTGGTGAAAAAGAGTTAAGGTATTGCCCGACTTTGCGAGAACATGTACTCGACATAATTTGCAGTGCACATAACTCTGCTTCATGTCCGATCTCAAAAACCAAAATACCTCCACACCACCAACATTTTTGTGCCAGTGTTGTCGACGATGTCATCATTTGTTGAGCCTTCACCTGCATTTCTGCCGGGGGTAGCACTCATTTTCTTTTTTTCTCACCATCAGTGCTGTCGGCTTCACGTGTTAAAGTGCTACGGTTGCGTGTAGCTGCAGCCCGCTACTACGCAGTTGTTTGCTCCTTGGTTCTAATTCAGCACATGATTGGTTCAGTGCGAAGCGGACCCGGAGAAACTCCACTTTTCATTGGCTATTCATATAGTCAACAAAAACACGGCAGAATGCTAACTATCGAAAAGCATATAGACCATGTTTTACACAGATATCGAGGGAAATTAATTTTCGATAAATATCGTTATTGATTTATCGCCCAGCCCTAGTCTGATATTATGTCACTTATGTCCTCATCAATCCAGTCCTTCACTATTGTGCTTAATTTAAGAATGAAGTGCGGCCAATCCTAGTCTGATCTGGCAGCAGCAGCAGCTCCAGGTTGTTTGTGAAGGCATGTTGGAGAGCTTTGAAGCTTGTTTACCCTCTGAGGTGCACTCAGGTGAAGTAAACACCCATGGGTTCTGACAATTTAACAGCCCACATGTGGTCTGACCTCTCCTCTCGCTGATGCGTTCATGCCGTGTTATGAGGACGTATACGGCCTCGGCTGTTGGTTTCATTGGATCTTTGAGTCAACATACTGATTCCGTCATTTCATCTAATTGGTGGTAAATCTGAGGATAAAGAGCTGGCATTTATTCCAGATGAAATGTACTCCAATTAGCTCTGATACAGAGTTTTTCAGCCCTCTCCTTCGATGTTCTTTTATCTGCTGTTTTAGTTCGTGTTGACTTTTTTATGTATCACTTCTCTGAGCTGTTTGGTGATATAAAAGAAGATAAAACATCAATTATATTATTCTGAAAACTCATCAACAGAGGGTAGAACTTTTCTTTTTCAAGGATCTCTTCACAGCGGCTCTATTTTACTGCTCTGGCAAACTTTCATTTTCCTCATTTTTGGCAATTTGGTGAATTGATCATCTGAGTTAAAGTACTTCTGATCGTGGGAGGAAATGCAGTCATTACAACCGCTCTTGAAACTACAAATATTAATAAAAGAAGAAACGAAGAAAAAGAAGCCCACTGCCATCAGACTGTACAACTCTTCTGTAAATAGTATTTGACTTTTAGTTAAGACTTGACAAATGAGATGACCGACAACTGAATTTCCCTTCAGGGATTAATAAAGTTTTTCTTATTCTTCTTATTAGACGACTGATTTTTATTTTTAGACCTAATTTCAACTGTCTAGATTCTGTATATTTTTAAACGGAATTGAGACGTTGCACTTTGATCCATTATTGGATGACTTTTTATTTCAAAAAGCAACTGTGAGTTGCATAACTGATCTCCAAGTACTTAACCAAAATATTTATGATAGCTGTTGAGCAATATACAGTGTAGTATAAATATAGGCCAGATTTAGACTTGGTCTAAATTTAGACAACTAAAGAAAATGTTCATTTTTAGACCTGTGGTAGCCTGATTTTAGACCAGCCATCTAAACTTTACCAGCGTCCCTACATGGCAGCCATCTTACTTCAGTATAACATTCTGGGATATTGTATGGTAGCCGACGGAAGGTGAGTAATTTGCATGATCAATAATACTTTCAACTCGCTAAAATCTTGACAGATTTACAAATGGTTTTGTCTATTACATACCTTAATAACGTGGCTATGAGTAGGGATGCTTGGACATATTGAAATGGCAGTCATCTAAACTTGGTCTAAATTTAGACGTCTAAAAAAATTTTCATTTTTAGACCCGTGGTAGCCTGATTTTAGACCCGTCGTCTAGGCAACATTTAGACGTCTATTAGACCTCTTTTAGACCAAAAAATGCTCAATGGGAGGGATGCATTGAAAATAAACAAGAAATAAAAACAAACACTGCTATAAGCTGTGATGAATGTGGGCTATTATAGATGTATTTACAAATATGCTTATAATACATTATGAGAGGTAGGTTCATGTGTGTGTTCTCTGTGGTAGCCTCTATTTCAGCCTGAGCTAGCAGAAGGCCGTGGAAAAATAATCCACAAATAAAAAAAGACTTGTGTGAAAACTCGTGTGTATCACAGCGGTTGCTTATGAGTCATAACATGACAGGTTTTTGATCTATCAGGGAGTGCTGGAATCTGCTGCACTAACACAGTATCACCAAAATCTCACGGTTGGAAAGTGAAACTATTTCCAGGTTCACCACGCTGGCACTTGGGCTACATTTTTTTAAAACTCTTATTCCGGTGTTTTTGTCCAGTATTCATTTGATAGTCAAAGTGAGCGATGACTGTGTCTGGATGTTTCAGATTTGTGTTGCTCCGAGCAGCTGGAGTGAAAGTCATTCTTTAGAAACCGAGGTTTGTGCATACAGGAACAGAGGCGGGCTGTGGGATGGTTTATGCTGAATTTCAAACTTAATTGACAGATAAACAGAAGATGTAGGCAGAGATGTAGACCAAAATATCCACATTGTGGGGTGGAAACTGAACATCAGGTGGCAGGTGAAATGATGGCTGGAACACCGACTATTCCAGGGGATTTCACCACCTGCCATCTCTGGACTTCCTGACATTTGACAACAGATAGAGGGGACCGTTGTTTCAGCCTAATCCCTCTCAGCCAGCAAAAGGCTTTATGGAGATGGTAAGTGCTGTGTCTGAGTGTGTTTTTGTGTGTGTGTGTTTTGGCAATACCACCAAGGAATGCCTTTAAGCTTGACAAACAAAAAAACTCTATAAATTCAGCCAGAAATGCAGGACAGCTCCACATCCGGCGTTTTCTTCTCACATACTGTGCTCCACACCTAATTCTCATTTCACTTGCTCTGACAAATCACATTTTCTATTTCAGGCTTTGGACATAGGAGTCAAACGCTTTAACTAGATTAGATACGGAAAACCCTTGCAGAATTTATCTACATTCAGTCTCGATTGTGCGTATTCAAATTCAGAGTCAAAATAGATTTAGTGATGAATGGAGAGATTGCGTTAAATGAGGTAAAATTTAATTGGATACAAGCGTCCCCCTCACTTCATGCTGCCTGACAGTAGCTGCCGATGTTTACATTAAAAATAAAAATCACTTTTCTTTTCCAGTAGACATAAACAAACCCACACCAAGTTCAATAATGGCATGTCAATGATGCTTTGAATTACATCACTGTGTGTGTGTATGTTTGTGTGTTTGTAGTGTTATAAGGGCCCCTTGTGTTGGACTTTGGTAACAGCAACTCATTGTTGGGCTTCTTCACTTTGACAGAGTTATTACAACATACAGGCTACATGAAGTTTCATACAATATCTACTTTTGAAGCAGTAAATTAAATGATGTGCTCAATGTGTGTATTCATTTTAGAGGTTGGTTTTGTTAGATCACATTTGTGTATCAGTGTGAGGGTGTTGGTTTAGCTTGGTTTGCACTCCATTTGCAGAGGCGGCTGCCCTTGCTGCAGCAGCAGCTGGTTCGACTCTCAGCCAAAACCCCCTGCTGTATTTCATCCCTTATTTTCTACTCCCTGCGTTTCCTGCCAGTTTTTGGCTGAAGAAAGTGTAAGGAGGAAAAAGTCATTTATCAGTCTATTTATGAAAAATAAAATCACACATGTTGTATCCTGAATTGAAGTTATTACCTACAGATAGATGTTAGTGTGCTAAGAAAACTGATTTAAGCTTTCTTTCCATCACATCTCAAACCCTCTGCCATCGGAACACGAAATGTTTTGATCCACAATATTAAACTTTCATTTTACTAATGTTTTAATTTTTTTTTACAGCCTTTCTTGAAGGTTTTACACTCTTGTGCATATTTAAGGAGCTTAATTATTTACAATATTTTGTTTGCCATCTTGTGTGCTGTGCTTTTTTTCCCTTTACAGTGCTGCCCGAGACAAACGGCAGTGAAGTTTAATGGATACAATAAAGTCCATCTTATCTTTGCGACTCTAATAAAGGCATAAATGCCAACCTTAAAAAGAAAAAAAAAAACATTGCTTTTGTTGGATGGGACACCCGAAGGGAAACAGAAATCCCAGGGAGTGGATAGTTGGGGGGAGACATGCAGCAAAGGGTAGTGGGTAGAAATTAAACCACCAACCACAGCGAAGGGGACTAACACTGCCTCACTTAAAGCTAACAGTGCTTCAGTTAATGACCGTAGAAGACCAGATATTGTGAGTAAAAGTAATAATCTTAAAGCTCCTGTGAGGAACTTTCAGTTTGTGTCCATTTTGGCGCCCCCTAGGGACAAAGCTGTATTTTCTTATTTTCTCATCAAACTATTTAAGTAGCTTCTCATCCTGCTGAGTGATTAAAGCTTGTGCCAGAACAACTGCTAAAAAATCTGTCATAATTATTTCCACCTTTAATAAATTACAAAGCAGCCACAAACTTTTAATAAATTTAAATACACTTTAATCATTTATTTATCATTAAATTTAAACTATTAATTAAATTGATTAAATTCATAGTGATAAATGGGGAATTCGGCAGTATTTAGTGTGACCCTGGTTCTCAGAATGAAAGTAGAGGCAGGTGCCCCAGGGTACTGGTTTAGCTCAGGGATACAATATGCATATAAAAAGGCCTGAGTCCAGTCTGACTCCCACCTTCAGCCCTCAGCTCCATGTTTGTGGCTCCACTGTCTGTCCTTTCCCCTCAACGAAGTCAAGAAAATAGTATAATCAGCATCAGCTCCATCAGTCTGGCTTACCTTCCTCATACTGTTCCTCCTGTATATAGGCCTCAGCTCTGTCCTTCAGCACGTTCACATTTTCAGGGTTGGACTGGAGGACTTCACCACACACCTGGATTGCTCTGCTCCCCTGTTGGCCCTGGTTACGCCACGTGGGGAACACATAGGTTAGTTTATTTTTCAGTGACTTCAACATATGTTTGAATATATGTCAAAGTAGCAGCATGAAGTCTTACTTGTGCCAGTGCGTGACATATTCGCTCCTTGGCGAGAAGAGTGAAGTGGTGCACGTTGGGCTCGGTCTTCATCACTGCCTCGTATTTGCTCACCGCATCTTCATACCTGAAAGAACAGGAAGTAAGTACCACTTTGAGCAACGCTGGGACGACACCGATCACTGCACCCCACAGACATAGCACAGTGTTATTTCCTCTGCTCAGTCTTGTAAATATGAAATCTTATGTGTGTCAAATATGATGTGACATCCATTCACATGAAAATAGGATTTGTATGCCTGTTTGTGAGAGATGCTGGAGCGCTTCAGAGAGAAGACGCAGTCATTTTACAGCTGATGCAATCACTGGTATTCAGATGGGATATTATTTTATATTTGCTGTACAACACACATATATACACACACCTCTCTTCTTGCATGAGCTCCTCTGCAGATTGGATCTGTTTGTGGAGCTTCTTGACCTGCTTGTAATGGCCGTAACACTGCTTGTGATCAGGATCAAGCTTCAGGCATTCACGGACCTCACTGCAGATCAGACAAGAGGAGGAAGAGGTTAACTTGATCATTTAATGTTATATTTCATCGTGTATACAATCTTGAAAGACAAGAACAGCTAAAATGAAACTGACCAGCAGCAAAAACACTCAGACTCAAACTGATCCTTAAGGCTGTAGTTTCCATTTATACAAACAAATACCCTGTTATGTGCTATAGAAGTAAATGGTCTAGACATAAAATCATCTACTGGACTCTACAAAAGAGTGTCTCAGTGTGAAGTTTGTCTTTCTGTAAGGCTGTGATGTTTCCTTGAAACCATGGCGATGTACAGAGTATGATTCCTGTACTTCGTTTTATAACATGCTTTTCTAGTTTTAGATACTCTTACTTTATTGTGTCATGTAATGTCTGGGTTTTTTATTCCTAGCTCTCTGTCTGTTTAATTTATATTTGGAAAAAACAATTAACATTAATATATATATAAAAAAGAACTGCCTAATAGTCCTCTTTAGCAGCACACAGACACAAAGTAATACTAAAATTCACTTTAAAACTCATTTTAAACAGTTATTTCTAGCTCTGTAAAACTGGGTCTTACTTCAGGGACATCTCATGGTCTCCAAGATGGTAGTAAATGGTGCTGAGTTTGTAGAAAGCCTGGGTATTGTCATTCTTCAGTTTAGACGCCGCTTTAAGGTCACTGATGGCCTTCCCCATCTCTCCCATCTGAATAAAACACTCTGCTCGCATCTCTCGAGAGGTCACGTCCCAAACGCAGGTCTGAAACAGATTCACGGTATCTCTTACACTTTGTGGTAACAGTACGAATACTCTGTATGCTCTCAGATGGCAAAAAAACACATGGAAATGTAATGCTTGCAGTAAAAATCATGCAAAGGTAAGTATCTCACCTCAATGATGGTGTCAAGCTGGGCAGCAGCTGTCACATAATCCTGGCTGTCGTAGCTGCTGCGTGCCTGAGCCACAAGTCGCTGAATTTCATCCGACTTAGTCAACTGACTCTGTGCTTCCTTCTCCTCTTTGTCACTGGGGTTCGACTTCAGCTGGGACATAGCAAGACAAAGCATAACATTAAATATAGAAGGTCATGATTTAGTAGTCAGTAGTCAGACTGGAAAAAAATACTGATATAAGAGAGCCCAAGGCCAGGAAAGCAGGAGTATGAAATATGAGCAAAAGATTAGAGCGTTCCTAAAATAATTAAGTTCAGTCCTTCACAATACTTTTTCAATATGAGCTCTATTTTACTGAAGAGACTCTTCTGGCAATTGTGCCTCTTGAAAATGTTGCCTATAAAAGCAGCCGCAGCAGTGCTTACCCTTCCCTAAACCCCCTACATTTAAACCGTCCTCATCAGAGAGGTCATCAAATACACGAGAGACCCTCATGAAACGACACGTCCATTAAAAACAGACCTGGGTACCCTTTAAGTGTTTCCTGGGCGCTCAGCTTAGAAAAGAGCATAATGCATTAAACGTAATGCATTAGGCTGGCTAACATTGAGGACTGCTGAGGCAGCAGAACAGTATGCACCTCGAGCCAGATCCCCTGACATTACAAAAATGAAATGCAGTTCCTCGCTTTCCTGAAAACAGATGCATCAGGATGCATCTTTCTATATCTCAGACTCTATCGAAAAGGGATATTTGACTGTTTTAAATCATCAACAAACAGTTCAGTAGCCTAAAGTACTCTCACTTTTTCATATTGGCCACAAGAGACAAGAGGTTTCACATTACAGTCCACTTAACACAATTACAGGATAACCACTGAGCTTTAACTTACAATACAGCTGAACAAAAGAAGAATTGTTTCATGGGTGTTTAAGTAAAAGAGAAATAAACAGGTATGTCATGAATGACTGATACAGACCTCAGATATAAGCAGTCTGTTTAAAAACTGCGCAATGTGACCCTTGATGACATTCACACCCTTTCCCCGAGTGAAAGAGGAATTTAATTTATCCTGACATTACTGCCTCACCTGAGGACACAGCTGCTTTAAAGTGAAGTATGAAAACAGTGAAATTACAAGGACATTTGTGTTCCTGTAATATTTTGTTTTGAAACCACACAGTTAAAAAGCCGTCAGAACAGAAAGTGTTTCATCAAGTTATCAATTGTGATCCTTAACAACCATCTAAAACCCTAGATGAAAGTGCACAATTCATTTCATCATTATGGGTATCTTGCAGATGACTCAAGGATGCAGGACTTTCCTGTTCTCCAAGGTCTTTTTAAGACTAAATGCATCAATTTTTACTTCTTCCTTTTCCCATCAAATAGAAATGTTCTTACATTTTGTGTTTTATTTCACCACAACACTGAGTTATGAATCAACACTGACACCTCCTGGTGGACTATGCTTATCTAACACAATGGCTGCTTCTCCTCAGATTTGCTCCTGCATAGAACTTCACTTACAACTCTCTTGAAATCGCCCTCTGCTTCGTCCAGTCGGCCCTGCTTCAAAAGGAGATTTCCTCTTTGCAGCCTCGCCTGTAGAGAGAGGGAGACAAACTTACATTTGTCTGTAGACTGTAGATATTGACTTAACACAGCTGACATGAGAGATCCATTTCCCAGGGAGTTGAAATCATAGACTGTATATAGAATGGACAACTTGGTTCCGCCTCCCGCCTGTTTACAGATTTGAAACCAAAAAGATCTCTGTATTTCTGCGATTTTTCTTCATTTCCTGAAACCAGCGCTGCACAGTAGCATTGTGCACATTCAGCGGGAGAGTCGCCAAGAGTCGCTGTGATGACGCTTGGCTCACACAGCGTATCCCCCCGGTGAGCTACGCAATCCCTGAATGCCAATAGGCTGTATCAGGTGTCAATCAAAGAAAACATGAACCCCCTTAAAAATGGAGCTTCACAGAAAAAAAGAGGACTTGAGCACAAACCAGTCTTACTGTAACTGCATGTCAACATCGCAATCAGGGGGGAGAAAAATGTATGTGTAATAAATTTCTAAAGTTTGTTCACAGCTCCATTAGCTTTGCTGGTGGAGGCAGGATTTATGACCTATACTGCAGCCCGTCACCAGAGGGTGCTGTTCTTGGAGTGGCTTCACCCAGCGAGGAGGCAGACGCTTTCCATTCTATATACAGTCTATGGTGAAGCCACTTCAAAAACAGCACCCTCTGGTGACGGGCTGCAGTATAGGTCATAAATCCTGCCTCCTCCAGCCATCCTTATGGGGCTGTAGACAAACTTTAGAAATTGATTACACAGAATTTCATTTTTTTTTCCCCCCTCCTTATGATGTTGACATGTAGTTACTGTAGGACTGGTTTGTGCTCAAGTCCTCTTTTTTTCTGTGAAGCTCTGTTTTTACAAGTTATTTAGTGCCATTTTCGTTGACGAAAATATTTCGTCGATGCCCCCTCTTTTCCATGACAAAGACGTGACATTGACGAGTCTTAGATGACTAAAATGTGAAAAGACGAGGTGCGTTTACGTTGACGAGACGAGACTAGATGAAAACGTTAGTGGTGGACGACGAACAGAGTTGCAAAATTAATGAGCATTTCGTCAGTCAAATGCTAAACATATATTCGAAATTATATTGACGAAATTTTTTTGTCAACGTCATCGTCAACGAAAACAACACTGAAGTTATTAGGGGGTTCATGTTTTCTATGATTGACACTTGATACAGCCTATGGGTGTACGAAGATTGTGTCGATCACCCGGGGGATACGCTATTCAAGCCTAGCGTCATCACAACGACTCTCCCGCTGAATGTGCACAATGCTACTGCGCAAGTGGTGGAGTGCATACAACGCTGCTGCACAATGTTGGTTTCAGGAAAGGGAGATAAATCCCGGAAATACAGAGAGCTTTTCGGCTTCAAATCCGTATACTGGCAGAAGAGGGAACCAAGTTGTCCATAGTATATACAGTCTATGGTTGAAACTTTTTCCTATGACCTTCAATTGTTTGGTATATGTGGTTCTTTTACAGTTACGTCATACTGATGTGTTTGAAAAAAAAAAAATCCTGCATGCCTGGGTAAAAGCATTACTCACAGATGTGAAGTCTGGTTTGAGTTCAATAACTCTGCTCAGATCTGGGAGTGCAGACTTTGACTTCCCCATGGCGAGAAAGACTGTGGCTCTCCTGTAGTAGGCCATATAGTTCTTTGGATCTCCGTCTAACCATTAGGACAAGGGGGAAAAGAACATTAGGCAAAGGTTTTGAATGAAAATTTTGAGAAAAAAGCACCAAACCTCCAACTCTGCCTGTCACTTACCCACAGCTGCGTGGAAATGAGAGAGGGCATCAGCCAGCTGTCCAGCAGCGAGCAGTTTCTTCCCCATCTCCATGTGATTGTCCACGCTGCCACCATCCCTGCCACATTTCACTCCTGGAAAAAAACAATGACAGCATTGACTTTAGACAGCATGTCCACACAGACTCTTCTTCAGTGATTTCATTTCCTCACATGATCTCCTGACAGCAGCTTTGACAGGACTTTGACAGATAACTCAGCTGTTAGCTCTGACATGTGTTTAAACTTTACGTCAGCTTAGCTTTTTACCGAAGCCATTTAAGTTTGTTTTTGCCAAGAATTAGCCTTTTAATTTGTTGTTAACTTGCTTGCATTAACGCTAAGCATTTTAAGTTTACCTCCATAATAACTGCTTAACCTTGTTAGCTTAACGTTAGCCAGGAGTTATCGATTTGCTAGCCAGTGTTAGCAAAAACAGAAGTGACACATAATAACTTCAACTATGTCTGGAAAACACTAATAATTGAAGCCAGCTAGCGGTAACACTGAGCAGTAAAAAGCTGTCATAAGATTTACAACTAAAGTAAAGTCAGTTTCTTACCTTCATATCTCATGTCAATCAAAACGAGAACATATGGGATGTAAGTCAGCACTTTGTGAGCGATATAATCCAGAGAAACCATGGTTAGAGTTGCATTAAACAGCGCTTTTCTTAGTCCCACAAACGTCGGCCGATGTTATTCTAACTTGTGTTTCACTTGTTTCTTAAATGTCCCATGTGTTGACTGCTAGTCAGCATTGCTCCTGTCGTTTTCTCAGCTCAGGCACAGCAGAGTTTCACCGACTGACCGGTCGTGGGTGGCGCTGATTGGCTGGTTTGTCCGTGTAGCTCCGCCCATTTCAGCTGGCTCAACAGAGAGGAGCCACGCAGCACAAAGCATGTATGTGTGTGTATGTGTATGTGAGTCATGGTTAAAGGTGTGGTGTGTGTGTGTTTGTCATTTTCAAGGTTTTTGACCTCATGTTGTAGCTCATAGATACCGCAATTGATGTGTAAAAAAAAAATTTAAATGATCATTTTTGGTCTGAAAACAATTCTAATAAAACGTATGACAGACTAAATTCACTTTCAACAGTGAAAAATGTTTTTTTTTTTTCCTAAATAAATGTCTAACCCCTTCACCCATGTGCTTATAACCTTCACAGACTCCATGAATTGATGTCCATCTCCTAAATATTTGGTCACATGCTGTGGTAATTTAGCTGTGGTGTAAAAATGTTTAAATCAGTTAATTCTCTCTGGAATGAATCAAACTAATATTTTGATTATATTGTACATTTAAAAGTTCCTGAACGGAACCTTGAATTGTGTGGATTTTGGCACCCTGTGTGGACAAAAGTGGCTGTCTTTCACAGTCACAATTCACACTCATTGAGAATTTTTGCAGAACAGTTTATTACTTGGTCTGACGCCTAAATCCCAAAAGCATGTCATACAATTAAACATTATTTCTTCCAGCTAATGGTTGACTTTGCTTTTTGGGTCATAAAGATACAGCAGTATTAACCTTAGCCTGTTAAAAACCAGCAAAAAAAACTCCCTACATGGTATGGTACACAATGATATCCGCTCATATGTCATTTCAGGTTTAATGAAGATGATGAAATATTCAAAACAAATACCAAGTTAATAGGAGTACTATATAAACAGAAGAACACATGATATTTTCCACCTTAGAAAAGAGGTCACACATATTCAGTTGTAGCTGAAGTCTTGGTTGTATTGGTGATGGCAGAGATACTGCTGGCTCTACTTCCACCTGAGCTCCTTGTTTTCCTGCTTCCACTGATATCTGAAGGAGCAGATGATATGATGCTCTTTTTTGTCGGGGCGGCTGCGTAGGCGCCTTGGTACTGGTAGCCAGGATATCTTTCAGGGCTGTGAGGTTTAGTGAGAAGAAAAGGTCATTCTTTCTGAGGAAAATGATTGAAATACTGAGAGAGACAAATCAAGGACACAGTAGCTGCTTTTTACCTTGATTGGCACCCTTCCCGGCCTGCAAAGATACTGTAAACAAGACCTCCAGAAACAAGTAAGGTGAAGCCTGCCCAGCCTATAAAAACTCCAACACCTATTTCAAACCTGGCAGTGGATAAAAACAAATACTTCAGAGTACACCCTGGGTCATATCACAAAAAAGTATATATCTTTGATTTACGTACTTCTGAGCTTTGTACAAAGGGTCTTGAAATTCTGCTCTGATTTTGTTTCCGTAATAAGAAAAGGCGACCATTGAGCACATCCCTGAAAAAACAGGCACAGATCAATAATACAATCCAGCAAAGCTAAGGGGTAATACAACCTCATTTGATCCAATCTTACCTCCGATAAGGTAGTTCATCCCTCCAGCAAATGTTACTCTTGCGTTAGCTAGTTCTGTACCTCCAATCTTAGTGCACTTCATTCCCACCAGGACCAGGATGGATCCAAAGAAAGACAGGATGATGGAGATAATGATGAGAGCGCGACAGAAGTGAATTTCCCCTGTCAGAGAGTTAAAAACATTCAGCAAATATTAAAAAGTGAAGTTCATCATCCCCAATCATCCAGCTCAGATAAATTATACGTACAGTGCAGGGCGAGCATTGATGGGATTCCTTTGCAGTCCGATACTCCAGTTGAATCTGATATACAGTCCTTCCAAAGGTTAGAGAAGTAGTTTGAAGTGGTCAGGACGATGCTGTCTACCTCAGACCAGGTCCAGATCTCAGTGGGCATTGTAGAACAAACTAGAATCCATCCGGATACACAGATCACAAAGCAGCCGATCTCCATGTACATCACCACTGTCCTATACTTCATGTTTGCCTGGAGACAGATAAGAACAGCTATAAGCTATTCAAAGCAATGACTACAGGACGCCAGTCTGTCTTTCCTTTGTTACTGCACACAGTTTGAACAACCTATCAAAGAAACACCAAAGGCAGAGGGTGGTTTGTGTACATCATCACATGTTTTGCCCTGAACTTAGATTCTCCTGTTTCCGGAAATTCGCTGAGGCAATGTGTTTGTTGTTTGAGTGACACAAATGCCAACTCATTGGCTCTAAGACAGTGTGTTAAGTGTGTCCAAAAAGATTAAAGTGCAGGTCGGAAAATATAATGTGAACTGGTTTGCTGTTTTCCATTTATTGATTTGTGTCAGGTAATGCAAATGTGTCAAGGTTACATTCACCGCCATTGTTTCCGCTATTTGCCAATAACTTTTTATTTTGATGCAGACCTGAGGGATACACCCAGTTATCTGTAATTAATATCCAATCTAGCTGTCAAATGCTTAAACTACAACACCTTAAACCATTTAATATATTGGATATGTGTGACAGATATCCTATGATTAAATCTCACATATCCATAACTGAATTTCTACTAATGAAATCATGTCTCCCATTCATGTGACTCCAGTTTTTCATTTCTAATTCTTACAATGTCAACTAACTATTGGGTTTTGACAAGCAACAATCTTTTACTTCAGATCTGAAGTATCCAGGATCAGGAGGAGTGAAAGTTTTGATATCTGAAATCAAAACCTGATATGTCATTAGTAACATGAAGTTGTGGATGTCTAAATGTTCAAAACATCCAGTCTAGCCACATGCCAAATAGAGATTTTTATATTTTTTAACAGAAATTTGACTGAAATGAATTAAGTTTCATAACCCACTGTTAGATCAATATATTTATTTGTATTTTAGCTAATTCTCAATATTGTTACAACAATAGTGGCCCTGTGTGACCTGATGAGCTGTTGTCTTCAGAAGAATTCACGTGTTGGGGCCAAGAGTGAATATTCATGTCTGGTTCATGTGTTACTGGAAGTGAGAGAGAGAGTAGCTACACAACTGCAGAAAGAAGTGACAACCTACAAAAGCACCGTAACACAGCTAGTTTGGGACCACAGTTTGAATTGAGTTCAGGAGACTTTCGGATTTACTACTGAGGTGTTAGTCAGAAATTGAAAAGACGCAGAAGTATGGACAGTTGAAGTTTCTAAGTAAAAAATAAGCCAATAAAGTTTATATGCAAAATATCTAATTCCTCTGCAGTGGTATACATGGGTACAAAAACTAGTCAAGAGGATGTTGAGGAGAGTAAAAACAAGTGTGATAACTATTTCACTCGACTGACAGCGTTATATTGAGTCTTAAAGTAGCCCTGCTAACAAGTACTTAGCTTATGAATACATCTAGTTATATTCTTGTACTCTCAGGATGGCAATATAATGTTTGTGTATTTCGCTCTTTCACAAATATATTTAGTTTAAAAAGGAAAGAGGAAACTTAATTAAGGAGTGAAGCAGAAACTTTATTGAAGCAGACTTCAATGCTAATTTTCGATGAACTTGTTATAAGTAACAGTGTGTGTGTGTGTGTGTGTGTGTGTGTGTGTGTGTGTGTGTGTGTGTGTGTGTGTGTGTGTGTGTGTGTGTGTGTGTGTTTCAACTGTTCCATTGTACAAAGCAATGTCAACATCATCTCCACTTATGTTGCAACTGCTCTATCATGCCAAGACAAGTTTGTGTGCAGAGGCTTACTCAGGCTGTTTGAGGGACAGGGGCAAAGAAAATAAAAAGGGCACCCCTGCACACCAGGGGGCTCTTGCTGTTTTTTCAGTCATGTGCCCCCTTTAGTGCACCAGTCTTTGTGTGCCACAGGCATTCATTTCTGTGCAGTTGACAAGACGTTTCCTGTCTCCACTCTGCTTTGTGGATTCACCTCCTTTTAAGTTACCTTTTTAGAGTTACATCAACTTTCCTCTGATAGCACGATGCAAAAATACAGTCAATAAAAAATAAAGTAGTACAAATAAATGAGGATTGTTACCCCTTAAAATTGGTCACATTTTGAACATTAATTTACTTTGATAAAGCACCAAAATGAAAATAAGCTAACATCTAAACCACAACATCTAAAACAGCCTCCTTCTTCTATCTCACCTACTGAGTGAACTAGCACATAAAATAGTTTGCTACAACTCTAATCGATTCATGCTTAAACAATATATTCTATATCAAATATTGTGTTAAATGCTGTCATTACAGGTAAACAGCTCATGCAGGTTAAACACTTTTGAATATACAGCATCAACACAATGACTGAGACTGCAGAGAAGACATGGAGCAGGATGATAAAGCTTCAAGTCTTACTCTGTTGGAGGAATGTTGATATACGTATATACATAGAAGTATATGGAGTGAAGTTAACAGCAGACAAAACAATAACAGTTTACATTAGGAAGTCTGCTGTGAGGCAGAAAGTTTCATACAAAATCTTTTTTCTGTATGATTAGTATCTTTCATAACTCACCAATAACTTTCATAAAGTGCTGAAGTCACATGTCTCACACATATGAATTTGTGTCAAAGTGCTTGAAAGTGGAGGAGCTGCTGGAGTCTGTACGGGACCACTGACTCTCAGACTTTGCCTGTTCACTTGGATTAAAGAAAATAGGAGAGTTTGAGGCAACTGCTTTGTCTGTATCATCGGCCTGACGGTGGCTGTAAAGACAGAAAACACAATCCCGGTATGATTCAACAAAACTGATTCATCGTGCCGCTCCAAGCATTGAATGATAATGTCATCTTTACTTATACAAACCTTTTGGTGACAGAAGTGGCAATGGAGAAACAGAAAATGCTGCCTCCTGCAATACAGAGGACAGATCCCCCCCAGCCAATAAAGAGAGCAACTCCAAAGTCATATCTATTCAAAAAGAGTACAACAGTTGAAATGTGATTGTTTTTACTTTTTTGAAGCTATAAAAATTTGGCAGCCTCACACTTGTGTTTACTGGCAATCCCTGACATCTAAGCGTTTCTGCCCTCTGGCTCTGTTCTAACTTCTTACTTGACTTCCACAAATTTGGGGTCAAAATACTCCGCTGTTATCTTGTGCGCATAGAGGGAGCACGCCGTGAGTGAGCACAAACCTGGGAAAGCAAGAAAAGTAGATTAAATTGCTGTGAAAATATCAAAATTTACATCTTAAAAGAAAAAAATTACAACACTTACCACCAATAATAAAAGTGACACCAGCAAAGCAGGCAGTTCTGGACTTGCGTCTGTCATTTCCTCCAATTTTAGTACATTTCATTCCAAAAAGGGCAAATGCAGAACCAAAAAAACCAAGGCAGACGGCTATGATCATCAGCGCCCTGCATGCCTGGATGTGTGCTACAAACACAAAATTCAATGTGACTTCTTTGCACTCAAAAACAGCAATGTTTAATGGTATTTTGTCTTGATTTAACACTCCCTGGACCAATGCAAGGCAAATAAACATTGAGAGAGTAATTCTCAGAAATTAAATCACTGAAGGAGACTTTAATGTCCTGGAAAAAAAAGGAAAAATTGACATCATTTTAAAGTATGACTAACTTGAAGAATTGTACTTCAAAATATCTACTATTCTTGAGTTCCAGTGAATTTTTAAATTATTTTGCCTAGTTTAAAAAGAGAAAAAGCGAAGATTAAATAGCAGTGCATTAAAACTGAGGATCAATGAGGATCACTGAATAAAATAAACAAATAAATAAAAAATGTCCCTGTATAAGCGTGCACTTTAACAAAATAAAACAGAAAAAAAGAAAGAAAATGAAACACAAAATATTTTTTATTTACACACGAAGGAACATGAAAAGGTCTGTAAACAGGTAGAGGACAATAAAAACAAAATGACTGACCATCCAGTGAGAGCATGGAGGGAAATTCTTTACAGTCACTGACTCCAGTTGAATCACCAACACAGTCTTTCCAAAGATTGGAAGTGATGAGTGCCGTGCCGAGGACTATTCCCTCTAATGTAGCAATCTTCCAGTATTCAGTTGGCAAGGTGGAGCAGATGAGCATCCACCCTGCAGTGGTTAAAAGAAAGGCAAAGATCTCCAGAATCATGGTCCTCATACTGCTGCTTGATCACAGTTTCAGCTGGTAAAACCAAAAACCACAAGGTGACTAGAATGTCGCTGAATAGTCGCTGTCAGAACTAGAAAGCGTAATCACAGAATTCAGTTTTTCTTCCAATAAATTCTCAAATAGATCAAATAAATGAATTAAAACGAGGAGCATCCACTTAGCCTGACCAATACAACGAACACACTGAACATCAGCGCAGCTTTATGAGTTGTATAAGATAACTGGGGTGCCACGTGCAGAGAGTGGGTAGGGGTTCGGTGGAAGTGTGTAGGATATTGAATGCTATTGGGGGAAACAGTCGGCATCTTTGTTGTGTTGTGATTGTAAATAATCACAGTGCTTATCATTGCACTTATAATTTGGCACAGACAGAGCCCTCATGTAATGAAGTAACCCGCACCAGCTCTTACAGTTTAAAGCTGCAGTACATTACTTGACATAACTTGGCGTGCATGTTTAAATAGCCCATTAGCTATAAAGATAACTGTCTTCACATATCATGTAAATCAAATCGGTTTACACAGGGGTAACCAGCACCAAGCCAAAATGGATATAACTCCAAGCACTTGACATGAGTGCACAGGTGTCTTTAACATCCAACACGTGTACGTGTAAAGACAAGAAGAACTTTGTTATTTCCAAAGGGAAATTCATCTCATTTGTCATGTCTCTAACTCTAACTCTAACTCTTTGTCACTCTTACTCTACATACAGTCTAGATTAAAATGCACAAATGCTTCAAGTTTTTTACTCTCAAAAACTTTTAGCAATACAAATTACTTCCAAAACAACAACAACAACAACAACCTTTCTCTTTTCTTTCTTCCTCTCCTTCCTATTCCAATCTGAACCCTTACATGATGCACACATTCAACAAAGCATCTAAGCATGCAGAGCAAGTGTCATTGTTGTTTTCCACCAGACCCAGTCTTCATTTCAAATAACGACTGAACTTGCCTCCATGGGTGTGTTGATTTTAAATGAGGTGTGGTGTGGTTGGGCACATGTAGACCAGAATACAGCCATGTGATCCAGCAGCAGAACTGTAATTAAATGAAGATTTATAGTCCACCTTTCTTTGACGTCAAACATGCAGATCATTAATGATCATCAAATACTGTCTGATGCTGTCAGCATGTCCTGAGATTTTATTACTTTATGAAGTTACGCTGCTGTGCATTGCACATTAATGTACAAGTAAATCAATCAGTGGATAAAACACAAAAAAAATGTGTCAATTTAACTCACACAATGATCTGTGAGAGTTTTCTATGTTTTTGGAGGCATAGTGAAAGAAGACGTGTTAAATGTGCCGACTCAAGCCTAGTGTATTTAATGAGAAAAGCTGAAGCAATATAAAAATTAAACCCCCTGTCTGCAGGTGCACCTGGCTCTTAAGAGCAGACACACTGATCGGTTACAACAAATACAATCCTACCAAAATCCATGGACCAAGTTGAACCTCTGTACACCCTGCAGGATGTGCACCTCAGACACACTCTCATCTGTGGCGTTCCTTTATTTTAATAGCCCTCCTATATACTTTGATTCAAGTTTATCTTAACACAAATACTTATACTAAGCAAAAACTATCATTACTTTCACCTTATTAAGTAATGAAATATTTGATCGTTTGACTGCTGCACTGGCCTTCTTTGCTGATATTTATAAATGGTTTAAGCTTTCATTTTCCCCTTCTTTTCATTTATGCATAAAATCATGAACTGGAGAGACACAACAAGTACGAACAAAAGCTTTATTTAGGTAATCATTAATTCAAAGGCATTTATCCCAACACAATATTGTTTTAAATCACAACAAAGTTCGCTGATGATGAGTAAACACATGACAGTGTATTTTGTTCAGATTATGACTTGTTTAACCAAAATAACACACGCAAAGAGCTTTAAAACAATAAAAATACGACAGCAACAGAGGTGCACAAAAAAGGAAGAGTTTTGAGATTTGCTGAGACATGTTAGGTAGTTACACAAGATTAAGGCGTCCTTGTTTATTGAATGTGAAAAAATTACTATATACAAATAAAGGGCTTTTAGTTTCTATACAAAGGCATCTCTTTCTGAAACTTTAGTCGGCGTCGTCTGAGAGAGCTTTGAGATCTTGGAGCTGCTGGATCGCCCTGAGCCCATGTAAGATGCATACTGCTGGGAGGGTCTGTAGTATCCAGTGTACAGCGTTCTTCCTCGGGAGCGAGGATCCATGTAGGTGTGCCCTCCATAGGCATACACTACTTGACTGTGGGACCAAAACAATGTCAGAATTAATTCAGTGGTGGGGTGAGGAAAAAAAAGGCAGAAACTAGGTGAATCAGAATACCTTTTTGGGCAGATCACTCTGAAGACTGTGACGACGTAAAACGCAGTTCCCAAATAGATGAGAAAACAACCCACCAGTCCAAGAAATATGGGAGGTCCCAAGTCATACCTGGATTGAATAAATCAAAATTCACTGTAGCAAAAGATGAGATATATATATTTTTTTACAGTATAACCTTTTATTTATGGACATTAGTGTGAGGAATCGCACCGTAAAACTCCCGGCCCTATAGTGGCAGCGAAGGTTGTCCTGGCAACCCTGTTGATGTATAAGCAGTAGGCGGCAATATTTGACACACCTGTGGACAGAGGTTTCGTTGATACCAAGAAATAATGAGGGCAAAACATTTCTGTCATTTACCAAGACAAGAGTATTTGTTCCTCTCACCTCCAGCAAGATGAAACACCGCTCCTGCCAAAACCAGTTTGTCCTTGGTTTTATCTGCTCCCCCAATGTAGGTGCAGTCCATCCCAATAAAGCAGAGAACAACAGCAAAGAACCCCAGAGTCAACCCGCACATAAGCAACCCTCGCACTCCTTGGACGTAAGCTGCCAATATAAGAAAATAAGAGAAAGTTCAATCCGAGTCTCTCAGATAAACGACAAATGATATGACTCATGAGATGAGTAGACAAGAAGACAAGACTTCTGACTCTGCTTTGAATAGAGATAATCAGATGAGTCTGTGATTTTTTGACAAGTTAGCTTGATTTATTAAGTACACCATTACTTTTCAATGAACAAGGCTAAAGCTAATTTAATTTGACTGATCATCTACTTCACTTCGCTGTAACATACATCGTAAATATCATTACTAAGATTCGATTATTCCTCTTTCAATTAAGGTGCCTTTACATTTTCAAAACAGACACATCCTCTATTAACACTGTTTATTCCAAATTCTATATTTTAGTCCTTCAAAGTTACATAATGAATCATTGATCACAACACAGATCTAAAACTCCTGTATTAGAGGACATATTACAAACATTGTCAGTGATGTACAATAACTAACATGTCGCTCACTTACGGGTGACACTCCACAGCACAGGGAAGTCTCTGCAGTTGGTCACGGCTGTGGAATCAGTGAAACAGTCTTTCCACAGATTGGACCAGTACCAGGCCACTTTGATGATAAAGGAGCCTCCTTGTCCTCCGATTTGGGAGATCCTCCAATAGTCCATGGCCATGGTGCAAAGCACAAACGTCCATCCGAGTGAGGTGATCAAAAAGCCAAATATTTGAATCAGTCGTTTCCTCATTTCTCAGCTCTCTGAATTCAAACAGGATGAATCCACTTAGCACTGTGGAAGACCGGACCTAAGTGGTTGAGTTTTTCTGAGACAGGATGGCCGTGTGTCTGTGACATGTGCCATGAATGTTGATGAGGGCTGTCTTCAATTGTCTGATGTGTTTACTGTAAACCACCTGGAGTGTGCCACTAGCTTGTGACAGTCCGAAGTTCTTTGAGCTATTTTTTTTAACATTTTTATCCTTTATTCATCTGAAGCAGCGACAGGAGTGAGTTTACTTTAATGCAGACCAGAATGCCAACAAGAGAAACGGCTCCCAGAGGGATCTATTAGGACACTCAGCACCCCCAGCATTAAAAGTTAAAAAGTGAATCTTTCTATGAAGATAGAAATATAGCTATTAATCCAACAGTTCGGTGATATTTTAACCAGAAAAAGACACATTATCAATTGATAATAGTAATTCCGGTGTCCTAAAGCAGCTTTCTTATGCTCGACTGACGGCAGCCAGGACAAAGCCATCAGGTCCAAGTAAAACCAGTTCTTCTGGTTTTGTAGAAACAAATTAGTAGCCGCACCACAACAGAGAGGCAGGAGAGGCAGCCTGGAACAGCTTGCTCTGCAAGTGTCAGAGAAGAGCTTTGAACATTTGTGATAAAACCCAAGCAGCATAAAACATACAAAATGTTGAGTGGAGACAAAGCTTCACAGACCAGTAATGAAAGACGAACTGCTGCTGACCCAGCAGCACAGGTCCAGAGCTGGAAGGTTATTGAGCCGTTACCCACAGCAATGAGTCAGTGTGATTTGCCTCAAGAGGAGATGAGGGCTGAAGTTCAAGCCTGTGAGATGTTCACTGTACACCCTGTAGATGAGAACATTTACACCACTTCCTGTTACCTTTTTTGAGTTTGTGTATTTACAGTCAGCATGACCCGGGCTAGGACAGGCTCTGAGATTTAAATATATATTCTTTATTTCTATCGAAACAAACTTTTGATTACACAAACACAGTGTCAGAGTTAACTCTTGAGAAAGAATAGCACAAAAGATCAAAATACTGCCCTCTTTATTCACTTTTTTTATCTGATGAGCAAATTTGAAATGATCTGATCACAAAACAGCAAAAAAACAAAAAAACAAAAAAACATACTGATACTGGTTTTAAATATGTTTTATTCTTTGTCATAAATTATGCAAAAAACAATATTTAAACAAATTCACTGTATACAAGGATGATAAGTAGATGAAGTCCTATTTCAGTCGCCGTCATGTCTGCTTGTTACAAATTGTAGTTAATGGTTATATCATGGAAAACACGAGAATCTAGTTTTACATGCTTTTCATTACCGATTTACAACAAGTGTGGGTAACTAAAAGTTAAAAATTCAACCAAAAAAACAAACAAGAGTTTCTTACAAAATAGTCAGTGCTCATAGCTATATCAAAAAATAGATAAAAAATGATGAAAAGATTAGTTTACCCCAGTGTTCTTGATTTTTTTTTACCCCTTTTTTTTCCCGCCGAACTGTAACATTCACATAATCCATCATTTTAAGCGTTTCACCGTATGCAAACCTGTTTGACATTGAATTTTTTCATGTACAGATATCATAAATCCCCCATGATCAGAGTGTAAACAGTATCACACAACATCAAATCTGCACCTCTAGGTTACAACAGTAAAGCACTAGTGAATATCAACTGATTCTGATGCTGCTGTACAGAAAGTTTCTTCCCACGTTTTTGATTATTTTGGGCTATTTAGCTTTATTGAGCTTTTAGCCATCATTTGACAGGACAGCCTGAGAGTAAGAGAGGAAATGTGGGAAGATTCAGGGGGACAACATGCATCAAATCCTGTCTGGACTGGGAATGGACCTTACAACTCTATGTATGCTCAACCAGCTGAGCGGAACCACCAAGGACCTTATGTCTTCAACTCGAAGTTTTATATTCTCAACCCTTACACATATGCATTCTTATCAAAGTGCTGAATCCTGGAGGAGTTGCTGTAGTCTGGAGGCGGCCTCTGGTTTATGGACTTTGCCTGCCCTCTTGGGTAGGAGGAGATATGAGACTGTGAGGCAGCACCTCTGTAGATATAGTTAGCTTGACTGTGGCTGTAAAGAGACAGAAAATACATTCAGCTTTATTCATCAAACCTCTGTGACTCAGGGAAATTGATTCGTACATCACGTTGACCTTTTTACAGTCTGTATCAGTAAACACAGTATGTGTTAGTCTCATGAACCTTTCGCTGAAGGATTCTCCGATAGAGAAGCAAAGTATGCTGCCTCCCAGGATACAGAGGACAGAACCTCCCCAGCCAATAAAGAGAGCAGCTCCAAGTTCATACCTGAAGGCAAGAACAACAAACTTGGTGTAATTGATGGAGTTCAATTTGAATATTTTTCCCTGACAGGAAAATGGTTCTTACTTTTGAGCCACAAACATTGGATCGAAAAATTCTGATGTTATCCTGTGTGCATAAAGGGAACATGCTGACAGTGAACACAACCCTAATGAGAATAAAGAAAAAAAATCATCAGTGACACAAAAGATATAGAGAATAATATGTGGGGGAAAAAAATCACTTTACTTACCACTAAGAATGAAATTCGCACCAGCAAAGCAGGCAATCCTGGCTTTACGTTTGTCTGTTCCCCCAATTTTGGTGCATTTCATTCCAACCAGGGCAAATATAGAACCGAAAAAACCCAGACACACAGCTGCGATCATCAGCCCCCTGCATGCTTGGATGTATCCTGCAAACACAAAACCCAAAGACCATAATGTTCAGAAACCCTACTGTGCTTTTGCAGACCATGTGACTTCATCTCTGCAAACCACCAGCAGTGGTCAATGAGTTATTGACCTTGCGACCACATTTTACAGGTATGGCGAGAAATACAGTTTGTCAGGTGTTAACCTAATTGTTTTAGGTGCTAAGTGGTCATGTGAAGACCATTTTGGTGCAAAACTTCACATTCAAATGTCATTATGAGGCAAGTATTAACAAGAGAGTCAACTACTGAAGTGAGCCAGCCATGGACTGGGTCCCTGTAAATCACCTATATGTAGCTTTGAGAAACAAAGGTTTAACATTGACGGTATTTGGAGGTGAATGAACTGTTGCTTGAAGACTTGCATTGTACTTTAGGATACCTATTAGCCTGGGGAGGCTTTGATATTTAGAGAAGGAAAAACCTGAGATTGAGGAATTATTCCAGATTTCAAAACTGAGGGTAAATCAGCATTTCTCTCGCCATAAAGCAGTTAACTTAAATGAAAACAAAACCCTCTTTAAAGCTTAAATGATCTGCCATTGAGAGACAAACAAAAGTTAAAATAAATCTGATAAAGTTGACTAAGATTTCAAGCTCACAAAAGAGGCACAAGCAGAGAAACCAAGGATCCATAATGAAGGGGAAAAAGAGCTGACCATCCAGTGCCAACATCGAGGGAAAGTCTTTGCAGTTGGAGATTCCAGTTGAATCAGTCACACATGTTTTCCAAAGATTTGACCAGTAAGTCGCTGTTGTGATGACCGTTCCGTCAAGTGAAGCCACCTTCCAGTAGTCTGTGGGCAAGGTGGAACTGACAAGCACCCACCCAGAGGTCGATATTATAAAGGCAAAGATCTCCTGAAACATGCTGCTCATACTGCAGAGAACTCCTCCAGACTGCTGTCTGATGACCAAATAACTCAGTAATCTGACCTAAAACTCATGAATGGTTAGTAAAGCTTGTTAAAAATGTAGCCAGGCTCCGCACAAGTAAGTTCAATGGATAGGCTGTGATTGATTGTTAATGTTTTGTGACTTCTTATATGCTGTAGGGAGGAGTTTGGCCTTAAACATCAACAGGTGGTCAGTGTACTATCAAAACGACAGCCAGCCCCTCACACAGTCAACGTCAGCGTGACTCAAAATCATGACGGATGAAAGGCATCAGTGGTGACATCAGTTATACGGTCTAGGAACCAAAAGGGGCGTTTTGCTCTCTGTCATGAACATGTTTTTAGACTTTGATTTGAACTAAATGAGATAATTGATTGATCTGATAAAAAGAACAAGAATTTAAAAAAGAATAAATCAAATGTAATGTGAGACAGTTATGCATCATAGAGAAAGTATTTATTCTGAGGTGGGATGAATTATTAATGAATGAACTTGTAAAAAGTTAATGGTGTCAATGTTCCAACCATTCAGACTCAAGGGTAGGTTAAAATAACAATCCTTCTTACAGGGTTGGTAGTGTTCTTTTGAGACTGGCCGTATGAACCAGTGCTAGGGTGTTTGTGTAAATTCATACATCCATGGCCTCCAATGTTCCAACCTTTAGCAAACTAAGATTTAGGATAAAACCTTTTCAATGTCTCATCTACATCCCCTTACATAGGACTCAGATGTAATCAAGACCAAAAACAGGTTTTCATTTAGTCTCTCTTGTCTCCTTTCTGCCTCCTACTGGAGCAGGAAAGTGAATCATAACAATGGTGTTAAAAGCCTAAAAATAATTAAACATTTAAACTTTTAATAGTTTGTATCATGTATTTTGAGTTATTGTTCAGTTAAGAAAACTGTCTCTACAATGTACAGACAAGTAAATGTGTCACATCCTCTCCCCTCACCTTCATCTCCCATTGACGTGAAAACACAACACAAGTGGTTGAACTTCCTCGAACACCAAAAATAGCAGGATTTCGATTACTTATTAACACTCATTACTAATGTGTCTGCTGGGAGAAAAATAAAATGGCAGCTCCGTCACAGAGAGTCACAGTCAACCAGTTCAAAAGTGTTAAATTAAAGGATGACTTTAATTATGTGATGAGAAGAAACCAACAGGAAGAGAATGACACCCAAAAGAGCAAGTCAGTAAGCTCTTATACTGTAAGTTAGAGCCCCATCTAGTGGCTAAATGTGCTGCTGATAATGTCCTCACACTGCTGCCACCATCAGATGGAGCTGACTATCTGTAAAACACTTGGCTGTTTTTCTTTCAACAAATGACACACGTGTTTCTGAACAAGGTGACTTGAGAAAGTTATGAAAATTAAGAATTGGTAAATTAAGAATAATGGTGTTTGTAGATGTAAAACATAACCTTCTTTTGTCTTATTTAAACCAATAATAATCCAAGAGCTATATCTTGATACCACAAGAATAAAAACAGGCATGGTGGAAATGTTTGAGCTTTATTTAATAAAGGCCTTAAAAGTTGAATGTTTTTAATATAGTATTCTGTTTGTACATTTTGTCTTAGTGTAGATCTTTTCATCAGTGTAAGACTTTCAGTTTGACATTTCCATTAAGTGATTACACATTTGCCAAAGTTCGACACGTGAGCCATCATCTTCAGGATAAGTGATTCTTTTACCTTTCTTAACCTTGGAGGCCTCGTTTCAATTTTGCCATTTAAATTCAATGATATTTGTCAGTTTTGAGCATTATTGGTGAAGAATATGCAAACCAAGACCCATCAAGGTTAAACTCTTGGTAATTTTGTGCATTTTACTGACAATCTGATAAAATGTGGATGACTGTATGCACTATGAGATCTCATCAATAAGGTCTTGATTGATGATTTCCTTTGAAAATTACTCAACATGGTAGAACATTTTACTATTTCTCTACAGTAACAAAGTTTTCAAGGTCAGTGACTAAAATCTACAGGGAAAAATCTGAACTCATGGTCGACTTTTAGGTATTTTTCCCCCTAAGATCTGAAATTTGACAGATAATTTGCAGGTGCAGTAGTTCTTGCAACATCACACATCGATGCTTTTGAAAGTGCACTTTCGTCTTTGTGGTGAAGATTACTCAAGTTGCATTTCTTAAAGCTTTTGTGCTGAATGTTACTTTCCTCAGCTCAAAGTTAGTATGCAGGCAATGGTCACACCAACACAAATTTATATTTTGATTCACTCTGCATAACACCAAGGTGGTCAATAAAGACAAGTGTGATACAAAAACATGTCTTCTCTTACCTTCTAGCTGTAAGATGGTGTGATGAGGTCTGCAGTGAAGAGCTCCGATGGCATTTCCAGCACAGTTGTTCCACAGACCCTGGAGCACCCAGGTAGCTGTGATGACTGAAGATGCACGGCTGGTGGCCCTCCATTCATTGGACACTGTGGCGGCAATTGTGGCACCCAAACCAGCCACGCCGCTGAGGAACGCCAGAATCTGACGCGCTGACATTGGTAGATATAGAAAAATGTCAAAAGTCTTTTTGCAGTTTCAAGAAAATGAGGGAAAAATAAAATCGCTCCAGGCGAGTAAATTACACTGAGGACATGTGTTTCACTGAGATGATTTACAGACAGGACATCTCGCCTCATTTCTAGTGCTGAGGGATGGACACAAGTGTCACAAAGTGAAAAAAGTAAAAGAAGCATGAGCTGGCAGTTAGTTATTACATTTAGAAAAGCTGCGTCCTATATGCTCCATGTTTTGGTCACAGGCTGAGTTTCATATTAACATTAAAAAGAGTAATCAATAATCCTAAAAACAAGACGCAGTGTGACAAAGTCCAGCTACTGGTTCATCTATTTCTGTGCACAATATTTAGCAAATGACTAATGATTTCCAGCTCATATGTGAACATGTTGCTGTTTTTAGTGAGTCACTGCTCTCAGAAAGTATAAAATACTTTTTATTTAAGTGAGAAAAAGAAAATAAGTTACTTCGGCAGAAAACCTGCAAAAAGAATGAGTAGCATCTCATCTAAATCTGTAGTATAGTTAGTACAGTACATTTCTGAACAACATTAGATTAGTTTAGTTTAGATTAGATATGTTTACATACAACTTTATTTATATGTGAATAAATATGAATATTTCCATATTCACATTAATGTGCTTATTTATTTCATTGGAGAAAAAAATTGTTTGTACTTTTTCTCATTTGCCAGAAAAAGAACCTGATCTTGAGAAAATCAAAAGATGAAGTCAAGATCCAACACTCAAACTTTTTATCACACCAAAACCTGAGGAGGTTCTGTCATAGCCAAATTAAAAGGTTTAAAAACCTTGAATTTCCAATAATCCCCCACAGAGTGAAATAAAGGTTGTGCTTTGAATAGAAGAGGAGCACCATTTCTTTTCTGCTCCCCGTATTAAGATGTTGTTACAGGGAAAAAAATGAGAAAGAAAAGTTAACATGTATGTTAGAACTTAATAAATCGGCAATGCTGGACTAAAATAGATTCGGTAATGCTTAACGATCAAGTTTTGCGTAGTCCTGAAAGGACAAACAGGAAATAAATGCAAAGCTAACTGCTGGTTAACCATTTGGTGATGAGTAACGCCTCAAAAGTTGTAAATTATTTTCATATGGTTACCTTTTTCTTTGTGCCACTGTAACATCCCAAAAATCCCCTATAGTTGCTTTATGTAACTCCCTGCTAAATCCCTAATAACTCACTCTGATCAATCTCAACTTCTATAGAAAAGTACCGCCTTGTTAAATCCTGTGTAACTACAAAATAACTTTGTGTTACCCTTAAGTCTCTTACCTTAAAATCCTCTTAATTCTCTGGTAACTTCATACTGACTACCAAAAATCTCATTCATTAGTCTCCCTGTTGACTTTCTTGTAACCCAGTAACCCCTGTTACTCTCTATGTTACTCATTATTTATGTTACGCCCTTTAAACTCTTTACTTCCTGTCGGCCCTTCTCTCCCATAATCCATGTTAACTCTGTGTTAGCTCTGTAATAACTCTCTGGAAACTCCCTGCTTAGTCCATTTATCTCTCTGCAATCTCTCTAGTAAATAACTGTGAAATCCCAGGTGTCTTCCCTTTATCTCTCTGTCAACTTCTACATAACTCCCTGTTTATTTAAACACAGTGCTCTTTATACTCTTTAAATACCCCCTGTTAACTCTGTCCATTCCAATTCCTTTGTTTGTCCTTGACAACTCCCTGGTAATTGGGAATGTTTCAAGATCTACTGATTGAGTTAATGGTTCAGTTGCATTCGTTTTTTGCATCACGCCAGCCAGCTGTGAACATTGGTGTTATGGTTTAACAAGTGATCTGGTGTGATCTTCTTCGACTAAATCAATAAATGGAAAATTGATTTGCCTTGACTCACAAAACAAGAGCTTAAAATGAAAATGGAAACTGGGCTAATATCCTTGACCTTATATGTAGCCTAATGTTGGTTTTAGATGGAAATCTTAGAACATGGACGCGGAAAGATCAGTCATCATCCCCTAGCTTTCTATGTGGAAATGCTAAAATTAAAGAGTCTTTGTCCTAAAACACCAAATGGAAGAGCAAAAGACATGGAAAAAAAAATAAAGGACCTAAGTAAACACTTGCCTGAGCTACTCTTGGTTTTGTTCTAGCTAACATTAATAAGCTACATTATACATTCTGCACTACTGCTAACATTAGCTAACCAAGCCCTGTCAGCTAGGCCTACATAAAAAACGTGATGTTTCCATGTGAAACTAGATTCAGTGGGTTCACTACTCCTGAAAACAACAACAGACATTCAATTTAACACTTAAACGGTCAATTTTACCCCATTAACTTTAAACTTTTATTGTATCACATAATAAAGGAGGGTGGCACAGTGGTGTAGTGGTTAGCACTGTCGCCTCACAGCCGACTGGTGATATATAGGTCAATCTGAATTCTCATATGTATATATGTAATAAATTATGTATGATACTACAAGGGTGTATCATAAATAATCAAGTTTTTATTTTAGTCTTAGTGGACATTTAAATACCTCTGTGCATTTTCTGTCTTTAGTACTTTTAAAGTAGAGGACCTGAATCTTAAAGTATTTATTTAATCGAATATTTTTGTAAGTATTCATAAGAGTGGCTAAAAAATATGGAACATGGCATTAGATGTAAAAGTTGATTGACTGGGTTAAAAGGGCAACAGTTCATGACCCTACGATACAAGGCAGGTCCAGGAATGATGGATCCCCCTTTAAACCAATCATCGTTTATTGGGCGGGGCCACTTCAAGCGCGTCTCACCTGACAGCTAAACCGGCGTGACGTCCGCTGTAGTAATCCTATCACGCACGTTGGATGGGTGTAATATTGACAGACGTCTGAGTTTACTATAGCAGCTCATAGTGTTTTCTCTTGGAGTCTTTTATCGACCTCCCTCTGCCACACAGCCTGCAGAGAAAGTCCTCAGGTCGCTTTGACTGTTTGGGGGGGCATGGAGCCTCTGCGGAAGGAGGGGAAGGATAATCCGTCGGCTTCAGCTAATCTTCTCTCCAAGATTTTCTTCTGGTAAGAAAACCAGCCCGGAGTGACAGCCGTGTTTGACGTTAATTGAACTCAAAGCTATCCTTTTTGACAGTTTGCAGCCACTCAGCACAAACTGTCTTCTGGCTGTGGTAGCAGATAGTGAAGTATCTGAACATACATAAATATAAATATGATAAATACTGAAAGAATAAATCAAAGCTTTATTTTAAGGAGATGCACTCTTATTTCATAGAAAGGGCTGAAAAAAAGGAGTTTCAAGTTTGAATAAAGTTTAAAAAAAACTTCTCTTGAAGTAAAACTATGACAACTTTATTGATATAGCACTTTTTGTACAAAGTTTAAGCATGTAAATAAGCGTTGTTTGAAAGGAAATAGACAATCAAGTCAACACAAACAAACAAAACTCCATAAACCTAAAATTTGGCATTGGGGTATCATAAGAAAGCATGCATTTTCTCTCATTGAACAGAGTGGTACAGGTATGATGGAGATGGACTGTGTTTACAGTAACTGGTGTGAATTGTTTGGTGTCTCATCTTTCAGCTAAAACCTTTAAAAGAAGAAGACATAGATACTTGCTGTTTTTAAATCCTTTCAAAACAAACTTATTTGCTTGGTCACTAGTTGGCTGAATCCCTTGTTTAAACTTGGGTACGAAAGGAGGCTGGAAGAAGATGACATGTACAAAGTTCTCCCAGAGGATTCATCAGAAAGACTTGGAGAGGAGCTACAAGAGTAAGACTTATTTTTTTAATTTTGCTTGTCTTAATTATTAAAATCTTATATGCTGTATTTGCTAGTTCTTGGAGTTTTAAAGGTACAGGTATTCATCTGTGTTATTTTGTTACATGATCTGTGTGTTTGCTCGTCTCCCTCCATCCCTCTTTTTTGTGATTTGCTGGCAGTGTTGGCAGATGGCCGCTTATCAGTGAGTCCGGTACTGGTCATCTTTGCCCGTTTGAAGAAAGTTTTTTCTTCACCATAAGCTTTCTCATGGTGAATTAATGTTTGGCCTCTGGTAATAATACAACAAAGAGTTTGAGGGTCATTTAATATCTATATCTATCCTCTTAACTTCTTCAATCAAACTGATAATTAACTGAGCACTCAAGGTTGTCAGGAACCATAAATGTTCTTATAATCTTTGGTAAATTGTACTTCTTATGGACACTTCATACCCAGAAGTGCATTTTAAATTCAATGAAGATTAAGAAAAGAGATTTATTTATTATTCTTGGTATTCAAGCATCTTTGAGGTTCATGTAATTCTCCTTGAGGGACTGTTGTAAGTCATAGACTGGGACCTTCTTATCCAACCGTTATGTCGCCAACCTCTGACTCACAGATGCTCACTACTGCTGGGCACCTATCAGCCTGGACTCTTTCTTTACTGGGCAGACCCCCCTGTTCAACCCCCTTCTCAGGGGGTTTGGTATCACATTTGGCACTGAGGCAAGGCCATCTAAATATAGACAGTAACTTCACATAAGCAGACACTAATCCCACTACATCGAGAGTGAAGGGGCGGCTTCTCTAAGAAGCCTTTTCCCCTCAGCTTTGCATTAGCAAGTTTTCTGCAATTTAAACTATAACTTCAATTTCCATAAACCTCAGTCCAACACCTGTTTGCTATGTTTGTACATAATCTCATTGGTGCATCATTTTTCTTGCTGTATCTTTGGCCTGAAAGTGTGAAACTGTGTTTTGATGTGTTTGCCACTGATGTGATGCTATAATCAGTTGGTTCCCCAACTCCCCCAACTTGTCATACAACAAAAATAATATAACAAAACTAGTCAAAACCAGTCAAACGTCAGCCGCTGGTATTTCCACATTAATGTTGTGTATTTACATGGAGTAGTTTGGTATTGGCCAATCTTCAAGTTTAGGTTTCAGATTTGGTAACAGGAGGGAAATTGGTCTGGGAACAGCTCAGCTTTTTTCTGGATCCACTCATGCAAAAGGCTCTGTGTTTACAGCTATTTACTAGATATAGAAATCGTACCACCCCACCTCTATGTTCACTTTTCCTTGGAGGGGGCCTGAACCATCTAATTTTTAGGGACATTAAGCCCCAATGTAAAGTGCATGGAGCAAGTCCAGTCAAGTATTATGACTCATATAGGTAGTCAAGGAACAGCAGGTATGATTGTGTGCTGTCTTTATAAAACTGTGACTGCAGGGGTGAGCAGAAAAAGCAATGCTGTACATTATAAATCATATCCAATTAGGATTCAGTCCGACACTAAGTCCAAATTGGAAAATCTCATTAATTATTTTGTCATTATGATGCAGCACTACAAATAATTGACTACAGCGCCTCAGTTAATACTCTATCATGTAAAGACGTGTATGCAGACGGCTTGCCTCTAAAGTTTGCAGCAGTGTAAAATACATCCTTAGTCAGTTAATTTCCATACCAGCGAGATATTATAATAGAGGATTATTATTATGCGTCTTGTGATTTCTCTGAAGAAGCCCTAAGAAATGCAACAGTTCATTATTGTGAGTAACACAGCTTAATTACCTCTGCCTTTCTTCGCTCATTTCAAAGCTACTGGAACAGAGAGGTTCAACAGGCAGCAAAAGACCTGCGCCCACCAAGCCTGACGAAAGCTCTCGTTAAGTGCTACTGGAGGTCATACTCACTCATTGGAGTATATATCTTTGTACAGGTACCGTGAAATCATATCTACAATCTACATGTTGCATTAACAGGGAATTCCTGTACTTTTCAAACTGGGTCATATTTTGATATTTTTTAGTGTACAATCTGAGTAACAGACGGCTATCAAACGTCAAGTTTTTTTTAGACCTAATTTCAACCGTCTAGTTTCTGTATATTTTTAGATGGAATTTAGACATTGCACTTTAACCCATTATTCGAAAACTATTTGTTTCAAAAAGCAACTGTGAGTTGCATAACTGATCTCTAGGTACTTAACCAAAATAATTATGATAGCTGTTGAGCAATATACAGTGTAGTATAGATATAGGCCAGATTTAGACTAAACTTGGTCTTAATTTAGACATCTAAAAAAACTTTCATTTTTAGACTTGTGGTAGCTTGATTTTAGACCAGTCGTCTAGGCAACATTTAAACTTCTATTAGACCTCTTTTGGACCTAAAAATGGTCAGTGGGATTATGCAGTCTAACCATTTAGAGTTGCTTCAGATGATTGCTTTTGTTGTTAGCTGCAACCTGCAAAAAGCAAGCAGTTAATGTCCGCTGAAAGGATTTGGTTTTGACACAGAGGGGCTCACACTGTTTTTTTTTATTTTTAAAGTCATCACGACAGAAAGGACCCAACTTTCTGAATCTGCTGTCTGTGTTCATCTCAAAAACTAAGGATAGTAATTGGAGTCTGTCAGAGGCAAAAACTGGCGATTTAGTGGCATCACCTTGGTTCTTTTTTGTTGTTAAATTACAGGTGTGTCACCACAAACAATCTAAATATATGAAAATACTACCCAGGTTGAAAAACAGTAACCCCCCTTTGTAAATTACGTTTTCACGCCCACATATTTGTTTTATTTCTCTTTTCTATCAGGAAGTTTTTAAACTCATTCAGCCATTACTGCTTGGGAAAATGATTGAGTACTTTGAGCGCTACGACCCCACCGACACAGCTGGTGTACATGAGGCTTACTGCTACGCTACAGGCATCTCCCTGTCAACCATCACCCTGACCGTCCTTCATCATCTCTATTTCTACAGTGTTCAACGAGCAGGCATGAAGATTCGTGTGGCCATGTGTCACATGATCTACAGGAAGGTCAGTCATTATACTATGTTAATATGCACATACTAAGATCTTTGATATTTTCAGCTGGTAGGATCTCATTTAAAACTTCTGTTCTGCAAAGGCTCTTTTTCTTGACAGCAAGGCGCTGGCCAAGACTACCACAGGACAGATTGTAAACCTTTTATCCAATGATGTCAACAAATTTGATGAGGTAATTATCTTACAGTTTTATTCCAAATTCATATTTTTACCATCAATCCTTCAGACTTTGCCACTTTTTTTCCTCCTCTGTATCGTTTTCTTACAGATGACCTTATATTTACACTTTATGTGGATTGTTCCTCTCCAAGCAGCAACTGTATTAATATTACTGATGTATGCAATCGGCCCATCATGCCTTGCAGGAATGGCTGTCCTCTTTATCTTGATGCCTTTACAGACCATGTTTGGACACTTGTTCTCCAGTCTCAGGTTTGGGTTTCTTCAGCAGATTTTTGAGTTACAATTGATGTTATTGCTGTATTGTATGTGTTTGTGTGTATGTGTCTGTGTGGTTTTAGGGCTGAAACGGCGGTCCTTACAGATGACAGGATACGCACAATGAATGAAGTCATCTCTGGGATCAGGGTTATAAAGATGTATGGGTGGGAGAAGCCTTTTGCTGCATTGGTGCATGAGGTCAGAAGGTAACCTGGTTTCCTCTTATATTTCTTTTGTTATTGTCAACATATTCTATAATTTCGAAGCATTTTACTACAGGAAAGAAGCTCAATTAAAGTCTGTAAAAAAAAAATTAAATTAAAAAAAAAAAAATTCTATTAGTTACAAAAATACATGTATTTTTTTTTCTGAACAAATGATGAATAAATGAATGTCTCTTATATTGTCTAGCACAATATCCTGACCCTATGTCCTGTTCTTATCCAGACTAGAAATCTCCAAGATCATGAAAAGCTCCTACTTGCGTGGGCTGAACATGGCGTCTTTCTTTGTGGGCAGCAAGATCATCATTTTCATCACTGTCTTCGTCTACGTAGTGACAGGCAACACGTTGTCTGCTAGCAGCATCTTTATGACTGTTTCCCTCTACGGGGCAGTAAGGCTCACCATCACACTCTTCTTTCCCTTATCCATCGAGAAGGTCTCTGAGTCTCTCATCAGCATCAGAAGGATTCAGGTAAGCACAGATGATTTTCCTGTTTCCTGTTTTCATATATGAAACTTAGAAATGTGAATCTTCTGTTTTAGAAGTTCCTCCTGCTTGATGAAGTTGCTCTTCAGCTTCTGCGTCCTTCTGTGGCAGAGAAAGAGTGTATGGTGGAGATTCAGGATTTAATATGCTACTGGGATAAGGTGAGAATTATCCTCAGCAATGTGATTCTACTTTCTATTCATAACTTGCTCACATATGAAATCCTTACACTCCTGGAGGGGGAGTTAGATAAACTTGAAAACCCTATGACTTTGAAAATCTGTCAATAAACTTTACAGACTTGATCGCTTCTCCATGTCTGAGCCCTTTGACTTTTCCTCACAGACTCAAGACGCTCCAACTTTACAGAGGGTGTTTTTCACAGTGAAGACAGAGCAGCTCCTGGCAGTAATTGGACCTGTTGGGTCTGGAAAGGTCAGGTCTGTTCTTAAGATCAGGTTTACAGACAAAATCATGAACTTTAAATAACCCCAAATAGTTATTTATGTAATGTTCTCAGTGTTATTCATCACAAGCCTTTAAGCATTGATTTAGTGAGGTTTAATTACATGATAGGCAGTTGAGGGGCATTGAAATGTTCAAGTTTTGCTCACAGCAATTGAGACTACAAGTTTTTAAATGTGAAGAAAACACAAAGACAGCATTTATGTTGCACATTTATCCTGTACTAGCAAACTCCCACGAGGCAGCAGCTGTATTCACGCAGCAGTATGTATTTTTTTCTTATTTTTTTCTTTACATAAATGCCCGTAATTATTTTTCTTTTTTGAAATACACTCTTTAGATTCCTTACAAACAACACTAGCAAGGCTAATTTGCTAATTGCCATTAGCAAATGGAAAGGCATAGGAAAAGTTAGCCTGGTAACCCCAAACTGTACATTATCGACAAATTCTTTATTTGGTGCCACCTGACTTCTGGCTCCACTAGCCTCCTAAATTTGAACATAATTTGTTATTGTTTTCATTCTTTATTGGTGTTTGTGTATGTTAGTCTTCCCTCCTCAATGCCATCCTGGGAGAGCTGAGTCAGGAAAGTGGTGTGGTGAAGGTCAAAGGAGACCTGACATACACGCCTCAGCAACCTTGGATTTTACCTGGAACCATTCGGAGCAACATCCTATTCGGCAAAAAGCTCAACCCCCACAAGTATGAGAAAGTCCTGGGAGCCTGCGCCCTCAAGAGAGTGAGAAGAACTTCTTATTGAGTGTTTTGTTTGTGTTAGCTTTACCGTCAAGTGTAGGTGTAGTGTCATGTGTAAATATGAAAGAATACTAAGAGTCGGGCTTGGACCCTGTTCAGGACATGGACCTGATACCAGGTGGTGACCTGGCAGTTGTTGGAGACAGAGGGGCCAACCTTAGCGGAGGTCAGAAGGCAAGGGTCAGCTTAGCAAGGTGTGCTGAGAAACAAAATACTACTGCACTTTTAGATTGGTGTCCAGGATGAAGATAACCTGCTGGGTGTGTTTGTTTGTCTTTTTTAGAGCAGTGTATCAGGATGCAGATATCTACCTGCTGGATGACCCGCTCAGTGCTGTGGATGCTGAGGTGGGACGACACCTGTTTGAAGAGTGAGTGTTACCCCTGTTATTATGCTTTAATAGAAGTTCAGCTCTGTGAGGCACTTTCAGGTTGTATTAGCTTTGGCTCCCCTTGTGGACAAAGTTACTTTACCTTGTCCTCTACATCAGTGGTTCTCAAGTCCAGTCCTCGAGGCCCACTGTCCTGCATGTTTTGGATGTTTCCCTGCTCCAACACACCTGATTCAAATGATCAGCTCGTTATTAAGCCATTACAGAGCTTGATAACGAGCTGATCATTTGAATCAGGTGTGTTGGAGCAGGGAAACATCCAAAACATGCAGGACAGTGGGCCAATTTGCACCAATTTGAATTTCAGTCTCTTTTTTATATATCCAAACTCCTCACAGGAGCTTTAAATGGAAAGTACTGCAAATTTTAGTAAGTCGGATGTAGAGAATAAGGTCTATATTTCCTCAGGTGCATCTGTGGACTTTTGAAAAAGAAGCCTCGCATCCTGGTTACTCATCAGCTGCAGTACCTGAAGGCTGCAGATCAGATAGTTGTCCTAAAAGAAGTAAGTCTTAACCTATTTCTTATTTAAATTTCTCTAAATAAGAAAAAAAATGGTTGTAAGACAAACACTCGTGGTATTTATGCTCTGAGGAGTTATCATAATTAAAATCATGCTGTATGTTTCAGAAATATAGACATTCAGTAATTTGTCTTTGTATGCTATCACTGCGTGCTCATATTTTATGGGTCACTTATTTGGCCAAATATTACATTGGCATAAATGTTCATGTAGTTCACTTCTAAAACTACTAATCTACCTGCACTTGTACAATGCTAATAAACTTATGCATCCCTGAAAAATACTGTAAATATACTCTTCTGTTGTCGTATGAAATCATGTCAGGTGTCAGAAGTGATCTGTCCTGTTTAAGTATATAAAAAAGGCAAAAATAACAAATATAAGGAGATGATAGATGCTCGTTCTACAGCTCCACTCTTGTGGCCTTCAAGCTGGCTTTGTGTTTCGGTTTTCATGCTGTTAACTGCGCTTCCTTTTTGTCATTGTCAGGGTCAGATGGTGGCACGTGGGACCTACACTGAATTGCAAAGCTCTGGTTTGGACTTTGTATCCCTGCTGAGGGAGGAGGAGGACAACGAAGAGGCAAGGCAGGGCATGACCTCAATCCCTGGGACTCTTCCTCACTGTGCCCAGTTGCTTTCCGACAACTCAAAGTCCTCCATGTCCTCCCTCTCCTCCTCTCAGCGCTCTTTGATTGAGGGAGCAGAGCCACTTGTAACGGTATGTACATCTGACTTCACTGCGGTTGATAAAAAGCCTTTTTCCATCAAGTTTAAAGCGTGCATGTTGAGCTTTCTTTTTGTGGGAAAAAAAAAGGACATGTTGTTCAAGCTTTTGACCACTAGAGGGCAGAAGGTACTCATACTTTTCCCGCTGCTTATTACAGCGTTATCTGGAGTGTTTTTGGATGATATTTATACTAGTGTCTGTCCGTAGGAAGTGCAACCTGCGGAGGAGGAACATCGCTCAGAAGGAAACGTCGGCCTGCGTCTGTATGTGAAATATTTCAGAGCAGGCGCTAATTTCCTGGTCCTCCTGGTCCTCATTTTACTCAATGCCCTAGCACAAGTGAGTTAATTCTCTGAAATTATTCAAGGTATGTTAACCGTTTTTGAAATTTGAAAATGTTGCTAAACTTTTGTTTGTTGAAACTGAACAGTTCTTGAAACTACATCTTGATATTATCATGATATTATTTGTCGTGTTTGATTTCTGCTTTTTGTTTTTTTTTTTAGATTACATTTGTTCTTCAGGACTGGTGGCTGGCTTGCTGGTGAGTTTATATTTCTTTAACACACACAAAAGACAAAACTGCTGGTGAAAGAGGAAAAAGGCAGGTTTTGTTCGCAGCCATTTTTACCGTACAATAAATAATGATTTGAAAAAAGGGAAACTGAACCAAACTGAATTTTTTTTGGTATTATGTTTTACTTGTTAAGACTGACCTTGTGTTTCAGGTGAAGAGAAATGCGTTTGTACGTCTCTGCATGTTGCAGCTTTATTTCTTGGTTGTGTTTATTTGTCCTTGTAGACTTTTGGTTCTTTTGTGGCTGACTTGCAGGGCCTCTGAACAGAAGCACATCAGTGTGACAGAGCACCTCAATGGCAGCTTCCCTCGGCAGCTGGACCTTGACCTGTACCTAGGTGTTTACGCAGGTGAAGCTCACCAAGCACACATTGCTCTTTGTGTACTGTTGAGTCTCTGAATACGCCAGGCATTCAATGAACAGATCCACAGTTCTTTGGCTGTGGCCCAAGGCCTTCAAGGCCCAGTGTATGTGTACACGGGCCTCAGCTGTACAGAGAGATAGCAGTACCTTTCTTGTTGTCTGCCGTTGGATTGTTCTGATTGTCTCCCCGTGACTCCCAACCTCTGCACTCTTTCACACTTTGTATTCACAGTGAATAATCCACATTCAAGACAAAAAATGTCATTGAAGGAGAACCTTAAGTGGAATATTTTTTTGTGTGTGTCATTCAGCATCCTTAATAGTGGCCTTAAATGCATAGCTGACCTTGGAGCAGGGACAAAGATAGTTTTGTAGTGTGCTGATGGGTTTTTTTCTGTGCTTTTGTCAGGTTTAACAGCCACTTCAGTAGTGTTTGGCTTCCTCCGCACATTGGTCTTCTTTAATGTCCTGGTGAGCTCGGCGCAGACCCTACATAACAGCATGTTTACTGCCATCCTCCGGACCCCTGTACACTTTTTTGACGTCAATCCAATAGGTAAGCCGCTCACCTCCCCTTCAAGGTGTCATTTAAATAACTGATAAATAACAGAAATGATAAAGGAGACACAGAAATGATGGGAAGGTCTTCAGAGGTAAACATCCACTGAAGTTATTTTTCTGACGTCTGACCACTAGAGTGCAGACTGTTACTGACTCTGTCATGTTTCCATCCACATCACAAACATCCACATGTTTGCCCTTAACTTCACAGTCGATCAATACTCTCAAGTTCTCACTGACACCAAGATCAGAAAATGTCAGACTCCAAATTTTGATTGTATTTCTCCTTTAATGTGCACACTACCACCAAACAAGAAACACACTTGAAGATTATTAATTTAATTATCTCATTATTAATTATCAGTAATGATTTAAAAAATGAGCTCTAAAACAAAGACTCTGCTCAGTTTGAGGTTTGGTTTTATTTTTATAAGATTTCTGTGATTTAAATCTTTAAATGTAAATTGTCTAAATGTAAAAGGAATTTGTTTGACTGGAGGGTCAATTAATTGAGAAACCCATGTGACATGACTTGATGTAAAACTATAATAAATTCAAATAATCAGTACATAGAGTGCCATCTTCTTTTATCATGCGCCCAAATGAAGAGCAAACAATCCTTTTGAGTGAATACTGTTTGCATTAGATCCTGGACAGTGTACTGTTTGGATTGTCGAGCTGTGCAAATACACAGGTTTGCGTGTTGTGCGCCGTTTAAAATCAGCAATTATTTCATTATCTCTGTTGGCTTTAGCTGACAGGTCAATAGATTTTGCAGATGGACATGATTTTAAAAGTGAGTAAACACTTTAAATATGTTTGACTAAACTGCGAGGGGACGTTTTTTTTTTGCCACCTTTTTTGAGTGCAGCGCACTTCAAGATTTGTTAAAATAATTCCTGAATTGTTTCCCTTCCCTGGATTCTCCTTATCCCTTTGGTTCTGTAGTTTAAATTAAATACCTTTTTTAATTAGGTAAAATAACGTCACTACTATCTGTCATTCACATCCAAAGTCAACTGTCAAGTGGCCCACTTTGATAACTTTTAATTTTTCTGGGGCATTGTTCACCTGTCAGCAGATAATTACTCAGCCTAATCTCTTCATAGTGACACGCATGTACTACACAATCAGCTCGGGTGGGAATTCTCTACAAGAAGGGAACTTGTGTCTGTATAATGAGTCATAATAAGCTGTTAACACAAGTCTAAATATGATTTGAGGGTGTTCAGGAGCTGGTGGTTTCTCCTGGCATTAGAAGTGGGTGTAGCGACAAAGCTTTCCCTTGCAGAGCTGTGTTTGGAGCAAACACCACAGGTCTTAAAATCTTCGGCTTTTGTTTTTCCTGCTTCTGCTGTGCTATGTACCGGACTACCTGACAGCTTATCTGGGTGTGCCTGGCTTGGTAATCGCACGAGAAGAGGACAAACACTTTGAATAACATTATAATCTGTTTAATAGCGCAGCAAAGAAGAGGCTTAACAGACGCTGCTATCTGATTGCTGTTGTGCTGCTATCAGTAACCATTGTATGACCAGTCCACTCATTACAGCTTGGCCTCCAGGCTTGCAAACAGCGGTGTGTTTCTGACTCGATTTACAGAAAATTATCCTTTTTGCATTCAACAGAAGAATAAGCATTAACATGAGCCCTTTCTATTTGTAAATATATAAGAGATTCACTTGTTTTCGGTGTAATTTTCACTTGCTCTGTACTTCCTTCACTGATTTATTCTCTTGAGTGTAACCTAGCTGAAAAGATCAGGACAAAGAAAGGCAATGCCAGCCTTGCAGAGTCCTTCTTACACCTTCTTTTTCATCCTGATGTTTTGCTTCTCTCAAAAGACTTTTCTCCATTTCAACACTGACTGTCACTTCCACGAAAGCCGCTTCTTCATGCACTCCTGTCTTGCGATAATTGTGAGCGATGTGTGACTGTGCGCCTGTGTGTTGTGAAGGATTTGACAATAGTTTACATGTGTAAGTGATAGGTGTGCTGCTGCTGCTGTTGCTGCTGAACAGGCCTACTGTTTGATGGCTGTCCATGAAAGTTAAAGGTTACCATTTCAAGCGCTGCTGCACAAAGGTCTTATTTGTTATTCTGTGAATGTGGTTTGTAACAATAGAGCACAGCAGTGGTGAATTATGATTGATGGATGGGCTTTGTAGCTTTTCTCTATCAGCCATTGAACGCCTCTGTGGTATTTCAATCATATTTCTGTGTTATCTTTCGCACTGTGTAGATATAGTTTGGGGCTTTTACTGATTAAAACTTTTATATTTCAACAATACTATTTGATGACAGAGAGATATGTAGATGAGGACGATAAATCTGCAGACTGCCGTTTCCCACTTTTCCCGACTTAAAATATTCATGTTTGCTGAATTTTTAGCAATATGTACAGTGTTATTACAGCTGTTCACCCAAATGTGATCCAGTTAGAGCAGCACAGACAGCGGTGGATGTGTTGAGCTGATGTTGATCCCTCTAATTTAGTGTCATTGAGTGGGCTAATCCCCTCAGAGACTGCAGGCCAGGGCCTCAGCGCATCAGCACTGTCAAGGAGTGGAGTTTCAGTCAACACACACACACACACACACATACGTTTACACTTCTGCTGTCCTGCTTTCACTCCGGCATGGTGGGCCATCTCAGCACCAGGTGTCACTCAGTTTGCTGTTGACACACAGGGAACATTAGATCGTCTGTAGTGGGTGATGTGAGATTCTAATTGTGTCTACAGAGGCAGTGTTTTTAATGTCTGTATTTCAGGTCTAGGATGCAAGAGTGTTAAGAGCAGAGTGGAGGAAGTACTGCAGAGAGGGTGATGATATCGAGGTGTGTAAATTGAATGTGGAGATGGAGCCGTGTGTGTGTGTGCAGCGCGGCTGATAGGGCTCCCCCTCGCTCCGCACTTCCACTATTTAATTGCATGAAAGGGAAGGAGAGGAGATTGCAGGAGCCTGGCGGTGTGAGCGAAGAGAATGGATTTAGAATGTATTAGTATTGGCAGCAAGGTGCCGGCGGTGGGAGGCTGCCCCAGGCCCGTGGGCCCCTTCATGGAAGTGCAGGTGAGCTGTGCCACCTCCAGCCTTGGCAGCCCCCCTCCCCAGTATTCCTTCATTATCGCACTTGCCTCACTGAAAGGCCCCTTCCGTCTGCACTGGGGCCCACACATGGAGCGGCTCTGAGTTTACTCCTTATCTTGATGTTTACAGGGAACAGCGATTTGCCACACGCCCCTCTCCAGCCGGACCCCTCTGTGCCATTTCTTTCAGTATGATTGGGGGCCCTGCTCACCTAATATCTCCACCTTAAGGGGCCACCTTGGTTGGGAGGGCTTGATATTTTCTGAGCTTGAAAAAGTGGTGCAAATCACCCCTGGAGTCTTCAAGCATGAGAAATTGTTTGATACTAATGCTGCTGATATCCCGAAACATCTATCCTCCTCTCCACACAATAGGTGATATTGTTGACAACCACCCATAGTGATTGAAGCCTTTGTCCCATGCTGATCTTACCTCATAGGCATTTCCATGCAGTGAATGTCTTTGTGTAACTGCATCACTGTAATGTATCCCCTCTATAGTGTGTGCAGGATGGAGAAGGGTCTTTTACTTCATCCCCTCTGAAACTCTGTGTTAACTGAGCCGCTTGTCAAACAGCTGATAGCTGACTGATGTTCCCTGCTCTAACACCCTCTAACCATGGTATGATGTAACCCAGAGAAACCTAGCCTTTTCTTATTGCCATTGTTTGTCAGATATGCATGAATTTGGGTCATCTATGGCTTAGACAGTAAAATTACATAAAAATATTATTGGATCTTCCACAAACACACTTTGACAAGTACTTCCTTCAGCGCCAGACTAAAGCTGCAATATTCCCCACTAGTGTAGTAGCAGCTCTACCCCCTTGCATGAACCCTCCCCTCGGGATGTCTGTATGCTAAAGGGGCACTCACACTGTGAATAAGATTAGTCTGCCTCCAAGTGTACAACATGCTTACGCCACTTGACTTTGAATCAGTGCTGATTTGGAGCATTGCTGGGTTGTTGCAGGGAATAATGCTCTGGCTGGGTTTTTATGCAATGGCTGTTATGGGGAGCCCGGCCTCGTCTGCATGCATGTTTTTAGGCAGGAGCGGCATTTTGGATAAAGCTGTAAGCTGCTTACGGCCGTGGAGAGAGGTGATTACAGGGCCCACCTCCGTAGGACTGACTGGGAAGCTGGGAGGCAACTTTTAGGTCAGTGGTGCCATGGCTCTACCACGCCTCCCGAGCGCCATACCGTCACATTGTGCCAATGTGCGGCTCAGTTGTTCCCTCTCGCGGTCCCGTACCAAGCCCCTCCCTGATTCGTGGCCTTTTAAAGCCTAGATAAACTCATCTGTGTGCTTGAGTTGTTAGTTTCAATTTATCTGAGGCTGTGTTCTTTATTTACAGATATTATTTGTGGAGTAATGTGTCAAATTGAAGCGTTGTTGGAGTACAGTACAAGCATTATAACGCAATTTATAAGGTATTTGACTGGGAAAATACACTATAGACTACACACAACTGCTTTTTCATGGCTTTTAACTTGAGCCCAGCTCTTGTTGTGGCAGTTCTGGCACCGCTCTGGTACTTTTTGTCTGCCTCTGAGAGTCTGCGGGCTTCCTTCAGGGACAGAGATAGAGAAAGCCTTTCTGTCTTGCTTGCCTTTAGCGAGTGTAGTGTGGGGATTTGCTATCACTGACCCTGCAGTAAACAGTGTGTGAAAGCAGCTGGAGTGTAATCTTATGTGCTGTGGGATCAGAATAAGGGAAGGGGAGGGGGTTGGTGGGGGCAAAGTTACTAGAGGAGTAACAATAAAAGGCAGCACCTGCAGAGCACCAGGCAAAATAATGAACACCTGAGCAGATTGGATGCAACTCAATTAACGTCACCAACACTGCCTTTCAGAGCATAAAGGCAGGTACGCAGCTTCTGTTGCCCTTTTGTTTACGAACAAAAGGTTCCCTCACGTATTCAGCCAAGAGTAGGCTAGTCTCTATGAAATACTAGACAAATAATGATTCATTGTTTAATCTGGATAGGTCTGTGTTCTATCACACTCAGTGTATCTGCTAGATTAATATGGAGGGGAATCTTGTATTAGTTTTTGTATAGTTTGGTTTGAATGACAGGAAGTGAATAGGAATTGTCTTTAAAGCGGTGAAGAAAAGCAACAAGAAAAAGAATAGTAGACTTTTACCACGAGTTGTATCTTCAAATAGCTTGTACAGCTATTTAAGACTAGATGCCACCCTCTTTCGATTTTTATTTTTACATTTGTTCCAGATGTACAAATCCTGAATTTGACATCTTCATAATCAGAAATTCTGCTCTCAGTCACGTGACTCTATCTCAGTTTTTTTTTTTAGTCTACTGTCATCTAATTTCTTTTTTTGTGTTGTGCTATTTCCCAGGAAGGATCCTCAACAGGTTCTCGAAGGACATCGGTTACCTGGACTCTCTGCTCCCATGGACGTTTGTGGACTTTATCCAGGTGAGTCTCACCTCGGCAGGTTTGGTCGCTGGCGCTGCAGCATGGGAAGGCCATTTCATGCCTGGCTAAACCTGCTTTGTGGTCCGGGTCCCCTAATCTGGAAACAATTACTGTAGGATTACCCGCCAGCGCAGCCCAGCGCCTGCACAGATTTAATAAAAGTGTGCACATAGGCTGAGGGCGTGGCCCCCTCACTGTGACACAACAGAAGCGGCATCTTCAGAGAATGTGTATGAAGACTAAGCGAGTTATTGGGAGAGTAAAAAGGTACCAAAGAGGGAATAAAAGGCAAGTGGATGATGGGGAGGGTAACAGTAAGGAGGAGGAGGAGGAGGGGGGTGACGAGGATGATGTGTTGAGTGGCAAAGGGAAGAAGTGTGAGCAGCAGGCGTATGATGTGTTTTCAGGAGAAGAACTGGAACTATGGTTGAGGGGGAAGGGGACAGGTCACTTGGAACAGATCCAAGAGTGGGACCTGCCCCTTTTAGTGCAATTCACCTAATGCTCTACAGTCTTAGCCAAGGTAGCCATGGGCCACCCTGGTGCACGGCCAGGTTGGGTTACCGAATGCCACCCTGCCACCGTGACAGCCATCTCCCACGAAAGCCCGCGGAGATGAGCCAGCTCATGCACCTAGTGCCACAAAGAAGGGAATGTTCAGCGCACAATTTGAGGTAGAGGAGCAGGCGTGGCTCTTTGGTTCAGGCCGAAGAATAGAACAAAGGCGCACTGAAAACGAATCCCTCTTCCACAATGCCTGAGTGATGTTTGTGGCAGATACCCATCTCACAGGAGACAAAAGCCATCTTAAATGCTGAAAGCACAAAAGATCATATGCACAAAAGCTTTTTGTCTGCTATAGTTTCCCTCATTTTGATAATAAGGTGAATAATGGCCAGAGTAAAATAATAACTTTGTAGAAGTTCCAGCTAAAACAGTGAAAGTAGACTAGGTGATTCACTGCATATATATAACTTATCTATCCTGACATATTAGTTTCAAACAGCATTGATAAGGTAGTGGAAACAGACTATATTATCTCTGTTAATGTGTTGCAGTGACTATTCTGCTCAAGTTTTCCTCGATATACTGTACACGTGTTTTCTGCCGCAGCTACAGAGAGAGGGAAGTGACGGTGACAGAGGACGAAAGTGGCATCCTTTGAACAAAACACTTTTGTTTGTGCTGCTTTCTGCTCTTGTTTGCAGGTGTCTTTCATGGAGCACTCTTTAATGCTTTCAGGAAGGACCATTTTCACTCTTTTTATCACAGTATTAGCCGCGCAGAAAAGCTGCTGATCCCGACTATTGTTGCTCATTCGTGGAGGGACATTTCCCCATAGTCATTGTTTAAATGGTTGTCAGGGGGGAATAAAGTGAAACTTCATAAACAATGGCCTAACTGGTTTATCTCTCTCTATGGGGAGAGGCCGCTTCTGTGCGAGGATTTGCACCAGAGCCTCCCCCTTTATGGTGGAGTAAGCACTTCACAGCCCCTCAGTACTGCCCCCTCAAACCCGCCTAACAAGGGGATTCCCTCCAGCTGGGGAACCTGGTTACACCCCACAGCCCGACTTTTTTCACAGGTCTCATTTAGTAGTAATTTGGTGTATTGTAGGATAGGCCCTTTCTCTTCCCTCTTTATGGTCAGGGGACAATGACAGAAATGTCAATTAAAAACACCTCAGGCTTTCGGGACTGTCGGCTTTTGTGTAGCCTTGACCTTTAAATCCTGGGTTGCTTCTATTTCCACAGAGGGGGCAGAGGAGGAGGCCAAGACAATGAGGGGTGAGTTCAGGGGTCTTTCAGTGGAGGATTTTGTGTGAAGGCTCTTGACCAAGTCACACCACTAACTGTGAGGTCTGTAGCTGCATTCATAGGTCTCCTAAAAGCATTTTGTCAGCATGCGAATACTAAGGAACAACCTGAATTTACTTTCGTTTGACTTAACCTGGTCGGACTAATGTCAATGAAATATAAACATTAGCTCATAAATACTCATTCACAGCAGTAAGCCCCACTGTCATCAGGAGGAGAAAATTGATCGCATGCCGAGAAAGTGAGAGCATTTCTGCACATGGTATGCAGACCAAAAGGGCAGCGCAGAAGTACCCAAGACGTGCACAAACACATAGCAAAAATGGCTTTTGTTTAAAAACACTGGCGGGTGGATCGTTGTGTGAGTCTATGCATTGTGGCACATTGTGTGTCAGGCCTTTTCAGCGGCTTTGTGGGATATGAGAACTGCTGACGTAACCGCTAGCGCTGTAGGATGGGATTTCACCGGCTTTCTCGGCTTCTTTACCACGCTGGTGACAGAAGAAGCGAAGAATGCACTGGCTTCAGGCGTTACACAGGTTATCCTGAGAAACACTGGAGATGGGCCTGTGTGCAACTATATAGGCTGTGCCATAAATCCCCTCTGTGCATTGTTTTATGACAGTGCTATTGTCTTCACACACAAGGTGAAGTGACACAGAAAGGTGAATGACCTGAAGACTAACTTTTAAAGTTTTTTGTCCCTGTTAAACAAAATGGAGTAAAAAAAAAAAGAAAAAAGAAAACAGTATTTAGTGTTTGTGTGTTTGTGGGTGTGCTGAGCCGGCCACTCAGCAATACCACACACGGTCATTTGATGGCGAGCATCGGCCAGCCTCCAGCCTGTGTGTATGTGTGGTCTCCCATGATGCCGCGGTCCAGCACCTCAGCCACTCTGACTCAGTCAAACAGGCCTGGGAACTTACGTTACAAAGTCCTAATCTAATCTAGGATCTCACCTCATGTCACAATGATGCAGCGAGTGAATTTTGTGCTTTCCAGGAGAGACTTTTTTTGACTTTGTGTAACAGTTTGTGTTGTTTTCAAGAGGAAGAAAAAGAGCAGTGGCTGAATGATTTTCTGGACACAAGTGATTTATAGTAGAGAGGGAGAGAAAGAGAGAGAGAGGGAGCATTTCAAAGGCTTTCTCTTATTTCCAAAATGGGGTTGGAAATCAGCAGCTTGACTGAGCCCAAATAAGTGACTTCTTTTACCTTTTCACAGCACACAAAAGCCTAATCCTAGGACTACTTGAACCACCAATGTAGACAGCGACTGAGACCACCACAGTATGTGTCAGACCCTCCTCACCGCACACAAAAACACATTGACTGCAGCTTTATGAAGTGAAAATGGCCCAGAAAGGGAAAATGTGAAGGAGGTGTCCACAGTCATTTCTCTCAAAGAAAGGGCCACAGCATCTGGGTATTTAATGCTAAAATAAAGCCCAAAGACAGAGCAGAAAGGATCGGGTCACTTCTTTTGTCCTGGAGTCAGAGTGCAACAGCCCTGTTTTGTTTCAGTGCCACTGACCCTTGCAACTTATTGTGCCGCTCTGTCAGGGAAAAAAGAAAAATTCCAGCGATGACAGAGGACTTCTTTTGAGGAATTTTCTTTTCCAACCATGCTTTCCCTGCATTTCCTGTTTTGTTTGCACATTTTTTTCCTTCCCGGTGGCAAATATTCAACACCGTCAGTAAATAAAGGGAGGATGAAAAAGAGGTTGTAAAAAGCATACTGATTCTTTGTGTCCGCAGGGATGTTTAATTAAAGAAAAGTGTTTATTTTCTGCTGCGGAACAACAGTCGCTATCATTGCCAAACACAAATATAGCAATTAACTTCAATTTTCTACATTTATTTGGACATCAAAGAGCCGATAGGATCACTGCGAAAATAAAGCAATTAGGGTCAGCAGAGATCTCAATGGTCTTTGGGCGCAGCAGTGTGCCCAGTTTGCTTGAATGACTGAATCACATGCGTGCGGTAGCTTTCTTTTCTTGCTAAAGAGCAATTAGTGGTAATTCTTTATTTAAACTGTTTGTATACAAAACCTTTTATCCTTTTATCCACTTTTATGTGCAGCGGGATGTGGCTTTGGGAGTTTTCTGTTCCTGTGTGGTTTCATAGGAGATATGGAAGTGGACTGAGGAGGGGGTGAGGTGTATGCTCGTTGGATCACTTATCTGAGGCATCTGTGTGTAGTGTGGGTGGGGGGCCACGGTGTTCCCGATGCTGACATGATAAGCGGCAGACCACGCAAATGGATCACATCAAACATGGCCTTGGCGACGGCGGGCCCCAGGGAGCAGGAGGAGGCAAGACTCCTATCTAATGCTTCCTTTTCCTCCTCCGTCCCCTCAGTTGACCCCTCCGTGAGATAAACCTGCCTTGGATAAGCTTGGCCCACGACTAAAATGAGCCAAATTAGAATTTAAATGAACCCGCCTGTAAACATGAATGAGCAGTGTCACTGTTTCACAAGACAAACAGTATATATGATAAGACGTTTGTTCAGTTAATATTTGAGCCCCTTTAATGGTAGGCTGGATAACCCGCAGTGAAGGCTCATGTGCCTCCATCTCACTTTGCAGTCTGGTTAGCCTTCCATCAAGGCTAAGATTGAAACTTATGTACTGTGAAATTCTCAGGATCAGTTGTGCTCAGTAGCTTGCACTCACTGTTTGATTGTGTAGGCTCCACTACAGCAATGGTGAGACTGGTAATACCCCTCTTATCAGAAGTGCAAATGGAATCAAGTAGCTTTTCATCACAAAACTACACTGAAAGTGATCATGCTTAAACGTGTGCTTAAGTGGCAGATAACATCCGTAATTAAGGCGCTAAATTAAATTTTCATCTCTCCGGGCCAGTCTGAGACCACTGAAGGTAACCGTTTGATCCTAATCTCCACGACTGAGGATTCATCTTTAAGGATGGGTCTAATTTCAGGGTGTGAGGTTTCAGTTTTATCATCTTCGAATCAAGTAGAAAGTATGTAACATAGTATAGCTTTCAGTGAAGAAAAAAAGGGCTCACGTGCTCAGCGCTGAAAGAAATAGTCAGGGCGATTTCCTCAGTGAAAGTATTTAACAGTGAACACACACATTGTGAGGAAAGTCCCTCACTCGGTTTGTTAAACGATTCCTCAATGATCTTTTTATTCTATATATGGAATTTTGGAATCTGCTCTCAACCAAGGAGCAACAGAGTCCGGGCTTTCTCAATTTTCTGTAAACTTTATTCAGTTTTTTCACATTTTGTCAACTGCTTATGGATATTTCTGCTGGGAGAAGAGTTTATTTAAGAGTAAAGGTTTTTTCATTGAGATGGAGCAAATCTGGACAAGGTGTTTTCATGGTTGCTGTGCTGGTGCAAAGGTAAAGGCTAAGAAATAGAGATATAAGCCCTTTCTTCCATTGGTCATCACAGGAAATGTAAACCCTTTGAAAGCGACGAGCTGTAGGTATTGGTGAGGACTGAGAAAGCATACCACCAGTCTGCTGTCTTTTACTAAATCCTGGTTAAATCAAAACAACTTATGCTCCACTGTGGATCTACCTGGCTTCACTCTCATAAGTTTAGACAGAGATGCTAAAGCTAGTGAGAGCGTCTGGCTTTATTTGTTAACCAGAGATTGTGTAACTCTTCACACGAGAGAGTTCCGTCATATCATAACAATACTTGTTTACATCCCACCCCAGGCAACGGCTGAAGTTTCATGTGATGTTCTCCATGAAACAATTGCTAGGGTTCAGACTCAACATAATGAGAAACTGGTGAAAAAATCTGGCACTTCATAACACCTTGATGGACCGAAAAAAAAGGACAGAGAGATTCAGAAGATCTTTTGTACCCACAGGCATCAGACTTCTTAATTCTTCTATAGACAAGATGACACTCCAGACAAACAAATTTTCCTATTGGGATCAATAAAGTTCTTGTCTTTTTTTGTATTGTATTGGAATACCAGTCATTTGTTGTATTGAAGCTGTGGCGTGGGCCATAGCTCTTGAGAGCTTTAAAAAAAAAAAAAAAAAAAAAGGTTCTTTGTTGACTCCTAGTGAGTAAAAAGTCGAAGTCCATATGAAACCACAATTATGTTTTCATGTGCTTTAATTCTTAAATTAGAAATACTCTTAACACAAAATGAATCTTTTAAGTCCACATCAAGTCATGATGAATTCAGTGTCAACACTAATTTCATAGACATCATTTTAAATATTGGAATTTGAATTTGGGCTAAAACTTACACACTGCTTTGCTGTTAAGTGGATATCAGTTGATATCATTATTATTGAGCTGATCTAACATGTTAAATGAAAATCTTAATCTGTAAAGCTTATACTTACTTAGGCTTACATGCTAATGAGGTAAGGAGAGTGGAAGAATTGGAGTAGAGGTTTTAAAATGAATTCCTTAAAAGAAAATTACCATTAAAATTTAGAAAAAGGAGAACGATGTATGACTTTCCACTACAAGTGAGCGATGGGTAAAACATTAAACTTCAATATTTGTAGTCATTAAGCCGCCTTATTAGATGCTTATTCCAGTTTCTAATTACAGTGGAAGTGTGGGTGCTTTGTTGTCATCAGACTCATCACCTCCAATCCTGTTGAGGCAGCTCTGGTATCTTGGTCTAGATGTGTCACAGAGCCATTAACACGGGTGATGAGTCACTGTGTTGTCGAGGGCTCTGTGGCCTCAGTGTGATGTATCAGACACCCACAGTGTGGTTCCCAGAGCTCTCTGCCAGTCACTGTGGCCCTGCCTGTTGGCTAGCTGCTCTGCCAGGGAGGCTTACAGGCCAGAAGTGTTGAAGGGAAAGCCCAGGAGAGCCGAGGATATGAGCTGCAGTGGCCAAGTGGTAAATTCTCACCTGCTACTAAGTGAGAATTAGGACTGTGATCGTTTTCCTTTCACACTGTGAGTCACATAACCTCAGTTCCACAACCTGCTGTTATCTTCCTGTGTGTCCATGATGGTCGACAAAAACAAGACTAAAAGAGTTTCTCTTGTTTAGCCTGAAGAAATGGGCCCTCACTACCCCACTGGTATCCCACGCTGCAGCAGCAGATGCTTTGCTAAATAATGTCCTGCTTTTCTGCTTTTTTTCCAGGTGTTTCTTCAAGTCATCGGAGGGATCGCAGTAGCAGCCGTCATCATTCCCTGGATCCTTATTCCCGTCGTTCCCCTCCTCGCAGTATTTTTATTTCTGCGATCCTACTTCCTAAAGACCTCTAGAGACATCAAGCGACTGGAGTCTACCAGTAATTATTTTTTTGGGGACGGTGGGGTGGGCATGTCCATTCGTGGAAAGAGACAAAAGCAGACCACAGGAATGCTAATAGACCATTGAAGAAAGCCATGGTCATTAGCATAAAGGCTAAAGGTGGCGGTGGCCTATGGCTCGGCCACACGCAGTTTCCTCAAGAGACGGGAGTTCATGACATCACATACAATGGGAAAAATGCCAAGTGGGCATGACTAGGCCATTGCAGGCTTTAGTTCATCTATTTTATTCTGGGCTGGGAGCCCAAACGCACATTGGCCAACAGGTTCCATCATCTTAAAGAACAAAAGTTGTATTAAACAGCTCAGAGGAAACATTTAGGTTTTGTTTTTGGTTTTGTGCACTTAACAAAAAGAGAAACAAAGCAGCACTCAATTGCAACCTTTCCCCATATACAACCTGTTTCTGCATCCAGAGAATCTAAATGATCTGTGTGACACCATAACCACACTTTTTATCCAGGAAATTGTCACCTTTTTTTCTTCTTTGCAACACGTCTCTTTTTCTATTTTGCCCATTTTAATGTTGAATATTTTGGGACACACGTAGTCAGTTTGAAACACACAAAAAAAACAGACAGATTTCCTGAAATTGTGTTTATTACCAACTGTAGTTCAAAATGTGGAACATATTTGGTTTTAGGAACGTAACTGGAGTTGTATGAAGAGAAAAAAGTTGGTGTTATGGATGCATGTTTGTGGAAATGCTAACAGAGATTGTGTTTTATTTGTTCAAGCTCGGAGTCCTGTCTTCTCCCACCTCTCCTCATCTCTCCAAGGCCTTAGCACCATCCGTGCCTTCAAAGTTCAGCAGAGGTTTCAGGAAATCTTTGATGATAATCAGGATCTTCACTCAGGTGAGAATTTAATTTACTTTTTAGTTGAGCATATTTTACTCATCGTTGATATGCACTAACATATGTTGTTGAATTTTAGACTATAGAGATTAGGTTACACTTGTCAGTTATCATGTGTTTGCCAACAGAGGCCTGGTTTTTATTCCTGACGACGTCTCGCTGGTTTGCTGTGCGTCTCGATGGGATCTGCTCCATTTTTGTCACCCTCACTGCCTTTGGCTGCCTTTACCTCAGGGATGGTACTGTATGCACATTACACTGTTGACATGTGAGGCATCAGAAGTGAAACCATGATGATCGACTCATGGATGGGTCTGTTTTTCTATGCTATAGGGCTGGAACCGGGTGCAGTGGGTCTGGCTCTGTCTTATGCGGTGACACTTACAGGCATGTTCCAGTGGGGAGTTAGACAGAGTGCAGAGATCGAGAACATGGTGAGAGAACATCACCACACTTATGTGTGTTTATGCTCTTTAATTATCAATTCAGTTCAAAGACAGTTTCAGAACTGCACCCCTTAACTTTAGTAAGATAAGTAAGTGGAACAAAGATCTACAACTCTCCTGTAAACAGCGTTTGCAACCTAAAGTTTAGTTTAGTTATTACAATTTGTGCTAGAAAAACCTGAGTTTAGTTTTTAGTTTTTTTAGTTCAACAGTTTTTGAGGTTTAACAAATTAAAATACATTGTTTTTGCTGCACACAACACAGAAAAAAATATACTCAAACATCAGGCAACTGTTGCTTTAGGTTAGTTACAGCATTTTCAGGTTTCCTACCCTTATCTGACAACAACCCACCTGACTGTCCCTCGATCCCACCCATCCTTCCTCTCACCCTGTTGTCCCCTGAGGTCAAGATTCTATACATGAGAGCACATCAATGTTTCTAAGTTACAATACGAATGATAGTTTTTAGTTTTTTATGCGATAATTTGTTGCGTACAGAGATTTTTAAAGTTCTAGATATTTTAAAATAAAACAATTATTAAACGTTTTAAGAAAAAGACATATTTGTGAAGTGGAACTGGGGATGTAATGCCAATCAATTTGGTATAAATTCATGTTAAATTTGGGTACCAATGTTCTTAGAGTGATGCTGGAGACTCAAAATCTGCATGTTTTAGCATCTGCAGTGGTGATTTCTCTCAATCTTCAACTTTAGCTCCACCAACAATAAACAATACAAAACCGCTTGGGTGCCCCTTTAAAACAGATTTATATAATTAAGTCTGGTTGAGACTATAAATAAGCCTCAGGTTCAGTTTATGCCAGTCACAATTGTTTCAAATATATCATAAAGCAACATTAATATATCAGAATAAAGGTTTTTAAAACATGCACGACTATGAATGTGTTAAATAACACTTCTTTTAATAGATGACATCAGTGGAGAGAGTGGTTGAGTATGCTGAGCTGGAGAGTGAAGCACCCTGGGAGACGGACAAACAGCCTCCGCCTGACTGGCCAACCACAGGCTCCGTCACCTTCGACAGAGTCAACTTCTCCTACAGTGCCAGCGCACCTTTGGTCCTGAAGAACCTGACTGTTGTCTTCAGACCCAGAGAAAAGGTGTGTGTCTTTATTCCCACCTGTGCATGCTCACTGGTGTGCACTCTCTGTGACGCAGGTTAATATGCAGCCGCTGTAGAGGGTGTGGTGTGATTCTCTTTATTTATGTGGCTTTATTTTCAAATCAATTATTAAAGGGACACCATATTGTGCGGCAGAATCTTCAGTACTTTACCATTTGTGATTCATGGAATACATATCATGTAATTAAGACTGTTCAAGTGGATCCATTTGTTTCCTATTTGCATTTTGAGCTACCTGCCAGTGACAACTGTTTATTCACTGTAAGAGAGAGGAGAGGCCGAGGGGAGGAGAGCGAGAGGGTGAAGCAGAGGGAGATGGTTGAGGATGATTGAAATTGTGTTTAATGCAGGGGGTGTATTTTGCATGGCTATGGTTGGCCAGGGCGGCTGATTTCACAATGGATGGGTTGATAAGTGTAGGGGCCCTGGCTCATGGGAGGGATCTCTGCCACATGCCATGGGGGTGAAAGGCTTTGTGCATCCTGTCAGTTCCCCTGACACCCTTTCGCACCTACAGTACAATATCCATCCAATCTTGCCCTCACTACACTCATATACTCGCCATAATTACATGAAAAAACACACAGCTTGCTACATCAGTGCTGTGACCCTTCATAGTTGAAAGAGATAACACTCATAAAGGGCATACTTTCTCTCTCCACGACCAGTAATGCTCAGTCAACGTCTTTAAATTCAGCTCTGAATAGATATGAATAAACTGTAACTGTGCAATATGGCATCCTGAATGAACTTTGACTTTCTTCAGTGCTGTTTATATAAAATGAGATTAAAAAGGTAACATGATAAGCATGTTGCCAAGATTTTTCTTTTGATTGATGAAAGCAAGCGAAAATGTGACTGATCCATGTTGAACACTGCTTGACACGCTGTACCAAACTGGTCTGCATCCATCAAATTCCTCAAATAGCTGAAAGTGACGTTTGTTTACATTCACTGCCAATCTGAAAGAAGAGCGGTGTTCTTTCAGGGCAGCTCGAGACGGATGGACAGGTACACAAAGCCTTTGGGTTCACATCTTGTCTCCTTTTAGCCGGTCTCTATAAACAGATATCTGCATATGAATGTAGAATCTGTAGGCGAGGGACGAGATTTTGGGCAAGTGTTCTGGTTTCTGTTTGTTGTCCACTGTTGTTCCAGTAGTAAAGACGAATGATGCATTAGCCGCCTTTGTCACATGCAGGAAAACAGTCCATGTGGAGAGCAAGAGAGGCGTAACGTATTGGCTGAGTTACAGTTCTTGAGCCAATCATCTGTAGTCCAACACAGATTAATCATCTCCATTAGCAGATATCTGAATGTGATTTTGGATAACTATCTTTAAGCTAGTCTGCAAACAAGGGCCCGTACTAAGAGGAAAGCCTGAAATAAAGACCTCCTCACTGTTTGAGAACAATGACAGCTCAAGCAATTTGGCAACAGAGAACAATAGTTTTTAAATATATGTGAGGGACTTTGACAAATGGTCAAAAATTCCCTAATCCGTTTTATTTCCATGAGTAGATAGAATATACAAACAAGTGGAGAAATACTCAGTGGGTAGAGTTTTTTTATGGAAAAGCAGGCTCCAATGGGAAACAAAGCACCTGTTACTCAACACTTACAGCTTCATTATGTGTGAACACTGACTCTCAAATATCACAACATGGATTCTGAGTTTTAAGTCTTGAAATCAAAAACCCTCCCAAGCCAAAGATAAAGTTCAGAAGACCATGATTTATGAGATGTGGATCATAATAAAAGAAGAAGAAAATTACATAACAGAGTGTATTGCACCTTTAGAGGCTCTGAAGATTGCCTCTATCAAATCAGTTTGCAGAATGTGGCCAATGTTAGCAGAGTTAGCGCAACTATTCAGTCCTCTTTTAAGGTTAACACTCACATGAATGTGTTGTGCACCATGCTATAAATTAATACCTATCTGTGGTCGTTTACATCTGGGTAGTAGACATAGACTGTATATATTATGGAAAACTTGATTCCGCCTCCCGTCATTGTATGAATTTTAAGCCAAAGTGCTCTTGGTATTTCTGAGATTTTATCCCTTTACTGTTAAGTGATTAGTGGAGAGAGTTGTTGTGATGATGCTCTACTCAAACAGCGTACCCCCTGGATGTCCTATCTTATGCCCATATGCAAGTGTCAATCATAGAAAACATGAACCTCTAATAACTTTTTAAAAAGTTGCAATGAGGGGCAAAAAAATTAAATATGACCAGTTTAATTTTTAAAGTTTGTGCACTGCTCCTTTCATTTTGCTGGAGGAGGCGTGGTTTACCTATACTGCAACCAGCCACCAGGGGGTGCTGTTCTCGCGAAGGCTTCACCAAGCAAGGAGGCAGATGACATCCATTCTATATACAGTGTGTGGTAGTAGAGCATTATCGGACTACTATTCATCATGATTATCCATGGTATGATGACCCTTGTTGTTCCCTCCTTTCCTGAATTTTTAGTTTGGGGTTATTCAGAGGAAACTGCTCACCTCCAGCTTAAAATATTAACTTATGTAGCACTTCAAATATGTAAAGCTTGACACTCTCAAAAACATGTTAAAAGGAAAACTTCTGGTACTACCTGTACGGAAAACCAATAACTGGAAACTCAGAGAAGCCAAGGTTTCTGTAATTTTGCTCAATTGTGCTACTTTCTCAATGCATCCTATCCACCGTTCCTCATTTCTGTTTAACTTGGAGGCCACTAGTTCTGTTCGCAATTCAACCATACCTGTACACTCTTTGCTGCAGCTCCTCCAGATGAAGGGACTGCTGTATTGTACTTTTACAATGAATGTGTCAGTGAAATCCTCTTGACATAAGGTCACAAGTGGTTTGGAGAAAGATTGTTCGCTCCTCTGAAATGTTTCTGACAAGGTGAAGCATCTCAGAGTGTGTTATAGTGGGTTCTATATGTGCTAAGTAATCTGTGGCCATTTTAGTTGAAACATTAAGCACACTTGTTGACTCTCTCTGTTTCCACAATCAATGCATCTTGACTGTTTGGTTTTGTTTTCGCCCAGATAGAGCGAAAGAGAAGGAGAGTTGCTATGTGCCGTTTCAGCAGAACAAAGTGCCGTGCTCAGAGAAAGAAATCTGAGTGGTGCCACATTCAGCCTTACCCCGCCCTGTGCATTTAATCATATTTAGAGTTAATTTAGATCCTGGATCATTGAGCGTGATCCTTTCTTCCCTCCATCTAAATGGGCAAAGAGGGAGAATAATGGCGGTATTACATCCTCTCTCTGTGTTGGCATGTTGTGAGGCGCTCACAGCGGTTCTTTGTTATGGCAGCAGTATTGTCGGTAAACCCAAGGCTAAACAAAAGGTTGCCATTTGGCTATGTAATGCCATATAACAGGCCTATGTGTTGGCAGGCAGCAGCGTGTGGCATCAACAGCCCAGTTCAGTGGGACCAAAAAAAAAAATTGCCTTGTGGTGCCATCAGCGGGGCTGTTTCCAAAGGTTGCATCGGGATCTTCCGAATGGAAAATATTCTGCTTTCATCCAATTTTAAAAAATCTGAGAGCAGCTTGATTTAGACAGGTTATTTGCTGTGTGGGTGTCCTTTGGCTCTATACAGTTGTATTGGTGGCATTTAATGGCCTTTTTTTTTTTGAAACCAATTTCCTGTAAGGCAAACTAAAGGGACATTTACGTCAACTAGAGATTACGTATGTCCATCCACTCTAAGCAGCTCAAGCGTTACTAGTCAGTCAAAGTATACAAAAAATGTGTTATTGTCCACCCAAAATTCCTGTCAAACAACATATCATGTGGCAGATGGCATGTGTTTACATATCTGTATTTAGCTGAGTTTTTTTCCAAGGCTGTATCTGGTCAAACTGGAGTATAACCAGAAAGAATAAGTAACCAGTACTTTAACATGCAAGGAGAACAGACGGCTAGAGGTGGTGCTGGCTCTGCTAACGTCACACTCTGTAAAGTGATTTAAGATTGTCAACCCACAGATCCTGTGACCACCTTTTAAGCTGTGAGTTTGTACCAAATTTTGACTGTTTTTGAGCACTCGTCAGTCAGGTCAGTATTTAAATTTATATTTAATATCTCTACCAAACTTTTTTAATAGCCTCAAATATTACTTCAATGTATAAACATTAGCATGGGAACACACTAAACAGAGAGGCTTTAAACTGCCAGTTTAAGTTCATTCATTGTTAGCATGTTGACATCAATTAGCTCAGAGCTGCTAGCGTAGTTTCAGACTCAAAGCAAGAAACCAGCTTTTAGAGTTTATACTCTTTATCTGCCAGACATGTCACAAAAAAGGATTTATTTCACCTGCATTTCACAGAATACAATGTTTCCCATGAATTTAAAAAAAAATCTTTTCTCAATTCAAGTGCTCCCATTGTAGCTAGCATGATATGTTCCCTCAGGGACAGCATCTAAAAGTCCAAGGACCATGATGATATTTAAGGTTTTTTGGCTTTGTTAAATCTACAGATATATAAAACCTTATCCTCTCTCCTCTCCAGGTTGGTATTGTTGGACGCACCGGTGCTGGTAAAAGCTCCCTGGTCTCTGCTTTGTTCCGGCTGGCAGAACCGGAGGGTCGAATTATGATCGATGGTTTCCTGACTTCTGAGATCGGTCTACACACCCTACGCCAAAAAATGTCCATCATCCCACAGGTGCCCTTCTTTCTTCCATCTCAGCATTAATGTCCTCAACCAATGAGTACATGTAACCTTAAACTAAAAGCTGTAATGTACTAGAAACTAAGCACAGGAATTCAGCCTCTACATTAATATTGCACTCTTCATATTTTCTGGTACTGCTGGACATTTTTCGACGTTTCTCAAAGCTACTTTGATCCTCATGATTCGAGAAATGGCAGATGAACACTGCCGACAGACACCTTCCTGCTCTGGCCCTTGTTTTTTTAATATGCCTGGCTTTTAAAAAGCTAAAACAAGTGAGGAGAATTATAGTCGTCTCTGAGGGGATTTCTGAAAGTGAGACAAACGGATGCCTTGAGACAGTTTAACTTTATTTCCGCTTGTTGAAACTGATACGGCATTAAGAAAATGCCAGCCTGCGGGTGAGTGTCAGCCGAGTGGAGGGAGGGGAGAAGACTCCCACGGCCTGCACTGTGAAGAGAGCAGTTCCCCATCCCTGACAGAGGATTAGCCCTCTACCCCCCAAACATGGGAAAGCTGCTTAGAAGAAGTCTCCCCCATCCTCACAGTCAGAGTCCCCCTCGCACACCGTCACTTTGCCCAAGTCTCAAACATTTCTCGGGTGCAGCCAAGATGCCCAAAAACAGTTTCATTAATGCTTTGCCGTGTATTTGATAGGTTTCTGGCATCACTACTACTCCAGATAAAGTTTTACTTCTGAGTCCAAACTAGTTTGAGATGGATGTGATGTGTGTTTGATGTGATTTTGTTTACTCGATCTGTCTCTCCTTGAGGGAGAGACTCACACAAAGTGGCAGGTTACGAGTCAGAACCTGAAACACATGCCCATCTCTATCCTATACGGGATGACAGTTCCATGATACGACGTCTCTCTATATCAAGAGGAGCTGAGTTTCTCTGTATGGAGCTCTTAGTTTTACAAACTTCTTGTGAGAAACCTCTTGGATTCACAAATATTCATCTGAAAGCTCTTTATTCTCCTGCTAGACTTCAGAGATAAAGTGATATTCACTCAGCCTTGATATCAATTGCTTGTTGCCTTACGTTTTCACAGAATTTGAGAGTGCGATATGTATACTATACATTTCCAGTGAGGAGTTTCATTATTTGCCACCCAAAGATTTGATTATGATAAGCTTTTATTAGCATATGGCATTAAAAAAGGATCCATTTCCATTTCTATTGAATTCTCAGGAATGACTTAGTAAGAAATGAATTCTGTGGCAAACAGAGGGCTTAGAATTGGTGAAGCACATAATCGGTCTATGGAAAAGCTGTGCTTGAAAGCATTTTTTCCAACCTAACATTGAATCCTCAATTAAAGTGTGTCACAAAACTAGTTTGAATTGGGACTTCAGCTGGCTTAATGACAAGACAGTATGTGATGGAAGGAAAAAGCTTATTGGAAGTAAAGAGGTGGAACATTTCTCTGAGGTACAGGTGGCCGGCTTGGAATCCTGAAAGCTGTATTTTTATGGATGAAAGTTGAGCAGCTAGTACTGAGTCTCCTGACCTTCATGAAGCTGTTTGACTATCAAAATCAGTAAGGTTGCACACATGAGCCCGTGCCGGATTATTTTTCCTTTGTTGCTTTTGCAGCAATGATTCAGAGGCTGTTCCTTAAGAGAGCAACATCATGTATTTTACTTTAACTGCTGTTTCAATCCCATAGTCGCCAGGTGAATATTTCTCATTGCCTTTCTAATATCAGGATTGCTGCTTTAACTCTTCTCTATTGCTTCGACTGTCACGTCTCACTTAAGATTGCATCAAATGACTCTCGCAGACCTCAGTGTCATAAGTTCAGCCGTATGTACTCACAGATAAAACAAAGAAGAAAATGAGGCTTTTGAAAACCTTATCTAAAGACGTTCTTGTAGAGAGTCCCACTAAGTGTGCCATACATCACTTCACTATTGCAGCTGGATTTATGAATAAATATCTGCTCTGACATGAGGAGGTGCCTGCTCGCCTCTGTTTATCAGGTTAACCACAAACAGAGTGGCATGTTGGAGAAGTGCCTGTGGACTTGCGGGCTCATTCCTCTGCACTGTAATAAAGAGCTTTATTTACTCTCTTAAAGATGGCTGTGCAGCTGAAACCTTGATACAGGAGTGTGGCTCACCATAAATACATATCTTGGACATCCTAGCTGTCTGCCACTGGAGCCTGTCCATTCATGAAGGCAATCAGCTGATGTGATAACTTTTCTTTACAGAGTAGAGCTGTTACTTTTTGCGGACACTTTAAGAGATTATCAGTTTGAAAAGCTCCCGTATGAAATTATTTTTTATGATAACAGTCACTAGATTGTGCTTTTTTGTGTCATATTATAAATTCAGACAACCACGCAATAGCTCTGCTTTTCTAAGTAAAAAGATCAACTTATTGAAGAGTGAATAGAGCTCCTGAGTGGAGAAAGCCCTTTGTGAACATCTTCCCCACAAACACTGCGTAGCGGTGCTCTGCAAAGCTTGTCTTAACCCTTTCATACATCTTCCCCCTCGTCATTATCTTAACTGGCCACGGCCTTCTCTTTCTATATCCATCTATCCACAGGACCCAGTTCTCTTCACGGACACCGTGAGGAAGAATCTGGACCCTTTCAGGCAGCACACAGATGAGGACCTGTGGAATGCACTCCAAGAGGTACTCCAGCGTGGCTCTGAATGATTCCCCCTAGCCGGCCCAGGGGGGGATCCCTCTGTCCCCCTGTACAATGCGGCCATTCAGCCTCCCTACTCGCCACAAGTCATGGGGGGAAATCCCATTAGGGCCATGGGGCCCAGCTCAATGTGCGGCTTGTAACTGGGAACCATTGAAAGTGCTGGGGGAGATGTGTTTGGGCAGTCAGGCCAACCAGGATGAAGGCTCCCCCCACAGTGAAGGGCTTCAGCTCCTGGTCCTGCCTCTGAATGGGTTTGGTGGCCTGGATTAAAGCTAGAGGCTGGCCACAAGAGAGCACTGGCCAAGGTCATCAGTGGACCTGGCCCTGCATTGTGCCAGGCGGTTAATGGGTGTGTTTGGATAGCTCTTTAAAGACATCCCCACAGGAAGCCTTTATGCAGGAGTAATGAAGGGTTGGGGCTCTGCTCTCCCTCTCCGCAGGTGCAGATGAAGGCCGTGGTGGAGGACCTGCCCAATAAGCTGGAGACGGTGCTGACCGAGTCGGGCTCCAACTTCAGTGTGGGCCAGAGGCAGCTGGTGTGTCTGGCCAGGGCCATCCTCCGGAAAAACCGCATCCTTGTCATTGATGAGGCCACAGCTAATGTGGACCTGAGGTCAGGGACACTTGAGTCGTCGAGTTAAACACTTGCTATGAAAATTTGAATAGTCCTTTCCTCATGGAGCTTGTTAAACACAGACTTGTACAGCTCTGGTTGGTATAATATTCTTGTTTCAACTCATTTTAGCCCCGTTAAAAAATGCACAATTGAAACAGTTTAGGTTTTCTGACTAAAAATAAGAAAAAAAACATAAACTCTAAATACCCATGTAACTCGAGTGAAAGGAGCTTGCCATTCTTTATTTGACTCCTGCTGCTGCTCGTACCTCTGTGCTGCTGATGAGCCATTGTTCTGTGTTAAGTAAAATCCCTGCCTAAGGGTCTATAGGAAGAGAGTTTTTGTGCTGAGGTGTTGTGTTCCCGCTCCTTTAGAACTGACAGCCTCATCCAGCAGACGATCCGGGACAAGTTTCAAGAGTGTACCGTCCTCACCATCGCTCACAGGCTCAACACGATCATTGACTGTGACAGAATACTGGTAAGAAAGAAGGCAGTAACTTTCCACCAACCAGCACCTAACACCGTACCTTAAATAAATCCTCTACTCTTCTGTCTGCAGATATTTAAAAACAGATCGAGGACTAAAAACACAAACTTTCATCAACCTGTCCCATTCTTTCTTTTCTCTACTCGCTCGACACTCATGAGATTGCACACAAACACCTCCTCCTTTCTTTTCAAGGAGCCTCCTGAACAATCTTAACAGACTTTTAATTCACTTGCCCTATTTTGCAACAGCTGGCCTGATTTCTCCCGCACAGCATTCCCTCTCATTGAGCGCCCACTCATGCCACTTGATCTTTGGCCCTTTCCTGCAACTTCCTGCAGAGGTGCCAATTAGTGCCATTTGTGGCAGCATTTGTTAAGTGCCTACAAAGGGCAGGGCACGACCTGGTGCCGGCTCGGTCACTAAGGGGGCTGCTGGGAGAAGCCAAATATCACACAGCGGGGACTGTTTCACACCTACACTCTTGTTAAGCCCCCAGATTGTTGCGCACTCCAGGAGAACTAAATTGGGGGCCCACCTGAATTGAATTTCCACACCGAAAGCTTTGCAATATTTAGACTCACAACGTTCTCCAAGAGTCAAACTTCATCTCCTCTTATTCTGTCGATTATGACAGCTGCTGCAGAAGCCTCCCTTTCACGCTAAACACGCCCTGAAACTAGGCTTTAGCGTTAACAAACTGTTCATTACAGCTGTAAGGGGATGGAGCTTGTTAAAATTTGTCTGTGATATAATTGCAGTCTTTTTCCAAACTGCTTGAATTGACACTATTCTTTGTGTGGTTCATACGGCATGTGATGACACAGAGATGATGGTAATTTTCTCGAGTGTTTTAAAGCTGTGATTGTCGGATTTGACTGAGGACCACCCCTGAGCTCGCTGAAATGCCAAGATAAATACACAGATCATTCACTGATCTCCAGTCTGTCAGAGTCAGCGGGCTTGACTTTCACACTGCTAACAGGCTGTGCTCATTGTCCATGGAACTGTTGAGCAGAAAACAGGCACCTGTGTTTGCTGTTGGATGAGTCACGTAAAATGGATGGTTCCTATGTACGCAGAACTACCGTTTCCCCCATTCTTCTCGCACAGTCTGCGTGCATCACTCAGCAGAGAAACAGCTGAAATGTCAGTTTTCCCTGCAGAAAAGTACAGGTGGTACAAACGCACAGATGCATTCACACACACCCTGCATTGTACGTGTGATTGCAGGTTCTGGCTGCAGGTAGGATCCAGGAGTATGACCAGCCGTATGTGCTGCTGCAGAACCAGGATGGGCTCTTTTACCAGATGGTCCAACAGACAGGCAGAGCTGAGGCTGCCTCTCTGCTGCACACCGCCAAACAGGTAACCACACCCACTTTTGTCCCAGGACCGAGGGGGGGGTCACTAAATACATCCCAGACTAATCCCAGACTCTCCCTTTAACTCCAGCCTTCATTGCTCACCTCCAAAATAACACAGTTAAGAGAGAGAAGATGTGCATAACCCTGACAATGCAAAGAGACACTTGATTATCATTTTAATTCAGAGTGCCAACTCGGAGCGCTGCAACACCATAACATCAATTCCAAGAGAGAGAAATTGTCTCTTTGTAGATTTACATCCTCAGATTCTTATCAAGGAAACTCTCTGTATAATCTTTTTCTCATAATGTAATTTTGAGATCATTTCAGAGATGATTCGAGAAAAGCAGCTTTCTTTGCGCTATATCTATTTGGAAATATTGGGTTTTACTTCATCGTGATTTGGGATAAACTTTCTATGGGGATTACTGTAATAGAGAATGTCCATATTTTTTCCCTGTGAAATTCATTTGTGATGTATTTCCCCTTTAGACACTGAGCAGATAAGAGGCGGCTATTCATTGTTCAATTCCATTTTATGTGCATCTGTCTGGGACTACAGATACCATATTGCAACTTCAAACAGGTCTTTGTGAAATAAGAAAAAGTAGGCATCATTTCATTTTCTCTCTGTCCCTCGCACAAATTTATCAGCAGAGCTGTATCTCCTCAGCCAGAGGACTGAAATGAGTAAAATACTGATTTCAAAGACTCAGCACACTGTGGTATTATTTGGTATCGTCTTACCCCGCACACTGGCGGATTGGTACCGACATTGTTCAAGCCGTTACGTTTTCCCTTTCTTTATTGTAGGGTGCTCTCCTTCAATCAGATTACTTCAGCATCCGTGACTGTCTAGCACCACTTATTAAATACTGAGATGGTCCACATGTTGTGTGTCAAGTTTCTATAGTTGTCAGTCAAGGTTTAAATACATTCAATAATCTGATATCTACCTCTGGCTCTTTTTGTGTGTTGAAGGAGAATCCTAGAGTAGACAGTGAGGTTGACCTGTTGCCATCCTTTCACCAACTTCCCCTCACTCAACTGGTCTTTCTTCCTCAGCCTCTCTGTGCTGAGGAATCCAGGATTTTTCAAAAATAACATTTGCCAAAATAAAACAAATTATTCCCTGTTTTTTTTTCTTCCCCTCAATATTTTCCCTCAATGTTCATGAGGCTAAATAAGCCACTTTTGCATGCTTTAGCAAACCACAAATCCCCTTCCTCTAGCTCTGACTGCACCTGTCATAAACCACACCTTCACAGATTGTGGCTCAGATTAGCTTAAACTGTGTGCTTGTGTTCTGTGACACTGCCTCCCTGATCCGCTTCCAGGTTTACACGAACAAAAAGCGGGTGACAGACGTGCACTGTGCCAAGGACATCTGCGTCATCTTTGAGACATCTCTTTGACACGTTGGAGAGTCGCTGCGGCCCCTCGCTGACCAAATCTTTTAGCACATGTACTTAGAGTCCTCTGTGTGTATTGAGATCTCTTTCAAACCCCAGTTGAGTGTGTGCTGCGTCTGACTGGCACAGTCCTTACAGAAGTGTCTGAAGCAGGATGTGCCTTTATTGACAGCATATTACTGCCTGGCTGTTTATTGATTACACCCTGCTATGTTTATGTATGAGCACTCTGGCCTCTTGGGTAGCTTCAATCCTGCACCGGTGCCCAGAAGAATGCACACAGCGGAAGCGTTAATCCTGCCGCGATAAATTATTGTTGGCGTAGATTATTCTTTTACAGCGTACATTGTTCCACAGCAGGGCTGCAGTGTTTCTGTTATTTGGAAAAAGGCGAGAAGAAGCTGAGAAGAGACACAAATGTTTTTCAGTAATCATTGTGCCTTAATCAGACTATTGATTTTTTTGTGATTACACTGTTTAATTCCTCCAGCACTTTGACGATAGTGGTTTTATGTCTACCTCAGCTCTTGTAGGGATGGGAAAGTAAAGTTTAAATAAAGCTCGGCACACACTGGCGATGATAATGAGTAAGTCCAAGAAGGCGGAGGGAAAGTTTGGAGTTTGTTGCCTCTAAAATCTGTCTCTGATCAAATTTGAACTTTCTCTGCTGCTGTTTTGATAAATGAGCCACACTAGGGGATGATACAAATCAAATATGACTGATATCTTTATCTTCAATTCTTTACAAGCCAGATTGATTCTTGTTTCAAGCGTCTTTAATCATTTTTGCACTTTGTAGACTAGTCAGATTTGAGCACAGAAAATGACCTTCAATAAAACCTTTTGTCTGAATCTTTCACTGCTTTCTTCATTTATGTCCAAAACACCATCCTGTCTCACTTTTCTCTGACTCACTAACCATTTCCTCTCCGTTGCTCATCCCGTGTTCAACAGTCTGAGCGCTGTGTTTGCTTCGGGTCAGCGGTTACAACCACTCCATGCTACAAATTGGTATGTGGTTAAGGAAAACAACCCGGTTATTATTGTGTTGAGTCAAGTGATTTCTGCATTGAGTTTCATGGAGCTAAATTATCTTTGCTCTTTACTCTATTATTTCTGTGTTGGTAGCGCAATATGGCGATTAAGTTCCAATTAAAATGTAATTTTGTCATCAGCAGCTCAATTTGAAAAGAGCTGTTTAATTTGCCTTTATGCAGACAAGAGCAGATTACACATTCATAGATGGCTGTCAGTGAAACACTTAGCTCGGTATAAAAGGCGGTATTTAACCAAGGCCAGATTTAGGTCGTGAACTGCGGGACACCAGTTCCTTTAAAAGCCGAGTGATTTACACAATTCATTAAAGCCAGTGAATCTTCAGCCAGCGTCATATTAAATGGTTACTTACTCTCAAATAGCCCCTGGGGAGTTGAATTGTTGGCCCACGAATAGATTAAAGTTTACATTGAAAAGAGAAATTGAATTCAGAGGTAATCAATAGCATAATGGGCCAGTGAGAGGAGCCTGCTGCCTGAAATGAAATTACCATATTTTTAATCTTAATTTTCCACTCTGTTTATCTGACAGTGTGGATGTGCAATCCAAACAGATAATGAGAGAGTGGGATATTGACAGTGGGGTCCTCTGGAGTGCTTGTTTCAGTGATTAAACGCTGTGATCTGTGATTACTTTGTGTCGGGTGTCGGGCTGGCGGCCAGGGCCCGGGGAGACACGGGCTCATAGCAGCTGGAGCATCATGGGTCTCAGAGGTGCTAATGCACCTGACACAGCATTGACAGCATCCCAAACCCTATCAGAGACTGCACCACACGGCAGCTGCCACAATAGCAATACTCACGGCACTATCTACATCAGAGTCAGCATATATCCTCTCTGCTCTCCGCACGATAACAGCCGGCACAAGAATGGCGACAACAAAGTTTGCACAATAAGTATTATTAACCAGATACCTTCCTACGTAGCTAAATAATAGCATCATTTTAAGACATATCTGAATAGGTGTGCAAATAGAAACGCTGTCAACATAGTGCTGATATAGCTTTAATAAATAAACGTGTGAGAATCCTGACTGTCCACACAATGAAGTTTAATCCCAAAGAAATAAAAACACAAAATAAGAGTCAGCACAATGTGGAGGCGGAGAATGAAATGATGGATTCACGCTGTAGCATTTTAAGAGGAGAGTGATGGTGCTGATTTGAGCTTGTGATACATATGTTGTGTTCAGTTAAAGATGTTTTATTGTCAGTTTAGAGAAGAATAATGTAACAAGTATCCATAACAAGTAAAAGAGGTGTAAATTGTTTAAGGTGGTTTTGTTACAGGGCGATAAAGAAGTAGTCTCAAGGCCATTTTAGGTGGGGGAGACAATGTTTTTCCGCAAACTTTCTGTTGTGCCAGCATTTTCTTTTGTGATGGATACCGCTGTTTGACAAATGGAAACAAATTGCACGGTGCAGGCGCCTGAATGGCAGGGAGTTGGGGAGTGTCAAACTCGGCGCTGAAAGACGATGAAGCGAGAGCCTCAGGTTTTTGTGGGCGACTCAGACCTGACTGATCCCGGCATAAAGTACTTGTTGAAGAGAAGGAGAAAAGGGAGAACAGGATTTCGACAGGCTGCAGTGAAATTAGGAGAATTGACTATGGCGGCTTTGTTCCTGGTTGCTGACATGGGGCGGAGGGGGGTGTTTACGGAGGAGGAGAAGGGTGGGGGGGGACTGGAGCGATTCCCCAGAGACTCTGCGCTCCGGTTTTTCTAAAGTGACTACAAACTGAATATCTGACAAGTTTCCCAAGGCCTGACATGACTCTGTGTGAGGCTCAGAAAAACAAACAACAAATGGCACGTTTTTTTAAGATACATGTGCTGACACTGGAGCTAGTGTGTTAGAAAATGGCTTTTTATCTTGTTAAAAATAGGTCCTCAATTTGGAATATGTTGATGCTGTATATCCACGACTGATGCAACAACCCAGTTAGAACTACTACTTTTTCCTCTGACACTTTGCCAAAGTAGAAAACTTTCCAACTCATTGGAGAATACGTAACTTTCAGAAACATAACAGGAACATTAACTGCGAGAAGTTTGACCAACTTCCCAGCATGCACATGTGCAGCTTAATAAACCACACTGCATCACGGTGCCTCAGCACTTTAGTGACCACCTCCGACTGGACTTAAAGCAGCCGACTGATACTGCTACAAACAGTAATTATAGGTCACATGTGAAATGGAGGATAATGCTTCGTAAACTCTCCGGGCTGTGGTTTGTTCCAGCCTCTGTTGTATCCGGGTGTAAACCACTGGATCATTTCGCTTCAGTGTTACAAAATCTTAGAACAACATTTAATCAAAAACTTAAAACAAGTCTTTTTTTGGTCATTTACCTGCCCCTGCTGCTTTGAACTAAACAGGCTAATATGTTCTTTGAAATAAGAGGCCTCTCTGCATGCTTTAGCCTTAAATCCCGGGCATGCTCCGTCACCTTCCAAAAGTGCTGTTTGATTCCTCAACGGCAGGAGAAAGAAGGAAAGTGCGGGGCGAGACAATGGCAAAGAGCTTATCTCATCAGTAAATAAGGCTTATTGCCTGACGCTACAAAAGGCCGTGCTTATTGGTGATGTCATCCCTTTGTGGAAGATTGATGAAGCTTGAGGCAGGGGGCATAATGTGAGTGTGAATGTGTGTGTGTGTGTGTGTGTGGAGGAGGAGGAGGAGGAGGTCTAGCACACCAAACTCAAGAATTTCCAACTTCCCCTGCAGAGTTTGATATAATTTAAAATGTATGACATATATTTTAAGTGGGGCTGCACTAAAATTGCAGTCTTTGGTGGTAAACTAACCCAAATGCACTTCAAAGTTCCATCCGGCCAGGGGGCTTTTATCCTCGGCCATGAGAGCGGTTGATGTTCTTTGCATGTAAACGTGCAGCTTTTGGGTAAAGGTGGGGACAGCTTGTGTCCCCCCATTATTGTCTGCTTGCATTTACGTGGGTCCAAGGGCCCACTGTGTCTTTTCGGGTTACTTTCTCATCATTTCTCCTAATGTAGAGACCCACAGGGTTGGTGGCAAGCGCACAATGCGGCTGTTGTATGGTTACTGTCAGCTCTCTCAAATAAGGCTTCCTGTTCATTAGACTTCTTTTCACCTCGGCACAATGCGCCGGCTTTGCTGCAATAGTGAGTCGACGCCCATCTCTTCAATGCCATGTGAATAGTTCTAAATAGTGTTTATGCAAGCCATTGTTGTCTATTGTGTGTCCAGTCTTAATGCACAGTGATTTGCCCGCTTTTGTAGCCTGGGATACATTATCTTGCCTATGTGGCTTCAGATGCATGCCTGGCCTTTGAGCCAGTAAACAGTCTAAAAGTTAACTCCCTGTGGACAATGCTGGAGATGCCTGATAAAGTGGCACAGAGTTTACTAACTGGCCCATTTCATCTCCAGCTATAATTACTGAAATGGCTCCTTCCTTTGCTCTCTCTAACGTATCTGTTTCAAACTTTATAGTCCCTTCAGAGTTTTTTTTTTTTTTTTTTTTCCCCTGAAAAAGTCACGGCTTGATAATTAAATTTTCAGGACTTTGATTTTTTTTGTATGTCTTTTAGCACAGAAATGAAATAATCAAAAGAAAGTTTGGAAAAAGAGATTTAACCCCAACCTCAAAGCAGATTTCAAGTCATAATCTGTGAATCTGTCACTCTTATTTTCCTAATAAATAAGCAGTAAAGTTGATACTGTTGCTTAGGAAGATTAGGCTGACATTATCTGTTGCCCATCTGGTGAAGAATGCTTTTTCAGTGGCAGAGATGTATTTAAAGCCTGTGTCTTTATTCTTCAAACTGTCAGAGTGAAAACGAAGGAGGTAATACAGACGGACAGCCGGGTAGATAATCTGACACACATCACAGTCAAATAATAAAAACTTTAAAATCTCCAAGATGTTGTCAAAATGATGCGCCTGTAATGTAAGTTTGACGTAG